TACTCTGGTGTAAGTTTCAGATTTGGACAAAAATTTTGATTAAATGGCCCTTGGCTCTTAGGCTAAATTTATTATGCCTCCAGATGATCCAAAATATTTCAAGAAAATCAATATTGAGTAAAATGCACTAAACTTTTAAAAAAATATAAAAACATTCAAGATCTAAGTTATATTTTATATGTTATGTGCGGTTTTACACTGATTTTGCAGTATTTTATCACCATATTTCTACTGTGTTACTAACGCAGTAAGGTCGAACTGTTTTTTGCAAATGTTGACCTTTTTGGGGTAATTATCGTGGATTGTAAGAGCCGATTGCACTATGTAAAATTACTTAATTTGTTCACCTCACATTATTTTACTTTGAAATACATTTCCAAAACAATATAAAAAATTAACATGAATCTGGAGGCGTACTGCTTTAATTTCCCTTTATATATAAAAAAAGAATAAAGCAAGCTTAAGGAAGTAAACTTTTAAAAGGGCTGTTTTCCTCTGGATCTAATGATTTTTTTATGTCAATTAGTGATTGTTTTAAAAAACAAGTTACATAATATAAAGTAAAATAAACAAATTTCTTGGAAGGGCTTTTGTCCGCCTTGTCATTTTCATGGGAGGGCTTTTGTCCGCCTTGTCATTTTTGGATGGGACGGCTTTTGTCCGGGAGGGCTTTTGTCCGTTTCCCGTATACATACATTCGCTTTGTATGTTCGATTGTGAAAGAAACAAAAGACTTTTTAAAATGTGTTTTACCAGACAAAATCCGTAAAAATTCTCTAGACAAGAGTTTGACAGAAGGATGGACATGTGGAAGGAGGAACATGGCGGCGGCTATGCTCTCTTCACGAAGTAATAAAAGTTCTAATACGAAAAAATACTATTTTGAAAGAAAAATACCATGCCATCTCCCACCCTCTTAAAGATTTTTTCTATTAATTGTTATAGTATATTTGGTATAAAAATACTTAACACAATTACTTTTTTATTGATACCTAAAAATCCAGTATTTGTTTGATTTTAAGACTGCCCTGAATACATTATTGAAAGCCAAGCAATAACATAACTTTGCCGGGATGTTTCTGTACAATGACGTAAAACAGTAGGATACGTACTATAATATTTTTTGGATGAGTTTTGCTTCGTGCCAACACAGTATTGGTATTATGGCGACTTTCCAACTTGACTGTTGGAGAAAGACCTTATTCTAGATTAGAACCCCGACGTTCTGTAAACTAGCTGGATAGCCTCCTCACAAGAAGGAATCCATAAATTCTGTCGGGATTCGAACCCCATAGCGGGGGGGGGGGGGGGGCGAATGGTTTAAAGTCAACGACCTTAACCCCGGACATGTCACCAATTATATACTTAAAGACTAAATTTTAAAGCACAAAGTGGTGGTAATTTACATCCGTACAATTTCCACAAAGTATTAACAAAATAAATGAATTTGAGCCGTAATGAAGGTCACTGTGTACAATGGCCAGTGAGTTTAGTATAAGAACGTACAGTAACATATGACAATAATAAAGTATCGGTAACTCTAAAAAGATCGAGCTGTTTGTGCCAAGCAATGGCCTGCCTTTGAAAGTCTTCACTGCGTAGATAAATAGGTTTATTTCGGTATAGAATACATATACGTGGACATGGACATTTAAAACAACAACTAGGTATTTAAAACCACATGTATGGGTACAAATATTTAACATACATGAGAATGAATAAGCCATGACATGCACATCAGCACCAAGGATAGCACAAAATATGGTGGCTGATTTGGTACATTTTGCGCATTGCGTTGCCGATAGCTACAACACAACCTATATCGTTATCGCCTTTTCGTCTTGTCGCTAGCGAAACGCGCCAAACGGCGTGTTGTCGCACTGTCGTCTTGTCGTCCCGTCTCTACCGAAGCACTCCAAACGGCGCGTTGTCGTGCGGCGCTGTTGCCCTGTCGCTTGATCCTGTCGCCAAGCCTTCGATTTGAGCTGAGCGACAATGTGACATCGCGACAACACGCCGCACGAAACGCGCCGTTTGACGTGAATCGTTAGCGACAGGACGACAAGACGAAAGTCCGACAACGCGCCGTTTGGCGCTTTGTCGTGCTTTCGCTAGCGTCAACACGACACACAAAAGCGTTCTAAATCAACCACCATATTGAGCCCCTAGTACGCCACTATGGAAATAAGAGTCTTTGTGTATGGTGGCTGATTTGGAATGCTGTTGTGTGTCGTTTTGTCACTAGTTACAGCACTATAAAGCGCCATGTACGGCGCGTTGTCGGACTTTCGTCTTCTCGTCCTGTCGCTTACGCTGTACGCCAAACCGCACGCTGTCGTGCGACGTATTGTCGCGATGTTACATTGTTGCTCGGCTCAAATCGAAGGATTGGCTTATAAGTCAAACGACAGCGCGACATCGCGACAAGGCGCCGCACGACAACGTGACGTTTGGCGTGCTTTGCTAGCGACAAGACGACAGTTCGATAACGCGATAAAGCTACCGACCACGCAACGCGCAAAGTGTACGAAATCAGCTATCATACGCTACCCTGATATCGTTCCTCACTATATATCATTTATATTTTACTATTAACCACGGTATGTGAATAATGATCCTCCTTGTTTATGTGTGAATTAACAAAAACACAAAACTTTGAGTGATAATGTCTGGCAGAGCAAGGCGTGTTTTTTTCTTATCTGTAAATAAATTATGATATAGTCAAATGAAACCAAGAATTTCAAACAAATAAAATGTAGAAAATATTATTGTAGATAACAGAAAGTTGGTCTATGGTTGATTTCTGACTTTCTACCATTTTTGTATTCTGCAGGTACAACATGTATTTCAATTGCATTAAATTAATCATTTTTCTAATAGTTTTTTCAGGCTATACGTAAGTGCGCTTTTGGTTCTTGAAACTATAGCCAAACCTGTAAACGAAGGCCATCCAAGGGCGCCATTACAGACAAGTTGTATGTAGTTGGACGTTAATAATCAATGACAGGTTGTCTCACAGCGGCCTTTATACGTACACAAATAAATAAAACTCGCGTCATATTTCGCAATGCTTTTCGCTAGCCCAATATATTATATATGTATATCAAAGACGTTTGAAATGCATGTTTATTACATTTGTACATTTATCTGATTAAGAATTGTTGATAAGTGAGATGTACGTCATACCCATTATTACGTCACTTATGTCATGACGTAATTTGACTTTCTGACGTAACTTGTCATAGAAACGACGTTCCGCAACATTAGATATCAACACATCACGGTATGTAAACATATTTTTTTAATTATTTAAAATACATAGAGGATATTCAAGTTTTTTCTGTAAATACATGATTTATTTTCATCGAGTGGTATGAAAATAAATATTTCATGAGTGGCGGTAGCCACGAGTGAAATATGGTAATTTTCATGCCACAAGATGAAAATAAATCATGTATTTATAGAAAAAAACTTGAATTTTCTGTTTATTATATACATTTTTCTCTTTCAGGACATTAATATTTGCAAGACTTTCCCTTAAATTTTGAGTACTGGCAGAATTTAAAAGAAAGTAGTCCGGCAAGACACCAGTGAAAATACGGAAAATATGTTTCACTGCAGTGAAAAATAATTTTTTACAGTGAAAATACGGAAAATGAAAATACGCATTTTATTTCATCAATATTTCTCAATATTTCATTTAAAAGTATATAATAAATTTATTTCACAGAATTTCATGGTCAATGAAGAGATTCAAAATGTTATTAAGCTTATAGTTAGTGGAAAGAATCAGAATTAAATTTTAGCAACTTTAGCTGCTTCTTAATAAAAGCTATCACTCGGACCCAGCGCCCCCACCCCACCCACTCTCTTCAAAGTCCTTTCCATTAGACAAAGAAGGGCTACAATCTGTTTTAAATTCATTTATAAATAATATTTCGAATGTGTTGAACAAATTAATTTGTTGTGAGCACAATCACTGAGTATAAAAATTGTGTTACAGTGAATTATGAACAGATTATCAAGAAACGATTACAAAGCTCATTCAAGAATGGACAAAGTTTGTTCCTCAAAAAGGGCAAGGTCTATATGTGGCACACATAGAGGACACGATTCCCAAAGAAAATCGGCAAAGCGCAGAAAAGGTAAGCTTATTACTTTTAAATGGTAATTTTGTTCAATATTTTTTAATAATGAATTAGCGCAAAGAATATTGTTAATAAATGATAACTATATTTAAGTGGCTAACTATCACTTTGATTCAGGTCTGTTTACATTTGTTATGTCATATTATTAAACTCTGGGTGATGTTAAGAAAGAACATTTCTTTTATATAACATTGACATTGAGGTAAAGTAAGGCATGTTGCAAATTTTTCATGTAATAATTCGAAAGATTGTCAATCGTATCATTTCGTCGATTTCCGCAATAATTCGTTCCATCGGGGACAGAGGACGGAGCGGTAGGAGGGGGTCAGAATGAAGCATTGCACCATCAGGCTGTCACTAGATATTTATATTCTTCATTTTCCTTATATTTGCAGTTGAGGATAAGACCTCACAGAAGAAAAGGCGAAGTAAAAGCGCTTTACCACCACAAAGTCAGAGGAAGACAATGCCACAAAAACATGGTCAAGTTGGTCAACTGAAAAGACGCACACCTAGATATATAAGTTCTAGAGCTGAAAGAAGAAATGACTTTGCATTTGGTAAGTAATTGAAAACTTTTATTTAATAAGGTGACAACAACATCTTACGTGTGAAGGATGAACTCCTGTTTGTTTCGCAAAGTTTGACATTCGATAATATTTATGATTTTATCTAATCTAGTCTAAGCTTTAACAAAATGTAAAGCGGCATAAGGGAGACTTTTGTATGACTGGTACTTTTTCATGTTTTCGTTCGTATAGCCCCTATTGATCTATGTATATTACAATATTTTGTTTTTAATTTTATCTTTTGGAGCTCCTTTAAACACGTTCTAACTTTTTTGCAGAGTTGAAGATGGCGCTAGATGATCCTTATGACTACATGCAGCATATAAACAGAAATGACGCAGAAAATCCCAAAGAACCCACTTCTCATCAAAAGAATACAAAAATGTCAGATGTTTTATCTCTGAGAAAGCCAAATTTAAAAAGGTATCAGATTTTTTTCTTTCAAGTTTTTTAAAGCAAATATTTATTTATTTATTAACAAATAATTTTCAATTGTATATTTGAAATAAATGTTGTCCGTTTTCATACAGAGAATGTTGTAAAAAAAAAAAGAAAGAAAAACATACGTTAAAAGTTTCTTAAATATCAAAAATGTCGTATTTTACGATAATTTAAGCTGTTAAAGCACTTACGTTGCATTATTATAACAATCATTTCATTTTCATCTTTAAACAGGGACAACCGAGAAGCAGACGACATCCATTGCCACCTCGCGAAACAGCAGACGTCAGGTGACCAGGTGAGATGTACTCAACGTGGAAGCTTAAACATGAACATTACAGATGTTTGCCAAAAGTCACAAGCTACTGGGGATGAGCAAATCAGTGAGAAATTGGTGCAAGATGATATTAGAAATGAGTTGGCAGACAAGAAGAAAACAAAGAAAGGATTTTTCACCAATGTCTTTCGCACAGTTCTCGCTTGTTTTGGTATTAGAAATGACAGGAAAGACAGGAAGTGAAAATAGACAATGTTACTGTACCAATTTTTGTGTGTTAATGTATGACTTATTTTGTTAAACATAAAGTAAAATTAATCGTTTTTCAAATCTCTTGATTTTGCTTTCTTTAATATTTTATTTGAATATATATTTTACTGAACAAATCCGTAATTTATAGAAAAATTGCCGAGTGGTTAGAGTCACTGACTTCGAGCCACTTGCCTCTCACCGTCGCAGGTTCGAATATTGCAAGAAAGTTTAAATTTAATAGTTCATATTAGGAAATGACATAGCTAGATTACCAACAGCTAGTGGTTGAATTCGGACAACCTTTTTGCCTGAAATAATGAACGGAGGGGCATATGATACGCCGTTTTCTGTTACTAAAGTTATATGATCTTTAAAATGCTGGTGTGACATAAATAAATAAAAGTAGCGGGGCAAAACGTTGAGGTCACCAATATGTCAAGGCCCCCGTAAAACACGTGATGTTGCAATAGAAATCGTTATCGGATCAGATCTTATCAATTTAGCTTCGTTTTCGTACAAAACATCTATATCAAATACATTACGCATCCCATATACATCTATGTAGCCTCGTTTCCATTTCAAGAGTACAAAACATCCATATCATGCAAATCACACCCCATATATCCTCGTTTTTAGTTTTACAGTCCAAAATATCTATATCAAATGCATATCGCACTCCATCTAGCATCATTTCCATTTTCAAGACAAAAAAAAATATCAATTCCTTTTTGTATTTGTAACGAAGTAACAAAGTTTTGTCAAAATGTAAAACGGTGTGAAATAATTAATGAGGTCGAAAGACATTATTGAGAACAATACTGATTCTATTGGTCACGTACACAGCTGCAAAACCTAGCGCGTCATCCAATATAGATTTGATATAGCAGTGTGCTCGTCCAATAGAATTCATTATTGTACTCAATATTGTTTAATAACCTCATAGTCTCATTGTTAACCATTGTGTTAATGGCAATTATTGAAACCATTTAATAACAGTTTAATCACGGATTTCCGTGGTTTAATGAAGCACGAGTTTCTTAGTTGTAAACAATTTATTATGCCTCCAGATGATCCAAAATATTTCAAGAAAATCAATATTGAGTAAAATGCACTAAACTTTTAAAAATATATAAAAACATTCAAGGTCTAAGTTATATTTTATATGTTATGTGCGGTTTTACACTGATTTTGCAGTATTTTATCACCATATTTCTACTGCGTTACTAACGCAGTAAGGCCAGACTGTTTTTGCAAATGTTGACCTTTTTTGGAGAAATTTTCGTGGATTGAAAGAGCCGATTGCACTATGTAAAATTACTTAATTTGTTCACCTCACATTTTACTTTTAAATACATTTCCAAGACAATATGAAAATTAACATGATTCTGGAGGCGTGCTTCTTTAATTTCCATTTATATATATAAAAAAAGAATAAAGCAAGCTTAAGGAAAATAGTAAAAAAGTAAATTTTTAAAAGGGTTGTTTTCCTCTGGATCTAATGATTTTTTATGTTAATTAGTGATTGTTTTAAAAAACAAGTAACAAAATATTAGGTAAAATAATCAAATTTCTTGGGAGGGCTTTTGTCCGCCTTGTCTTTTTCATGGGAAGGCTTTTGTCCGCCTTGTCATTTTTGGATGGGAGGGCTTTTGTCCGGGAGGGCTTTTGTCCGTTTCCCGTATATATACATTGGCTTTGTATGTTCGATTGTGAAACAAATAAAGGATTTTTAAAATGTGTTTTACTAGACAAAATCCGTAAAAATTCTCTAGACAAGAGTTTGACAGAAGGATGGACATGTGGAAGGAGGAACATGGCGGCGGCTATGCTCTCTTCACGAAGTAATAAAAGTTCAAATACGAAAAAATACTATTTTGAAAGAAAAATACCATGCCATCTCCCACCCTCTTAAATTTTTTTCTATTAATTGTTATAGTATATTTGGTATAAAAATACTTAACACAATTACCTTTTGTATTGATATTTAAAAATCCAGTATTTGTTTGATTTTAAGACTGCCCTGAATACATTATTGAAAGCCAAGCAATAACATAACTTTGCCGGGATGTTTCTTTACAATGACGTTAAAAAGTAGGATACGTACTATAATATTTTTTGGATGAGTTTTGCCTCGTGCCAACACAGTATTGGTATTATGGCGACTTTCCAACTTGACTGTTGGAGAAAGACCTTATTCTAGATTAGAACCCCGACGTTCTGTAAACTAGCTGGATAGCCTTCTCACAAGAAGGAATCCATAAATTCTGTCGGGATTCGAACCCATAGCGGTGGGTGTGGGGGGGGGGCGAATGGTTTAAAGTCAACGACCTTAACCCGGACATGTCACCAATTATATACTTAAAGACTAAATTTTAAAGCACAAAGTGGTGATAATTTACATCCGTACAATTTCCACAAAGTATTAACAAAATAAACGAATTTGAGCCGTAATGAAGATCACTGTGTACAATGGCCAGTGAGTTTAGTATAAGAACGTACAGTAACATATGACAATAATAAAGTATCGGTAACTCTAAAAAGATCGAGCTGTTTGTGCCAAGCAATGGCCTGCCTTTGAAAGCCTTCACTGCGTAGATAAATGGGTTTATTTCGGTATAGAATACATATACGTGGACATGGACATTTAAAACAACAACTAGGTATTTAAAACCACATGTATGGTACAAATATTTAACATACATGAGAATGAATAAGCCATGACATGCACATCAGCACCAAGGATAGCACAAAATATGGTGGCTGATTTGGTACATTTTGCGCATTGCGTTGCCGATAGCTACAACACAACCTATATCGTTATCGCCTTTTCGTCTTGTCGCTAGCGAAACGCGCCAAACGGCGTGTTGTCGCACTGTCGTCTTGTCGTCCCGTCTCTACCGAAGCACTCCAAACGGCTCGTTGTCGTGCGGCGCGTTGTCACCATGTTGCCCTGTCGCTTGATCCTGTCGCCAAGCCTTCGATTTGAGCTGAGCGACAATGTGACATCGCGACAACACGCCGCACGAAACGCGTCGTTTGGCGTGAATCGTTAGCGACAGGACGACAAGACGAAAGTCCGACAACGCGCCGTTTGGCGCTTTGTCTTGCTTTCGCTAGCGTCAACACGACACACAAAGGCGTTCTAAATCAACCACCATATTGAGCCCCTATTACGCCACTATGGAAATAAAAGTCTTTTTGTATGGTGGCTGATTTGGAATGCTGTTGTGGGTCGTTTTGTCACTAGTGACAGCACTATAAAGCGCCATACGGCGCGTTGTCGGACTTTCGTCTTCTCGTCCTGTCGCTTACGCTGTACGCCAAACCGCACGCTGTCGTGCGACGTATTGTCGCGATGTTACATTGTTGCTCGGCTCAAATCGAAGGATTGGCTTATAAGTCAAATGACAGGGCGACATGGCGACAAGGCGCCGCACGACAACGTGACGTTTGGCGTGCTTCGCTAGCGACAAGACGACAGTTCGATAACGCGCGTTTCGCTAGCGACAAGACGAAAAGGCGATGACGAGATAGGTTGTGTTGTCGCTACCGACCACGCAACGCGCAAAGTGTACGAAATCAGCTATCATACGCTACCCTGATATCGTTCCTCACTATATATCATTTATATTTTACTATTAACCACGGTATGTGAATAATGATCCTCCTTGTTTATGTGTGAATTAACATAAACACAAAACTTTGAGTGATAATGTCTGGCAGAGCAAGGCGTGTTTTTTTCTTATCTGTAAATAAATTATGATATAGTCAAATGAAACCAAGAATTTCAAACAAAACAAATGTAGCAAATATTATTGTAGATAACAGAAAGTTGGACTATGGTTGATTTCTGACTTTCTACCATTTTTGTATTCTGCAGGTACAACATGTATTTCAATTGCATGAAATTAATCATTTTTCTAATAGTCTTTTCAGGCTATACGTAAGTGCGCTTTTGGTTGTTAAAACTATAGCCAAACCTGTAAACGCAGGCTATCCAAGGGCGCCATTGCAGACAAGTGGTATGTAGTTGGACGTTAATAATCAATGACGGGTTGTCTCACAGCGGCCTTTATACGTACACAAATAAATAAAACTCGCGTCATATTTCGCAATGTTTTTCGCTAACGCAATATATTATATATGTATATCAGAGACGTTTGAAATGCATGTACATTACATTTGTACATTTATCTGGCTATGATTATCTATTTGGCTATGATTAACTTTTAAGAATTTTTGATAACTGAGATGTACGTCATACCCATTCTAACGTCACTTACGTCATGACGTAATTTGATTTTCTGACGTAACTTGTCATAGAAACGACGTTCCGCAACATTAGATATCAACACATCACGGTATGTAAACATTTTTTTTTATTTATTTAAAATACATTTATTTCACAGAACTTCATGGTCAATTAAGAGATTCAAAATGTTATTAAGCTTATAATTTAGTGGAAAGAATCAGATTTAAATTTTAGCAACTTTAGCTGCTTCTTGATAAAAGCTATCACTCGGACCCAGCGCCCCCACCCCACCCACTCTCTTCAAAGTCCTTTCCATTAGACAAAGAAGGGCTACAATCTGTTTTAAATATTCATTTATAAATAATATTTCTAATGAATCGAATGTGTTGAACAAATTAATTTGTTGTGAGCACAATAACTGAGTATAAAAATTTTGTTACAGTGAATTATGAACAGATTATCAAGAAACGACTACAAAGCTCACTCAAGAATGGACAAAGTTTGTTCCTCAAAAAGGGCAAGGTCTATATGTGGCACACATAGAGGACACGATTCCCAAAGAAAAATGTCAAATCGCAGAAAAGGTAAGTTTAGAAATGATTCTTGTTACTTTTAAATGATATTTTTGTTCAATATTTTTGAATAATGAATTAGCGCAAAGAATATTTGTAAAAATTATAACTATATTTTAGTGTCTAACTATCACTTGGACCCAGGTCTGTTTACATTTGTTATGTCATATGATTAAACTCTTGGGATGTTAAGAAAGAACATTTCATATATATAACATTGACATTGAGGTATATACACATGTTTAAAGTAAAGCATGTTGCAAATTTTTCATGTAATAATTTGAAATATGGTCAATCGTATCATTTCGGCGATTTTCGCCATAATTCGTTTCATCGGGGACAGGGAGCGGAGGGGTAGGAGCTAGGGGGTTCAGAATGAAGCATTGTAATATCAGGCTGTCACTAGATATTTATATTCTTCATTTTCCTTATATTTGCAGTTGAGGATACCTCACAGAAGAAAAGGCGAAGTAAAAGCGCTTTACCACCACAAAGTCAGAGAAGGTCAATGCCACAAAAACATGGTCAAGTTGGACAGCGCAAAAGACGCATAACTGGACATAATAGTTCTAGAACTGAAAGAAGAAATGACTTTGCGTTTGGTAAGTACAATGTAATTGAAAACTTATTGTCTGATAATTTATAACTTTTCAGAACAAAAATGTTTTGTGTTTTGTTGGGTTTTTTTTTAAATAAGGTGACAACTACATCTTACGCGTGAAGGATGAACTCCTGCTTGTTTGACATTCGATAATGTTTATGATTTTATCTGATCTGGTCTAAGCTTTAACAAAGTAAAAGGACATAACGGAGATTTTTGTATGACTGGCACTTTTTCATGTTTTCGTTTTTGGTGCCCTAACTGATCTATGTATATTACAAGATTTTTGTTTTTAATTTTATGTTTTGGAACTCCTTTTAACACGTTCTAACTTTTTTGCAGAGTTGAAGATGTACCTAGATGATCCTTATGGCTACATGCAGCATATAAACAGAAATGACGCAGAAAATCTCAAAGAACCCACTTCTCATCAAAAGAATACAAAAATGCCATTTGTTTTATCTCTGAGAAAGCCAAATTTAAAAAGGTATCAGTTTTTTTTTACTTTCAAGTTTTTTAAAGCAAATATTTATTTATTTATTTATCTATTTATTTATTTATTTATTTATTTATTTATTAACAAATAAATTTCATGTGTATATATGAAATAAATGTTGTCCTTTTTCATACAGAGAACGAGTTATAAAAAAAAAAAAAGAAAAAAAATGTTAAAAGTTCCTAAACTATGTCGTAATTTACGATAATTTAAGCTGTTCAAGCACTTACGTTGCATTATTATAACAATAATTTCATTATAATTTTTACGTTAAACAGGGACAAACGAGAAGCAGACGACATCCATTGCCACCACGCGAAACAGCAGACGTCAGGTGACCAGGTGAAATGTACTCAACGTGGACACTTAAACATGAACATTAGGCCTACAGATGTTTGCCAAAAGTCACAAGCTACTGGGGATGAGCAAATCAGTGAGAAATTGGTGCGAGGTGATATTAGAAACAAGTTGACAGACAAGAAGAAATCAAAGAAAGGATTTTTCACCAATGTCTTTCGCACAGTTCTCGCTTGTTTTGGTATTAGAAATGACAGGAAAGACAGGAAGTGAAAATAGACAATGTTACTGTACCAATTTTTGTGTGTTAATGTATAATTTATTTTGTTAAAAATAAAGTAAAATTAATCGTTTTTCAAATCTCTTGATTTTGCTTTCTTTAATATTTTATTTGAATATATATTTTACTGAACAAATCCGTAATTTATAGAAAAATTGCCGAGTGGTTAGAGTCACTGACTTCGAGCCACTTGCCTCTTAAAGCTGCAGGTTCGAATATTACAAGAAAGTTTGAACTACTATATATTAGGAAATGATATCGTTTTAAGTTTTACAGTCCCAAATATCTATATCAAATGCATATTGTACTCCATCTAGCATCATTTCCATTTTCAAGACAAAAAAATATATCAATTCCTTTTTGTATTTGTATTGAAGTAACAAAGTTTTGTCAAATTGTAAAAAGTGTGAAATATTTAATGAGGTCAATAGACATTATTGAGAACAATACTGATTCTATTGGACACGTACACAGCTGCAAAACCTAACGCGTCCTCCAATATAGATTTAATATAGCAGTGTACTCGTCCAATAGAATTCATTATTGTACTCAACATTGTTTAATAGCCTCATAGTCTCATTGTTAACCATTTTGTTAATTTCAATTCAATTATTGAAACCATTTAATAGCGAGCTCGAAGAGCTGGCCCGAAGGGCCTGCTCGCAAAGCGAGCTTTACGGTAACGCGAGTACCTGCTAAGTGATGGTTTTGAAAACTTTCGTCCAAAGTACCGAATTGGACACATCGCAACCTTTCGAATTTAAAGATAACGATAGAAACTGAGGAATTCTGACTGAAAACGGATGTGTCGACTGGTCACCCGCGTACGCCTATGGAAACCATAATTGGACAGGGAACCAGAATAACGGAAGCTGTGTATAAAAAATGAAAATCGAAGACGCCATTTTGTTTGAAATCTGATAAATAAAAACAATTTTTTTGTTGAATTTTGTGGTGAAAACTATCTAGAATGAAAGAAAATGGTCTAACTAAGAAAATGAATCCGAACACCAATATCTTTTATTCAGTCGTTAACGCTGTACAGACGTTTAAAGTATGGATTTAGCTCAATACAGGATTGGAGCAGTACCTCTAGACGCTTGCAGAAATCATGATCACAAAATAGACAAATATCGTTTTTTTCGCCGATTTTTACATTTTTCCTTGATTATCGTACTTGATTCGGTGTGAAAAGATGAATTAGACCTGTTAAAGTTCATTCCGTTGGGTAAAAAGACAAGATTTTAGCATTTTATCATTCAAGCGCCTTGTCCGGTATATACCGGAATACGGTATTTAGTGTGGTGCTCCAATCCTTTTTTTAGTCACAGCCTTAAAGTATTGTTTACGTGACGTCACAATGTAGCGCCAAACAGCACGTGCAAAACAATCAAATCAAGTACGCTATTTTAATGTCGCAAACGTTTTAAGTTTAACATTTATTTCACTTTTATTAATCTTTATTTCGCTTGAAAAATTATAGAGTGAAATAAAATAAACAAAGTTTTATCAACGTTTTCAAAACTCGATATTCATATAACGACAGGGGCGGAGCCATATTTAACACAGTACGTGTTACGTCACACGCACTCTTCACTGCATTTGAGATTATTTCATACTATTTCACGTTCAAAGTGCATCGTGCTCGCTTTGAGGCTTTGCCTTTTTCATATTAACAGTTTAATGAAGCACGATTTCCCTAGTTGTAAACAATTTATTATACGGGGAAGTCAAAGTCCGGGCCCGCAAAGCGGGCCCGGGCTTTGGCTTGCCCGGCTATAGACTACACGTGTATATTTTAAAGAAAATTCAAATAAAAAACAATTAAAAAATATATAGAATTCTATACCTATCAATGAAATTTTCAGTGTCAGTTCTAGATAGGCGCCGCCATTTACAATGTAAGTCAATGATAAAAGGCGGTGTATTCCGATAACGTTACATATCTCTACTTTTCGGATTAATAATAATCGTCGAGTGTTCCGAGTGAAAACGGAAGTGGGTACATAATATAAAATTAGGCAAAGCCTATGCACGGGGAAGTCGTTAAAAATTCCTTTCATTCTTTCCGTTTTAAAGGTGTCATTCGGTATTACATGCACCGCTTCAAACTCCTCACACTGATTACCTCCCTTGGCAGAATTGTAATAGTATCTCTGTACTGATAAGGGGAGATCACTGCGTAGGAGATTGGCACCGCTTCCGTTTTCACTCGGAACACTCGACGTTTATTATTTATCCGAAAAGTTGAGATTTGTTCCGTTATCGGAATACCCCGCCTATTATCATTGAGTTACATTGTAAATGGCGGCGCCCGACTAGAACTGACACTGAAAATTTCACTAATAGGTATAGAATTTTATATATTTTTAATTGTTTTTTATTTGATTTTCTTTTAAATATACACGTGTAGTCTATAGCCGGGCAAGCCAAAGCCCGGACCCGCTTCGCGGGCCCGGTCTTTGACTTCCCCGTATAATACCGAATGACACCTTTAAAACGGAAAAATGAAAGGATTTTTTACCGACTTCCCCGTTCATAGGCTTTGCCTAATTTCATATTAAATTAATATGCACAATAAAAAAAAGTTGAAAATACAGAATAAAGCAAGCTAATGCTTAAGGAAAATAATAAAAAAGTAAACTTTTAAAAGGGTTGTTTTCCTTCTGATCTAATAATTTTTGATGTTGATTATTTATTGTTTTTAAAACAAGTTACAAAATGTTAAGTAAAATGAACAAATTAATTCTTCCATTAGCAATAAAATACATGTAGAAAGCAATGTTCGATTAAATGCAATTCTTTCCGCGGAACAAGTGCTTTTCCGTTGTTTAATCGATATAAATTTCGGAACAGTTCCTGCTTTTGATTAAAAGTTTCTAGGTAGATAAGATAGCGGCTTTTTGTGATTTCAGAAAAAGCAAAGAGGTTTAACATTTTTTTTTCCAAGGGCCCCGAAAAATTTTTTAAATTAAAAACAATTGAAAATTCTTTTTAGCGCATGTATTCATTTTTTTGGCTTTGTTTTTTTCAAAATTACTTTGGGAAAACTGTATTTTAAAATTTTTTCTTTTAAAGAATCTGAAAGCTTTGTTTTTGGGATTAACTTTTGTAATGTCACAGGGAAAGAACTTTGCAGTGGCCCTGGATCGAATCCGGGCTCGGCCAAAATTTCGGGGAGATAATCCCAATGTGAATGTTTTATGGTCAAAGAGAGATTCTGACCCAGAACAAACATATACATGTATCTCTGAATCTAGCTTTGGCACGTCAGTAAATTTTGACTACTCGCACCTGGGACCCTTGGAACATCATACTGCAGCTATACGGCCGCTTTCACACTGTTTCCGCTGTCACAGGGTGAGATAAAATGGGCAGCCTGACTGGGACTCAAACCCTGGACCCTCAGCATATTGTTCCGTGGTGCTTACACAACTTTTCCCATAATTATGAACAGTTCTGAACCATGACATCCCTAATTAGTAAACAGTTCAATACTGTGACATACATATGCATGTACTCCCCCACTTTTTAAACATGTATGACTATATTGAAATTTGTCCTCAAATTTCTAATTGGTAAAGAGAACAATGAGGAAATTTGACTCAGAGCTTAGTATACCATCACGGCCCCGTGTTTGGTGTCAAATGTCACAGGGTGAGAAAAATGTGCAGCCTGACCAGGACTGAAACCTGGGACTAGGAAACCATTCCTGTGGCTCTAAATGACAGAGGTACCCAAACCGTTTCCCACTCTGCCCTCTCCAAATTAAAGTGAACATAAGTGTTTTCACCAGTTTTAGTGCATGATCACATGATGAAATGCCCAAAAAGAAATTAACCCCATGGTTTTGATTAAATTAGGGCCCCCCCAATGAAAGGGCCCCGGGGCAATAGTTTTTCCCCTTTCCTTTCATTCCGTCTTCTGTCTTCCGTCATAAATAAATTTTCCGTTCAAAATTTTAGAACGGTTGAAAACACTTTTAAAACTAAAATTTGAAATTGGGATTTTGCATAGAAAAAACGGGTCATTTAAAATTTGGTCTGGTTCGATGTTTTTTGGCAGAGTTATCCCCCCTTTTACTTTGAAAAAATATAAAATTTTTTCAGTTTTTTTTCATTATCCCCCCCAAAGGAAAACCCACATTAACTCAAATTTAATTTGGGGGATATGTCCCCAAGAAAAAAACCGGCAAGTTCGAATTTGGTCCAGGTTCGATAAATTTTTGGGCAGACAAATTCCCCCTTTCATTTTAAATTTAAAAATTAAAATTTTCATTTTCCCATTCTTTCCCCCAACAGTAAAACACTTTAAACCAAAACTTGCCCATATGGATCCCAATAAAAGGGGAATGCGCGGGTAAATTTTCAAATTTTGGTTTGGGGTTAAATGTTTTTGGCGATTACCCCCTTTCATTTTGAAAAAAATATAAAATTTTAGTTTTGTTTTTTATCCCCCCAACGTAAAAAAATTTTAAACTAAAATTAGACTATGATATTTTTTTAAAAACCCCCAGGCCAATTTCGTTTGGGTTTCTGGTTCTGATTTTTTGGCAGGAAAAATCCCCTTTTAAAATTTAAAAAATAAATATGAAAAAAAACAGTTTCGTTCATTATCAACCAAAGGGTTTACATTTTAACCTAAAAATTTAAAATAGGGATAGGGTAAAAAGGAAGGGGGGTAAATTTGGGAAATTTGGTTTTTGGTTGGGATGTTTTTTTGGCAGAGTTATGCCTTTTCCCATTTTTGAAAAAAAATTAGTTTAATTTAGGAAAAAGCATTTTTAATTTTTAAAAATTTGGGTTCGGGGTTTTTAAATGATTTTGGAAAAATTATCTTTCTTAAAATTTTTAAAAAAATTTTAAATTTTTCAGTTTCGCACTCAAAATTTTTTGGGGAAAATTTGTACCCTTTTATTTTGGCAAACAAATATAAAAAATATGCTTTTTTTAAAAAAGGACTGAAAAATTTTCGTGCTTTAAAATTGTATAAAAATGGTTTGTAAAAATTTGAAAATTTTTAAGGGTTTTGGGAATGCAATAAAAAAAAATTTGGTGCAAAAAAATTTGGACAAAATTTTATAAACATCTGAAATTTTGGCTGCATGCGGGGGCATCCGTGGCATGATGACACATTTCTAGTTTTCTACATAAACTCCCGAGATTTTTCTGTTTATATCCACTCAAAATTTGCAACGTTCAAGAATTAAATCCTTTCCATATTTCATATCTAGTCATTATTGTGATCTTTTAAATACTTAGTTTTAAAATTGTTTCTTCACTTCATCACTTGAAAGAAATAGAAAAATTAACTACATCAAATTATGACGTCTGTATTATAAAAGTGCTAGAATAAACGGTATCTATATCAACATATTGGATTTCAGGATGTTTTAGGGTTATTTTCTATAGTTAGTGCATCAAAGTGCCACTTTTCACACTTTTATATATATTTTAAATGATGTGTTTTCAAAGATTTGCATGATAGACTGGAGCACCAATTGATGCACCATCAGATACATCAATTGGTGCAGCATACATATATCATATGTCACAGTATTGTTGCACCATGCAGTTATGCACTAATCTGGCGATATCAGAGACCTTATTTAGATTTAAGTTCTGACAAATTTTATCAATTATGAACCCAAAAGTTCAAATATGGCCACATATTTTTGTATGGAGTCATTATTTTTGGTCAAGCCAATGAAAATGTCTCAATACAAGTGGGAGCAATTTGCTTTATGAATGGCTCCTATAATGATTGAGAATTTTGACAATTTAGTAAAAAAGGATTCTTTATAATTTGATATGATGATTTGAACACCTTTGATAACGATCACACAACCCATATATAATTGATAACCATTCGCCCCACTGACGATTCACACCATAACAACTTGCCCCACTTTAGTAACGATACGCCCCAGATAAGAGATGAATCTCCCCTTTTCAAAATACTCATTTAAAACATTCTTGAAGTTATTAAATAATAAAATGATTAGTTTAAATGTGTATTTTTGTTATATAAGTAAAAAATATCATATTTTTATCAATCTTTCTTTGATTACATCCATAGAGGATCATATTAATAATTCTTTGATTAGAAATAATTGATGTCATTTTTTGTCAATTTTAGGAAACATTTGAAAATGGAGCTATCACCACCAGATGGAATGATGCAATCTGAACTTGCCAAGTACCGTACTCCTCTAGTATCTAGGTATGCAAGCCCAGAAATGGCGTATAACTTTAGTGATATGAAGAAATTCACTACATGGAGGAAATTATGGACATGGCTGGCTAAAGCTGAAAAGGTTAGTGAAAAATAACTGTTAAAATGTAGTTTTATTAGAATTAGTTCATAACTTACAAATAGCTAAAAATGAGGTTGCTGACCCCAAATCTATTTATTTTTGCGTTAAGCAAACAAACTAAAACCAAGTAAATATTTTGATTAACAAAAATAATAAGCATTTCTTTTAGATAAACTGACATTCAAAATGCAAGTTGTGTTGAATGTTTAAGTAACAATTGTTGATCTGTTTTAGACACTAGGGTTGAACATAACAGATGAACAGATAAACGAAATGGAGAAAAACTTGACAAATATAGATTTTGAGAGAGCAGCGATAGAAGAGAAGAGGCGTCGTCATGATGTCATGGCACATGTACATACATTTGGTGTTTGTTGTCCGTCTGCTGCACCAATCATTCATCTCGGAGCCACGTCAGCTTTTGTTGGTGATAACACTGTAAGTTACTTATAATATTACAGATTCCTCAGCTACATTTTTAATGGCCCGGGTGCAGCATAGCCTATTAGCTTAGTTATATTTGATTCTTCAGGGAATTAACTGTCAATAATAGTCAATCACATAGGATTGTATTTCCAGCAATAAACAGCAAAATTAGCAATTACAAAAAATGCATAAAAATACAACCAGATATAGTTAGTAATGGTTCACTAGGTGAAGCTATTGCTAATTTAACTTACTATGCTAATAATTATGTAAATTCAAAACAGTTTAAATATTTTTATAACATTGAAAAGCTTTTGTTTTATTTATATTTAAACTGTGTTTAATTTTTAATGACTGTAGAAAGGATTTCAGGATCAATCACAAGGAAAGTGATCTGCACTGTCGGAGAATTTAACCTGGGTAGCCCGATTCACAGTCCAACTCTACCTGTTGAGCTAACTGGATGACCGCCTCTGCGGTGGAGGGGTTAGAGTTGATGACTTCTAATCCAGTTACCTCTCTGGCGTTGGTTCGATCCCCGGGAGATGCTTTGGTAGTTCAGCACGGAGGAAGGTAGTCTAGCACTGGTGTAACTCTTCAGGAACGAAGGTTTGGAAACTACCGGCCTATATGACTGAAATAATGTTGGAAAAAGGCGTAAAATGAAACAAACAAACAAGCTAACTGGACAGCTTCATTTGACCTTTTACAGTGTTCATGTGACTTTAAACCCAACCTACTATAATTATTATCATGTGATTGAATTTGTTTTCAGGATCTGATTGTGATGAGGGATGCATTTGACATCATTCTTCCAAAGGTTTGTTAAGTCTTAATTTTTACAAAGAATTATAAGATTTAAAGATGCAAGTACATTGTCTGTACTTAAAATAGTATTTTGTTAAAATATTATTGTGATAATATATGAATTGAATCAGATTCCTTTTATGAAATTAAGGTGTCATTGGTAAGTTGATTTTGCCTTGACAGAGAAGGTACCAGTTAATCAATTATTATTTATAACATCAATTTTCATTGGACAATGGTGATGCTAATTTTATTCATATTCACAGCTGCATTAATTTCCATTTTAATAATGTATAAAAACAACAGGTTTGCAGTATTACAAATTTGACACGAGTTAGATAAGCCATTGATGCTGGGCCATATACACATTATATAAACAATTCTACTTCCTGTAATTGCAAGAAAGATACCTACAAGTTAAAATATAGGGGCTCCCAAGAAGGGTATACAGTGATTGGAAGTAACATGTGCTTGTACTGGAAAGCCAGGGTACATATTGAATTGAATAGACTCCCATTACAGGGAACAGTGATTTCATTTATGAATGTCAGACATAATCCCCTTCGGACAAAATCCCCTTCACCTACCCGGACAAAATCCCCTTGTTTCATAGGTTTCTAATGTATTATGTCACAGGGTGAGAAAAATGTGCAGCCTGACCAGGACTCGAACTTGGGACCCTCGGAATACCGTTCCGCGGCTCTACCGTCTGAGCTATCCGGCCGCTTACACATCTTCTCCCCGAAATAGTGAACAGTTCTGAACCGTGACATACTTCACCACAATATTGAAATTCGTCCTCGAATTTCACAAAGCTACAGAGCAATGCTAATTGAACTCTGAGCTATAAGCAGTCACGGTCCCCCGTTGGGCGCCAAATGTCACAGGGTGAGAAAAATGTGCAGCCTGACCAGGACTCGAACCCGGGACCCTCGGAATACCGTTCCGCGGCTCTACCGACTGAGCTATCCGGCCGCTTACACATCTTTTCCCCGAAATAGTGAACAGTTCTGAACCGTGACATATTTATTATGCTCCATAAAAAAATTGATGAATAATGTATTATTATACTCCCTAAAAATTGATGAATAATGAACTTTTGTTCTTTTATTTATCATTATGTATCAATAGTTAACATTTATTTAGTTTTGAAGTTTTCATTAAAATTATGGTAAATTATCAACTGCATAACACATATTTGATTAGGCAATTTCTTTAATTGTTTTGAATTGATTAGTATGAAAAACATTTTTATTAGCCAATAATTGTTTCATTGATTGTATAAGTTGATGATTCTACTGATACCGGTATATACTGTCCATTGTTACAATTTCTATTGATGAAAGAGTGATAATTTAATCAAACCAAGATCACTGCCCTACTTGATTGATTGTTATGAATGCTTTAACAAAGCAATTTTAATGTGATTTAAATGTTGCTGATTGAATGTTCTTTTCTGCTGAAATATTTTCTACTTATTTATACATTAAGATATTTACCATACAGCATAATGCAGTATGTCACTCTTATACCCACTTTATAAACCGAAAATTCCTCTGAGGGGGATTTTGTCCAAGGTAATAATTTTATGAAGGGGATTTTGTCCACTTCAAAATTTCACACATGAAGGGGATTATGTCCACCCATGAAGGGCTTTATGTCTGGATATACAAAAATACATGAAGGGGATTTGTCCAAAGGGGATTATGTCCGTACACCTTCATTTATATACTGACTGTGATATAACATGTCAGTCTTTAAGACTAATTTTTACTGTTTCAGTTAGCAAGATGTGTGCAAAGGTTATCCCTGTTTGCTGAAAATAACAAAGCCTTGCCATGTTTAGCTTATACACATTTACAGTAAGTTTTTTACAGGAGCCATTTCATATTAAACTTTAGATTGAATTTCTTGAAAACTGCCTGATTGTCAAGTATCCAAATTTACACTATATTAGGGCTGGGAACGAATAAGGTATTTCATGTTTGAATATTCGTTTTCCATATTCAAATTTATTTGAATATTCCTTTTTACAACATTTGTTCCAATATTGCTCTTTGACGTACACGTATCCGAAATTGATTGCGTCGAATACTATACTACTTTAATATGCTTGGAATAATCGACGATTAAAAATACCTTTATTACTACGTTAAAGTTTTTTATTTTATATATTGTAAATCGACAAATAAGTTTATTTTTGAAATAAATTCATAATTTGATTGCCTTTGGTTCAGTTAATCCGACTTCTGATCATTTGTCTTATTAACGGGAGGTAACTCACGTGATTTAGTTGACAGTAATATGAATCACCGTAGCCTCTTAGCCCCGATAACACATAATTATATTGAAACTTAACTTGTATTAAATATTTTTTTTATTTATTTATAATTTTAGATAAGGTTTAATATATTCTGCAGTTAAATTTAGCTATAACGCATAAATATCACACGGAGTCTAATTTCTACGGAATAAATATATTCTGACGGAATATAGACACTTACAGGTCGGAGACCATCAACCGGACACTTTTGGAACATTTTTCTGTAAAGATCTCATATTTTTTAACCTAGAGACCAAAAAAATTTGACACAGTTCAGCTAGGTTCTTCTCCTAACTAACAAACTAGTTTGTTTATTTCTGATTGTATTGACACTTATATCTGATGCTCGACAAGGAGGGTATCAAAATTACCTAAATTGTCTACACTACAGTACCATGTGGCCGGACAGATATGTCGTGATGTAATTTAATTCAGATAAAAGCTTGGGTGTTTTGATTTTTGATTTTTAACATAATATACAATATGTCAGCAACAAATGCTGAAGTTTTGGATATTCTATTATTCACTCTGCAAATGATTATAGCTGGTATATGAGGTCAGGCATTGCTTTCTTGACCCCCAAATTTCAACATCAACATTCTTGAAATAGATATTAAAATATTACCATTTACGGAGATTGAAATAAATTTATTTATTTAATTTTAAAAGAAACATGCACTTATTGTTGATAAAAAAGTGACTGACAACCACTGAATAAAGAAAATACTAAATTAAGCATTTTCTGGGCCGTCCGGGTTTGGTGGTTGTCCGGTTTTGGTTGTCCCCAACCAGTACCATGCTTTCATAAGCACCGATTAATGCGTGTCGATTTTTTCGTCTTCACAAATTTTAAGACAATTATTGATTATTCGCAAAGATTATAGCACAGAAAACAATAAATAAGATTAATAAAATCGGAAAGAATTACATTATAAACTGTTTAACAGGTAAATTGCAAACTGTGAAACGGGTGCCCTTTTGATCAACTAGACCCCAAAGTTTTCACAGTTAATTGGCGATAATCGTTGACACACGTCATACAAACGTGTAAACACCTGGTCAAGTAAAGGTCAATGGTTTAATTTACGATCTTAATTGAAATTTGAAAGTAATAACAAAAAAAAATTCTTTTCTTTCGAATATTCATATTCGTTTTTCAATGTTCGAATATTCGGTAGTGTTTCGAATATTCGAAAAAAATTCCCGGCCCTACACTATATAAATGTGTATGAATATAGCCCACATAAGAGAATGTCAATCTGTATAATTCTTGCATACTATTTAGTTAAATATATTTTAAATCCTCCCTGCCCCACCCCCATATATTTTAAAACCTTCTTGCCCAACCCCCATGCATTTGCTGCCCCACCTACCCCCTCCCCTTTCATTTCAGTGTTCTCATTTTCCATCAGGGCTGAGACTGGAAAATATACTTATCCATTTAGCCATTTATTTACTATAGTTACAGCTTTTTACAAATTATTTTATAAAATTTTTCAATTCCAATCGAGTCTCAAGTGTTATAAAGTTTATGAAATTTATTCAGTTTGTTAGTTGTTTGGTTGTATGGTGCACCAACACAGTAAAGGTAATATGGCGCCGAACCAGGTAAGATGATTTTGGCTTACCTCAGGTGTTACAAAATCAAAGCAACTCCAGGAGTGAAAAACACCTCACCTGCTTCTAGATGCTTATACAGAACTGCAGTGAAGTTAAAACATTTAGGAACTTTACCATAATTTAAGTTTAAAGTCCAAAGCTGATAAAGTGATTTGTTTTAAAGATCGAGAATTATAATATAGAAATGTGTGTTATTTATACTTCAGGCCAGCCCAGTTGACCACAGTTGGTAAGAGAGCTTGTATTTGGATCCAAGATTTACTGATGGACATTAGAAATATAGAGAGAGCTAGAGATGACCTCAAGTTTCGAGGTGTTAAAGGAACAACAGGAACCCAAGCCAGCTTTCTTGCCCTGTTTGAAGGAGAAGAAGATAAGGTATGTCTTTCATTATAGGATGATTTATCATTTATTAAGGAAAATTCTAACACGACTGGCATTTTTTCCTATTGAACATAGAAGTGGCATTTTTCCCTATTGAACATAGAAGATCCAAAAGCGTGTGTTATTATGCAATAACATCACTGTTGACATTCTATATTTAGACATGTGACATAATCATTAAATATATGCGACGTAACCACTAAAAATGCGACTTGCTGAAATAAGTACAGAAACAAATTAGATGCAATTTAGCTAAATATCAGGTATGGCAGCATTCATTCAGGATGCTTTTTGATACAGGATGATTTATCTTATTTGATGATCCATCTTATAGGATGATTTATCACATAAACCATGGCACAGAAGTGTAATAAAGCCATTTAATAAGAATGATATTACACAAGTGTAATAACTTTGACGTGACATCATTTGTGTTGTATACAAACATATCACACTGTAGGCTCATCAAAGAAAAATTATTCTTTAACAGTTTATCGTTCTTATTTTAAATATGTGATAAACAGAATATTATATTTGTGTAGATTCAATACTAAATTTATTGAACTGGTTGAATAAAACAATATTATACTTGCCAGAGGCTTGTATAATATTTATTCAACTCATTCACTAAATTTAGTATTAACCCTAAACTCATTCAATATTCTCTATTTATTATAATAAAAACAATGATCATACCATATAAGTTGGGATTGTTCTGCAAACTCCAAATTCTACGATTTTGTTAAATTTCATTGGTGTTTGTAATTTTGCATACATCAAATCCTTTTGATAAGTAGAAAGTTGAAGAAAGAACAAGAAGTTAAAAGCAAAAATGCCCAGTTTGAATGGTAATAGATTGCCTTATATCATTGTTTTGGCCACATGCAGATGGCAATAGAGTTTGATACCATCAGTAAACTATAAATTTTAATGATCATATCACAATGTATAATGAATTTAACATTTTGAAAATTTAGTGATTTACAATTTGTTCAATGATTTTGTTAATGAATGATAAGATATATTATATTGACTTTTACAGGTTGAAATCCTGGACAAACTAGTTACAGATATGGCAGGATTTAAACAGTAAGATAATTTCAACATTTTATCAATTAAGTAAATTTACAATCATAGAAAATGTTTCTGTGAAACAACATGTGAGATGATATGAAAGTTTCATTAAAAACTTGGGCATTAGTTTGATATATGTTCAGGTCAGTAAGGAGCAATGTAATTTTGCTTTGTGTAAGACATTTTAAATTCATCAAATTTTTGTGGGTTTACATTAGGGTGGACTTAAAATACAAACAAAAATTCATCTTACACAAATCACTTAAATTAGCTGAAGTTATTAAATAAGTTTGCCCCAATTTAAGTTTGGAACAGTGCATTAAAAGTTTAAGGGGATTTCAATATGGATGTACAAAGAAGAGCTACACTCCAGCAGTTAAGCACCATAAGTCTCTATTCTAGTGGCAAAGGTTAATCACTTTTAGTTCTTGCATGTGCAATAGTAAATCTAAAGACGGTTAATTGTGAATGTGTTGGACTAACATCATGAACACTTGCCAAACTTAACTGGGGCATAATTGTTAATATTTTGTGTTTTTGCTAATTGTATGAGGAACTACAAATGAAATATGCTTCTTCATTTCAGACATTTTCTGATATGTGGACAGACTTACTCTAGGAAAGTTGACATAGACTGTTTAAGTACATTGTCTAGTCTAGGAGCATCTGTACATAAGGTAATTAAGATGTTAGTAGAGTCTCTCATATTAGTTATTTATTTGTGGTTATTTAAACCATCTCATTATACAGTTTTATCTGTATCCAATTTGACTTAAACCACATGCCTGGATTTATGAGTATATTATGCAGTGCACATCTTTGAATTATTAGCTAAGTAAAGGAATTAATATGAAAGAAAGTGGGGCTGTTCATGTCGAGCGGTTACGGTGGTTGACTTCAAATCAGTTGTCTCTCACTGCTGTTGGTTTGAATCCTGCTAGGGACTTTGGATTCTTTCATGTGACAAAGCTCGATTACAAAACGTCAGTGGTTCTACTCGGGTGCCTGTTCATGCCTGAAATAATGCAAGGATTGGTACCTGGGGTCTTTCTCCAGCAGTAAAGCTGGTAAATTGCCAAATGACATGTACAGTGTTGGTGCGATGTAAAACTCAACCAAAAAAAAGAATTTAAAAGATAATGAAATACAAAGACAGCAAGAAGATTGCTTAGCTTGCTTAATTTGTGAAATTGATTTGAGCCGCGTCACAACAAAACCAACATAGTGCGTTTGCGACCAGCATGGATCCAGACCAGCCTGCGCATCCGCGCAGTCTGATCAGGATCCATGCTGTTCGCTTACAAACCCTATAACAAGTAGAGAAACTGATAGCGAACAGCATGGATCCTGATCAGACTGCGCGGATGCAGTAACAGCCATGAGCTTAGTCGACCATGAACAGCACTACTTTCTTTCATATTAATTCCTTTACTAAGCTCATTTGTCCAGCTTTCAATATGGAAAAGTCCATTCAAAGTTAAGGGATTTCAATATCATTATACAAAAGTTGAGTTTCCAACAGTATAGAGCCTGGTTAGTCTGCATGTTTGTGCTGACTGTCCTGGCTCTATACTTGGGGCAAAGAATGATCCCTTTCGGTTCCAGCAGGTTAAGGGTCAAAAGAATTTTATATCATTTAAAGAATTGTTTAAGCTATTTATTTTTCCCAATTTTAATTTCTACCAATATTGATACTTATATATACATGGGTGACTTTTTTTATCAGATTTGCACAGATATCCGTCTTCTTGCAAGTTTCAAAGAATTAGAAGAACCTTTTGAAAAAGAACAAATTGGTAAGTATAAGTTTTACTTAGACCCAAAAATGGTTCTCAACAAAAAAAAGAGTTATTGTTCAGGAAACAGTAAATTTATTCACATTTTCTCGTAGAAATGTATTAGAATTATTTGTTTGTATAACTAATTGTTTTTGTCATAACTCTCAATAACTGCACATTATTTCTTTTCGTTGATACATTGAAAGATTTTATCTTTATAATTCTATTGATATAGATAAATAATGCAAGTTAATAAAAGATTGTATTTGTGATACTTCTCTTAGCTCATTGTAGACATTATTATGCTAATTTCCAGTGTATTTCTCAAAACAACATCATATTTATCTAACATTGTACTTTGCACGTTTCCCTATGCCATACAAGAGATATTCTATGTAACATTGTCCTTTTTGCAGGTTCAAGTGAAATGCCGTACATGAAATATCCTATGTAATATTGTACTTTTTGCAGGTTCAAGTGCTATGCCATACAAGAGAAATCCTATGAGAAGTGAACGCTGCTGTGCCCTGGCTCGTCACCTTATGTGTCTGATACAGAACCCATTAATGACAGCATCTACACAATGGATGGAGAGAACATTAGATGATAGTGCTAATAGGTACCTTGTCTTTTTGTAGTGGGGATGTGGGAAGGGGGGTGGGGGGGGGGGGGAAAGTATATGCTGTACTCATAGTTGACTGTTAGTCCTTCCTCCTCTCTATGTCACAATTTCATTTTCTTATAGCTGCTGCTTCATTCAGTGACAGACTTATTTCAGGTTTAGTAGTAAGATATCTTTCATGTACCTTTACTTTTTGGTAGTATTGAATTGTTGATAGGGTCCTACATTAAGAAAAGATTTGTAAGTGATAAGCTATTGTTTGTTATGTCATTGTCAGATATGCAGATTATTATAAAATTTCGCAGAAATTTGCATTCTGTTACTTTTATATATAACTGCAAGATTTCATGGTTCATATGTTGGTTTTAAGACTGGAGAAGGAAATAAAAATGACACAAAGACAAAGTGTGTGTCAGAAACCAGCTTGTGCAATTGTGGGAGAATACTGATGCTAATAAATAACCTCAATTTTGAATATTTTTTGCCACATGATATGCATGTTTTTGTTGGAATTGTTTGCAAACCATTGGAAACATTGCTCTAACTTAAACCATATAAAGTAAAAAAGAAAAGATTATAGTGCATACCATGTACATTTTCATATTTATATCTTGCTTACATGTATTTTATACGGTTCGTAATTAGAAACATAGTAAATCACGTTTTAGAAGTTATCCCTATAGCCCTTTATCATAGACTTGTTTTCAAATATGCTTTCTATGGAATATGTTTTATTTCAGGAGAATAAGTCTAGCAGAGGCATTTCTTACAGCTGATATAATACTTAGTACATTACAGAACATTTCAGAGGGACTTGTTGTTTATCCTAAGGTAGGTTATATAGCACTTTACTGAACATTTCAGAGGGACTTGTTGTTTATCCTAAGGTATGTCATATTTAGGAAATAGAAATTAATTTTGAGCTTATGCACGGTCGATGCCTCCAAATTAAATAATTAAGGTTGGTAGGTCTGAGTTTCTGCAAGGTAAATCTTTAACGCAAGACAAAATACTTTTTCCAATAAGCTCTGTAATTAGAATATCAGAAAGTGATTTGATAAAAATATATCAAGCTACAATGAGTGGATATTCATGACAATATTTCATTTGTCAACGTCAGATCTGATGTCATAGGACAATAATGGTAATGCTCTTGACAACTCATGATATGAATCAACATATTCATTCTTTATCTCATGTTCAAAATGAATTATACAGATACAAATATATATTGACTCAGAGATGTTTGACATTTCAGCCTTTTTAACAATAATATTCATAAATCTGAATTGATTTTTGCAGGTGATAGAGAGAAGGCTAAAATTAGAACTTCCTTTCATGGCCTCGGAGAATATCATCATGGCTATGGTGAAAGCTGGTGCTGACAGACAGGTAACCTTTATTGTAGATGTCTCAGATTACTTGATGCTCATTGTTGATGGGTTGTATCCCACTAATGGGGATATTAATTATATCTCATTGGACAGTGTTATCCAGCTTATTCATTGTGGTGAAGGTAGTTTTCACTCCGAATCATGGCAGTAAGCCACATTGAATTTACTAGAGCACAGTTCAACCACTGCATCATTTCTAGTTTCCTTCGCTTTCACAAAGAACTGATAACTTCTGTACATGCCAGAACGGAGGTACAGTGTGAATGACCTATTTTGATCACTTGTTAATTTATACTGAAATCTTTACTGTTATTATTTATAACCAATAACCAAAATATACCATACTGTGCTCTTCTTTATAAAGTACTATCAATAAAATCTTTTTTATTTCAAGAATGTCAGAATATGTAACATTATATATTCTAGAATTGTAAAGAACAAGTAAATTGCATCATTATGGATAACAAACCCTAATGGAAATTAAGGCAAAAATGCAAAGAAGGGATGTGGCACTAAAAAAGTAATAATAATAGAATTGGACTGTGAATTTTTATGTCATATACTGTATAGAAAAGAATAAAAGTTATGAAAAGCTGATTCCTATTTGTGACTTAGGGTCTGTAATCCTTAATGTCATGAACAAAATAAACATGTTACATCAAATCATATACATGCTATATTTTTTCAGGAGTGTCATGAGCAGATCCGTGTATTATCTCAGGAAGCTGGAAATGTTGTAAAACAAGAGGGAGGAGACAATGATCTCGTAGAGAGGATAAAACGGTCATCTTACTTTATACCCATACACAGCCAGCTCAATAAAATACTGGACCCTTCTACATTTACTGGTCGGGCACCAGACCAGGTATGTTACATTTTATATTATTCTGTATCAGTTCTGGTATTAATTGGTATATTTAATTAATAATCTGTATTGATTGTCATACTTATCCTTGGTTACCACCTTAAAATACAAAATAAAAATCTAAATCATGACTGTTTATACAATACCATAGAAACCACAGATGCCTCATTATTCTGAACATGTGCAAATTGCATACACAGAAGCACTTATAAAGATGGCAAATTGACCTACATGTTATTATCAATATCAATGACTTAAACTTTGATAGCTATGTGTACTTTAAATTAAAGAATAACAGTTAATACCAGTAAAATACAGTAATAAAACTTGATTTTTTTCTTTAAAAGAAAGTAACACAGTACCTGCTAGGACTATGCTTGTAGAGTTATTTAAAAATTCTGGTGAATTTTGCAGTGTACATTGGCGCATATATGAAGCTTTTACAATTGAACCTTTATAACTGTTTTCTTGCATTTTTGCAAAAGTTATTCAAACCATTTCAATGTATGATAAATGTCAGACAATTTGTTATTATATAAATTATGCAAGTCATTGTTTAGAATCAAATAGGTATAATAAAATGCACATTTTAATGTTTCAGGTAAAGAGGTTCTTAGAGGTTGAGGTGAAACCAGCTATTAAACCATATTCCAATAAACTAGATGAAATATCAGAATTGAACTTGTAACAAGACGTTATCATATTAGCTCATACAGAGATTTCTCCTCTTACTATTACCTCTATATGATAACTCCCTACTGGTGTTTGGACAATTGAGTTACAATATATGTTAAGAGTGCAATCAAGACATTTGAGTTACAATATATGTTAAGAGTGCCATCAAGACATCATTTACGAGAAATGCTAGATTGAACTTATTGGATGTGCTATAAATGCTAGTTTGAAATTCAAGGACATGTGTAAAGAAATACTAGTTTAAAACTCTTGGATGTGTAATAGGAAATGCTAGTTTGAAATTCAAGAAAATATAAGAAGATATGCGTGTTTGAAATCTAAGGATATGTATGAAGAATTGCTAGTTTCAGTAATAGTTTGAGATTAAGGGACATGTAAACGTTTGATATACACAAAAGTGTAAAAAAAATCAAGCTGTTTTTAAAAATGCTATAATGAACTTTGATCAAAAGCAATTCCTTATTATTTTTTGTTCAAGACTGTTGAAGTGGCACAGTATAACTTGGCAGCTTTTTGAACAGTTCTACAGTGTCAAATTTGACCAATTGTCTCTGATATATTGTTAAGTTTATATAGATCTGACAGAAACTGATGTGTTCAATTTATGCTAGAAATGTATATACAATGTACTTGCTATACAATGAAGCAAAAATATAATTATTACCTCTCTAAAGAGTCCTGTTTCATTTCGAATTTTTTTACAGCTCACCTGAGCATAAAATGAGTTTTTTAACTCACCTGAGCACACAATAGTTGTTAATGGGTTCTGGATCAACTTTGTTAAAAAAATTTGCTCCTTAGTGAAGTGAGATGTGGTGGGGGGGGGGGGGGGTTTATCTACATGCATGTACATGTAGTATCATATAAATATCTTCTTGTTTTTTATGCTTCTCTTTATATATGATTATAGTAAAGTATTTTGCATAGCCACAAAGTTTTTATATGGTATTGTCTTTCGGTTCTCTGTCAAAATTTTTCTAATAATTCCCAAAGGATCTATAATAGGGGTCACCAGTTTTGTCTCATATCGCAAAAGTCATAAAATATCTTCTTGACAGAAACTGTAAGATATAGAGGCTATTTCTGTTAAGAAGCAATGCCAAGTGGTCTTTTAATTTGTTCAAATTATGCCCTTTAGTGGAACGTTGTCCCACGAGAGGGATTATAAATCTTCTATATATGTGAAATTGTACATGTAGTCTTTAATCATGATACCAAGGTCTAGACTATGCAGGTTGTTCGAGTGTAGCTATACTTTTTAGCTCGACTATTTGAAAAGAATAAGGAGAGCTATCCTAGTTTGCCTGTGTGTTGGTGTAACCACTTGTATTAAAGTTTTTGTAACACCTCAAATATTTTCAAGTTCCATTCACATATGGCTTTGAATGTGCACACATTTTCACCATCATGACCCCAACCTGTAGACAGGAAGTTACTCTACCACCCCAGATATTTTCACATTTCATTGACATCTTGCTTTGAAACAAGTTGAAATTTTCTACATTTCTTTGAGAGCATAATGTGACTCTCTCCAAGGCTTATAAATGTAACATGGATTTGAAAATAAAAAATTGGCCCTTTTGTGAACTTAAAAAATTTACATTATCATGGCTCTTTTACTATCAAGCACTAAGAACAGTCGAGTGTGCCATCATACTGACAGATCTTGCTTGTCAACTTGTTCCCCACTGCTGTTTCAACAATGTAGTTACTTGCAGAAAAATAAAAAAGAATGTAGTTCCTGGAACATATGTTAGGCAACTGCCAGTTGGCATATCATTGAAGTATGTATACAGTGACACAAACTATATGCAACAAAAAAAAAACAAGATAAAACACTGTAGTTAACTTCTGTAGTTAAACATAGCCTTAATTTCTTATTATACCCCCGCACAACAAAGTTGTAAGGGGGGTATACTGGAATCAGCTCGTCCGTCCAGCTGTCTGGCCGTCCGTCGGTTTTTTCTTGTCCGCCCAATAACTTAAGATATCTTTGACCCTTAGTCTTCATATTTGGCATGGAGGTTAGTCATGATTAGTAGATGACCCCTATTGATTTTGAGGTCATCAGGTCAAAGGTCAAGGTCACAGGGGCCTTGACTTCAAAAAGCTTGTCCGCCCAATAACTTAAGATTCCTTTGACCTACAGTCGTCATATTTGGCATGGAGGTTAGTCATGATTAGTAGATGACCCCTATTGATTTTGAGGTCACCAGGTCAAAGGTCAAGGTCACAGGGGCCTTGACTTCAAAAAGCTTGTCCGCCCAATAACTTAAGATTCCTTTGACCTACAGTCGTCATATTTGGCATGGAGGTTAGTCATGATTAGTAGATGACCCCTATTGATTTTGAGGTCATCAGGTGAAAGGTCAAGGTCACAGGGGCCTTGACTTCAAAAAGCTTGTCCGCCCAATAACTTAAGATTCCTTTGACCCATAGTCTTCATATTTGGCATGGAGGTTAGTCATGATTTGTAGATGACCCCTATTAATTTTGAGGTCAAAGGTCAAGGTCACAGGGGCCTTGACTTCAAAAAGTTTGTCCGCCCAATAACTGAAGATTCCTTTGACCCATAGTCTTCATATTTGGCATGGAGGTTAGTCATGATTAGGAGATGACCCCTATTGACTTTGAGGTCACCAGGTCAAAGGTCACAGGGGCCTTGATCATGATTTGTAGATGACCCCTATTAATTTTGAGGTCAAAGGTCAAGGTCACAGGGGCCTTGACTTCAAAAAGTTTGTCCGCCCAATAACTTAAGATTCCTTTGACCCATAGTCTTCATATTTGGCATGGAGGTTAGTCATGATTAGTAGATGACCCCTATTGACTTTGAGGTCACCAGGTCAAAGGTCACAGGGGCCTTGACTTCAAAAAGCTTGTCCGCCAAATAACTTAAGATTCCTTTGACCCACAGTCTTCATATTTGGCATGGAGGTTAGTCATGATTAGTAGATGACCCCTATTGATTTTGAGGTCACCAGGTCAAAGGTCAAGGTCACAGGGGCCTTGATTTCGAAAAGCTTGTCCGCCCAATCACTTAAGATTCCTTTGACCTACAGTCGTCATATTTGGCATGGAGGTTAGTCATGATTAGTAGATGACCCCTATTGATTTTGAGGTCATCAGGTGAAAGGTCAAGGTCACAGGGGCCTTGACTTCAAAAAGCTTGTCCGCCCAATAACTTAAGATTCCTTTGACCCATAGTCTTCATATTTGGCATGGAGGTTAGTCATGATTTGTAGATGACCCCTATTAATTTTGAGGTCAAAGGTCAAGGTCACAGGGGCCTTGACTTCAAAAAGTTTGTCCGCCCAATAACTTAAGATTCCTTTGACCCATAGTCTTCATATTTGGCATGGAGGTTAGTCATGATTATTAGATGACCCCTATTGACTTTGAGGTCACCAGGTCAAAGGTCACAGGGGCCTTGACTTCAAAAAGCTTGTCCGCCAAATAACTTAAGATTCCTTTGACCCACAGTCTTCATATTTGGCATGGAGGTTAGTCATGATTAGTAGATGACCCCTATTGATTTTGAGGTCACCAGGTCAAAGGTCAAGGTCACAGGGGCCTTGACTTCAAAAAGCTTGTCCGCCCTATAACTTAAGATTCCTTTGACCCACAGTCTTCATGTTTGGCATGGAGGTTAGTCATGATTAGTAGATGACCCCTATTGATTTTGTGGTCACCAGGTCAAAGGTCAAGGTCACAGGGACTTTGACTTCAAAAAGTTTGTCTGCCCAATAACTTTTGATTCCTTTGACCCACAGTCTTCATATTTGGCATGGATGTTGATCATGATAAGTAGATGACCCCTTGTGATTTTGAGGTCACTGGATCAAAGGTCAAGGTCATAGGGACTTTGACTTCAAAAAGTTTGTCCACCCATTTACTTAAGATTCCTTTGACCCACAGTCTTCATATTTGGCATGGATGTTGATCATCACTATAAGGTGACCCCTATTGACTTTGAGGTCACTGGGTCAAAGGTCAAGGTCACAGGGACCTTGACAAAAAAAACTTTTCTTCTCAATTGCTAAAGAATGTCCTGTCCGCAATGTATTGATTTTGACATTTTCACATTTGAAGCTTGTAGAATACATAACTTAGCAATGCACTGGCTTAGTAACCTCAGATTTGGCAGGGAGGTTGTCCTTGAGCCTAAATGGCCACTGTTGATTCTGACAAAGTGGTATGCGGGGGTATTCACGCCAAGATAGTGGCAGTTCTAGTTTTATCAAAGCTAAAATATTTTTTTTATAAAATAACCTGCCACATGTTATGAGTTTTTATCTATCAAATTCAAGCGATACCGTAAATATATCTGTGTAAAGAGAAAGCAAAACCCAAAAACTTCCAAGCTTCACTTTACTGATTCTTTATTTTTGATTTCATGAAATTATAAGGAAAAAATACTTCTAAGAAGTTACTAACAATTCCTTTTGAAAATGGTCTATATTTTGAACTGACATTTTTTGAAATGGTATCGACTTTAGAAGCCTTTTTCTTGCTATGTGAACTATTTATGTCATCAGTGACGGTGTCATCAGTGACGGTGTCATCAGTGACGGTGTCGTCTGCATGTTGCAGCAGAAGATCCTGTAGTTTATATCTCTCATTTGTAGTCTGGTTTGTGAAGATAAGGTACAGATGATGTGACAGGAAAATACCTACTAATACTGACAATACAACACAGGCAATGATGAGGAAGACTAGACGAGGCAGGGCCATGAATAAATGCTGAAAGAAATTACAATATAAATGAATATGTATGTTTATAAAAAGTCAAATTATTCGAACAAGCTTCACACTATTAGCCCTTGATGTTTATATTCTTACACTAAACTAGAACTGTGCATTATTCTACAACAACGCACTCAAAACTGACATCTATTTCCTTCTAATATCATTTAAGTCAGTAAGAGTCTAAAAAAAAAAAGAAGAAATTATAAAAATTAATCATAATAAGAGATCAAATGATCTAGGATATATTTTACTATTATACATGTGGATTGTATGGTGACTGATTGGTATCAAAATACCAAAGTTAAGAAGAAGCCATAAGTGAAGACTGATATAGTCTGACTGCATAGATGTACTTACATACACAAGTCACTGTTGTAGCTAATATTTAAAGAGTTAAAAGAAAAGAAGAAGACATCAATTATGGATCCACGAAGAAAAATTATTAATATTCACCTGAAATGCTACATAAACTGTCATGGATTTAACGGTGCCGTCATCATCTACATACGAAGCTTTGTACAGTTTAATGTCGTCTGCATATTGTAGTACACACCCAGTACCTACATATATACCTTGTAGAAACATGGCCAGTAACGTGACCATGAACATAATAAAGTAACGCTGATTCAGACCACCTACACAATTATTGGTCCAGATACAATGGTGGTCAAATCTATGTACACATCTGTTACATATGGCTGTAAGAAATAATAATGCAACTGTTAAATGGTGTAAAATGTTATAATAGGCCTTGGCTGTTTGATGGCAAAATATTTGTATCTTTATTAAACTTATACAAAAGTATGCAATTGAAAGAATAATGTCTGTTAATTTCTGCTGAAGCTGTAAGTGCATAAGTAAAATCATTCCTTTACCTACTGCAATCATTTGAACATATGAATTTGTTTAGGAAAATTATATTCAGTTTGGATCTTTAATTTGTGCGCCAAACTTTTTTGCTTAAACTCAATGTATGACCACAAGAAAATTAAAACAACAGTACGTTATGACAGTACAGTCCTTCATTTTTTCAAAGAAAATTTTTCAGTTTTAGCTTTTAGCTACAATTTTGTCATAATGTTCTTGATGTAGACAAAATATTAATTTTATCATACAACTGCTATGGTAACTGACCGATAACACTTGCCTGATAATTATTTTTGATATCAGGTCAGTAACCTGATATCAAAAATAGGCCCCGCCCATTTTAACGGACTTTTTCAATTGCTTATACACGTATTCTCATTTTCATCAGCATGTGAATTCTATAATGTAATCTCATACCCTTACAAGTCTTGCATCAATATGCGATTTTTATACATTTATTATTTCGATTTCAATTTCAATTACGAATAAATTAGATAGCGAATAGTTAAGCACCAACTCAATGAAGTGACGTCATAATTTATATTGCAAATGACATCATCGATGTCCACGTCACACTATACATGTAAACAAGACGATTTTTTTTGAGAACTTGTATATGTTAACTTTATTTCTCCGGATTATTCTTTAATAAGTGAATAAATTGTTTCGTTCAAAACATAAGAGGCATGTTTGTGTAGCTTGTGTTTGGTTGTCGATTTGACTTTTGTTTGATTGAAATTATCGTGAACTTTTGAATTTGACAATTCAAGGCAGAAACTGAGAAAGTGCAGTAAAGATTATGTAATTCTTAAGGATTTTTTGGATCGATGTTTAAAGGTAAGAATCTTATCGTCTTACATTATTTTGTATCTTTTATCACAGGAAATAATCTCGAGTCGAAAGAAAAAATGGCCGCCATGTACAAATTCTAAGTTTCAGGGGCGGAGGAATTTGTTTTCAAAAATTATTTCTTTGAACAAAAATGCCCCTTTCTAAGAAATTCGCTATTTAAAAGTAGATTATTTTGAAATTTTGACAGTTTTTATGTGTTACATGATAAATAGAAAAACATGCTACTGTCTTTTGATATCAATTTTATCAGACTCGGCTGATATGGGCAGAAAGGGCTCGGCAAGCCTCGCCCTTTCTAGCCCATATCAGCCTCGCCTGATAAAATTGATATCAAAAGACAGTAGCATGTTATTCTCTATACATTTGTAGTATCATATAACAGTGATATTTGGTCCATGCATGTATATTTCAAGGCCATATAAAACTAGATATGTAACACTGACTTTTTACAGTGTTAAAATGTTTTACTTTTCTTGGACAGAATACTTGGCAAACAAGTGCTTCTAAATACAGTGAATGTGTAATGAACTAAATCTTGTCCTTTAGGTTTTGCCCTTTCATTATCAAAATTCAGCATTCAACAGCCAATGACACGGCTGTGCAGACTGGTCACCTGTATATACTGGCAGTATAGTTCTCTCATTGAAGAAAGTGTATACAAAGTTTGATACACAGATATTACTTACCACAGTGTTTGGATCTGACTGGTTTCTTAAAATTGCAGGTGGAGCAAACTTTGTTGCCTTCATATAACATACCATCGGGTTTATATATCTGCATATACTCATTAACATTATTTGGTTTGATCTCCCCTGGATCACCTGTGAAATATCATGGAATTCAAAAATATGACAATTGTATGAAATACAATAAATGTAAAGAAAATCTTAATAGTATACAACAACGTGCATCTGCTACTTAATATGAACTTGTAAATTAAACAAAGAATTATAATTTGATTAAGTCATTATATTTACTAAAATTAATGTTCTTTTCAAGGTTTCCCATTTTTGAACTAATTCACAATTTATTTACAAGGTCTTTGTGCTGAGAGCATGCATTTCTGATTTTAAATGTTGCATATCAACTAAATATCCGATCTGGGCAGGACCTTACAAAAAGTTTCATAACTCAAATCCCATAGTCCCTTGAAAAAACAGACAACTGGTACATGAATGTTAAAACATAAATAAAGAAATAAAAGACCTGTTACCTGTCCATGCCATATGCCAGCAGAAATAATTGCTGAACAGAGCCACAAACGGCCAAAGGGTATGGTTGTAATTCGGGTAATGATGATACAGTATTGGAATCATGTCCACCAGCCATACTAGATGGGCTAATACACATAACACAAGAAATATCAACTGAAATGCACAGTTCCTGAAAAATAAAGAAAACCAATACTAACAAAATCATCTCAAGAATCCCCAACATGTATTTGTCCAGGAAAAATAATGATGCAACAATTACAAGTGTAGTAGAAATCAATTATTTATGATAATTAATACAATGTAAACAGACATTATAGCTAATTCAAAAGTCTTTTGATACTCATTTAACAAGTTAATATCCTGGACTGATGTATCTATTAACTGAAACTTTGTTTGTATTGAGTGAGGTAAAAAAAAAACGCTCAATCTCAATTCTTATCCAATTGTTTATACATTTTCATGATGATTTCAGCAATTTTTTTTTTAAATGTTAAAAATGTAAGAATCTGCATTCATGGAAATTGTGTTACCTTGTATACAACAGGTAAGTGCAAAGTCTGTGAAGTAAATTCTGAATACTTCTAGGAACTAGTCTCTCCACACTCTGAAAGTACCGGTAAACTAGCAATTATCAAAGTATTGCAAGCAATACAAAAGTCCCCTACTGGTTAGAACCCCAGCAGCATTCTGAAGGGCAATGAACTTAAATCTTTTCAGTTCTTAGTTTTGTCTGTATCATAGTAATGTTTAAAGTTTCCCTGCCTAATAAGGAAACTATATTTATACAACAGATAATCAAAATATCCAATTTTCTCAAAGTGAAAATGTAAAAACTTTTAGATAATCAAAAAATCCAATTTTCTCAAAGTGAATATGTAAAAACTTTTCTCTATTTTAAGTAAATTTGTTGGAAAATTCCAAGTTCTTTAAAAGTCATCTTAGGAAATGGACAGATATGATGTAAGTGTTGATAATAAATGTATATTTTAAATTTGAAGTAAATCCATGAAGAAATAAGAAAGTTAAGAATAGATAAGAAAAATTTAAAGTTTAAGGAGGAGAAAATTCTGAAAATATATGAACGCTAGATTTTTAAACCTTGCCATATTAATGATATTATTATAGTGTTGAGTTTGAAGTAAATCCTATAAAAAATGAAGAAGTTTGAGTAAAAAATAATAATTCTAGGAAAAAAGCAAAGTTCAAGGAGGACATAATTCTGGAAATAATCAAGTTAGAGTATTGAATCTTCTCAGATATGTTTTGAGTAATAATAAGAAACATATATATGAAGTTTGAAGTAGATACATTAAGAATTAAAGAAGTTATAAAGAAATCCAACTCTTATTTCATGAAAATTCTATATCATCATGCAACACTGTTCTTTGTATCTTAAATGATTATCTTACCTCTGTTAAACTTTGTCTCAGAACACCAATAGGTCCTGAAGATAAGACTGCCGAATCTCTGTACAGTAAACACAATGAGCCCACAATAAATAGAGCACAGTATACCACCAGAAGAGATAACAGTTCCATCTTCCTTCAACTATTTAACTTCTAGTTTAACTTCTAGTTTCCACTTTTTAACTTCTGTATTGTCAAACTATCATTCTGCAAAGTTTATAACAATATAACAAAATACAACTGTTTTTGCCTGGTAAAAATTAGTTATACAGTCTTCTTTTGAAGGTATACAATTTATAAATCAAATTGAAATTTCAATGCCAAAATTAACTCAGTGGGAAACGCCACCACAACTACAGTTCAATCATGAATTTGTCAATTCTACATTCTCTTGAATCTTTAATCAACTCTACAAGGTATAGAATTTTCAATTGTCGAGATTTGTAATTTGATGCAGAACTTACAGAAAATATACTAATATAATACAGGGAAGTCAGAGGCCGGGACTGCGAAGTGGGCCTAGGCTTTGACTTGCCCGGCTATAGACTACATGTGTATATTTAAAAGAAAATCAAATAAAAACAATTAAAAAATATATAGAATTCTATACCTATCAATGAATGTCAGTTCTAGTCGGGCGCTGCCATTTTCAATGTTACTCAATGATAATTGGCGGGGTATTCCAATAATGAACAAACCCAACTTTTTGGATTAATTACAATCGTCAAGTATTTCGAGTTAAAATTGATCCGGAAGCAGTGCATGAAATGAATGATACCTTTAAAACGGAAACATGAATGATTTTTTAACCGACTTCCCTGTTCATAGGCTTTGCCTTATTTCATATTAAAACAACACTATACCTTAATTGACACTAAAAATCAGCAACATTCACGAGGTTGGAAGTATTGATAAAATCATTTTACAATATACCTCCTAAAGAGATAGCTCAAGATATGTTGTTTACAAGACATGATAAAATAACTTTGCTTAAATGTGTTGTTACATTTTCAGAAAATGTGGAGAATTTGGTTCCAGCTCAATGGTCAAGATCACACTTATAATTTTGACATTTATATGTGACCTTGACCTTAGAGCTACGTGATTCCTGTGTGTGACATGTTTTTCTTATTTCAAACACATATATCATTATTTTAAAATTCATTCTGGAATGACAGAATATTGACTGGACATGAATGATGAACATCATACGTGCCATAACGTCCCGGATGTCCGGGAAAGTCCCGGAAATAAGGTGCCTGTCCCGGAGGTGTCCCGGAGATGATTTATGTCCCGGTAAAAAAAAAAATCTAAAATAATCTACTTTGTAGCCAGAAATTTTACATTTTTATATAATCTTATTGACAAGTTTTTATAAACTATTCTAGAACACTAATATCGAACGATTATCCCCTTAGAGCATTACAATAGTGACACTTATCCTTTGATTGGTATATCTATGTGCCCCTTCCAACAATTATCGGCAATAATTTTGATCAATTAAAAGATTAATTGTTTACCCCCTGTGGCTTCCTGAGCGAAGGTGTCATACACTGTAATTAACAACTGGGCAGTATAAATTTAATTCGCCTGCAAGCAGCTATTAGTGGTCAAACACCGTGAAATTTACCGCTAAATGAGGTTATGAAATCTACAGGATTCAGTGATTGTTTCAGGTAAACAACATGGCTTAGTGTCCTTACTTAACAAAGCTTTATTCTATTCTGTGACTGATTGAATTGACAATGCCTAAATACTTAAAAAAAGATAGAATAACTGTTAATAATTATAAACATTTTGTTTTATTTATGGTGTCATTAATTTTGCAAGTTGTAAATACCGGTAATAGAGGTTGTATGCCACTAAGTTAATTAAAAAAAAATCATTTGCTGATCAATGCCCCACCTCCAAATGAAAAGTGTCCCGGAAATTAATCTAAAAATTATGGCATGTATGTGAACATCAATACAATTTTATGAACATTTCAATTTGAAATCATTGTGTGACATTGACCTCTGAGCCAAGGACCTGTCTCTTGCACCTCGTCTCAATGTGCTTCTCATTTATGAAAAATTATTTCAAAATTCATCCATAAATGACAGTAATAATGTATTGGACAGAAGGACTGACAGGCAAATTGACGCACAAACGGATGGACGCTGCAAAAATTTAATGTCAAAATGTACTAAATGATACCAAAGATTACAAAGATTATGCAAATAACTAACCCAACTCGATGCACGGATTTTATCACATCAAAACCGTGCTGGATGTAACCAAAATTGATTATCCGCGTTCCATTACACTTACACAAAAATAACCGGGACCTATATTTACTAAAAATGTAAATTTAAATTCACATGTAAAGATATATCACAAAGATGTTTTGAGTCATAAAGGAATTAAAATTAGATTGTGACAACAAACCTGGTAAAAATTAGGATGAAAAATTTAAAGAACATATTTGCTCTTGTTGTTGTTGTTGTTGTAACTATAAGTGTGTTACGATACTGATGTTGTATCGCTGTCATCATTTTTTTTTTTTAATTAGATGATCTATATTCTACCCGACCAACTTCATTTAACAGACGAGCAGCTTTACAACTACAAAAAGATAAGTCTCCTGATGATGATTCCAAATCATTTAAATAATATTAATGATATTTCAACCATCAAATTATCAAGTACTACTAAAGCTACAGTAGCTGGTGCTAATGAGTTCTGTGCAATATATGTGGAAGTCCTGTGGATTGCGCATTAAAAACAGCCGTCCGTGAAAAGACTTAGATACTAGTACCATATATAATTTTACTTGTGTTGGGCGACTTTGAAATTCAGTTTGTTCTTCTGAAATGTATATTTACGTACGTGTACAGCATATTGATCAATATTAGACATGCCAATTAACTTTATTATATAAAAATTCATGTAGCTTCGTCGGAGAATAATTGCCCAGATATGTTGTAAATTTAGCACTTAACTTTTGTCTAATTAAATCATATTAAGCATTAATTAAGTTCCACACGTCACAAGTCCTCAAGGCGGGAAAATTAAAAAAAACATGTGTATTTTAAAAGTAAGACGTACATATGGTGCCAGAAATTTTTATTAAAGTAATATCAAGATCCTTGATGGTGTGATACAGGGTCTATTTGAAAGACCCTGTGTGATACGATATTTAAAGTGTTAATTTAAAAATATACTATGCTCATCCTTGAGTAAAATATTTTAATCACGAAAATTCATTGAAATCTACGAAATTCTTACTGAATATGTCTAATGTGAATAAAAGAATAAATAAACTATGTTTTGGAAGCAACTGTTATATTGAGATATTATTTTATACGTTGAAAAAGATGCTAGATGCAGTACAGTATGGTCAAAGTTGGCATATTTGAGTACACATTATTTAATTTTAAGTCCGCGTAGCGGAAAGGGGATTATAGGAATGGCCTCTGTCTGTCAGTCCGTCTGTCTGGCATATTTGAGTACACATTATTTAAGTCCGCGTAGCGGAAAGGGGATTATAGGAATGGCCTCTGTCTGTCAGTCCGTCCGTCTGTCCGTCCGTCTGTCCGTCGTAACACTTTCTTGTCCACTCCATAACTTTTAAACCGCTGATTTTTTTCGAAATAACTTGGCACAAGTGATCACCATAATAAGACGATGTGCAGAGTGCAATAAATGGGTTGCTTCCCCCAAGTTCAAGGTCACACTTACAGGTCAAATGTTAGAAAGTCTAAATTTCCTGTCTGCTCCATAACATTTAAACCGGTTCAATGCTTTTAAGATAACTTGGCAGAAATGATCACAATTATGGCACCATTGGTAGAACACAATAATCCAGGTCAACCCTTAAGTTCAGAGTCACACTCAAAGGTCCAATGTAAAAACATCTACTTTTCCTGTCTCACAACCTTCACCATTCTGACATTCTGAGACCCAAACAAATTCAGCGCCTTCTGTGCTTTGATTTTTGTTCCAAATAAACCTTCTAGCTTGTAACCATAGATCACTTTAAACAAAATCATCATATTATTTTTTATTATTATCACTTTTATACTTCTTTATTATATCTTAACATCTATGCTAACTAACTTTAAAAAAAAAACAATTATATAAAATACCAGTACATGTAATTTTAAACAGTTTTAGTGCTCATTGTGATTAAGTTTCTAGCTTGTTGTAGTCATAATGTTGGGGCCCATAATGTTATCTGTGATTTTTCATAATCTTAACCTTTAGATACATTTATGTCTTAACTTATAATGTATATATCAAAGTCCTTTATTTAGAGTATTTTCGATTTATCTAAAATCTATTAATTACCGATACAATACAGAAATTTTTATTGGTTAACGTTCGTTAGTTCGTTCGTTCGTTCGTTAATGCTTCCATCCGCCCGTAAGGGCACAAAAGCAGCTTTCGCTGTCGAGTACGGACCCCGGACATGTCACCAGTCATGCCCTTAAAGTATGTTATAGTTCTAAAGTGGTGACCTATTTGATTGAAATTCAGTAATTCACTGAATGAGCCAAAATAGAATGCAAATGTTTTTAGAGTTATTAATGAGATAATACACGGGAGGCCAATGAGACCATTGTGTGCATTATGTTGTTTAGTAAAAGAATGTGTTGCTGCCTAAAATGAAGGATCAAGAAGCGGACGGGTAAGGTTTTCCTGACATATATAGACGCACGGACAAGCAATGGTGCTTCGGACCGGTGTTTTTTGGTTCGGTGCCACAGACAAGCAAAACGGACAGACAAGTTCACTCCATCCAGTTTTCAGCTCTGCCATGGACCATGGACTGCTTCCCTCATCTGGTGGGTCTAGAAGAACTCTTCCACTTCTTCGGTCTTCGAAGATGTCTTCTTTGACCTCCCCCTTAATGCCTACTTTGAGAGTGCGACATTTTTGGGGCTTGGTCATGGTCTTCTCATCCCCTCAGAGTGGTCTTCTTCATCTCGTCATGTAGTTCTTCCAGATGTCTCAGATATATCGAGATAACCGCCTCATATGTTACCATCACTCGCATATCGATCCGGCTGCCGGTAAGCCACAGACAATTTATTAATTTTGAAAATATGAAATGTTTTCCGAAAGATATATTCTGCCTATTTCGGTCCAATTTAGAATTTTGTTTTGTTAACTTATTGGTTAACCTGTTGTGTCATTCTTTATGTATTTGTATTTTTCGTGTCACTGATTTAGTTGTATTCCTACGCGTTGTTATAAATTCAGTATTTTTTTCACGGTCTTGACAGTTCTTAGACACGTATTGGTTGATACAGATCTTTATTCGCCTCTCCCTCCCAACCCATTTTATTTTTTGTTTGCTTGTTTTTATAAAGTCAGTAAGACTTCTTATTTTTGTTTAATTTTTTTTAATTAAAGTCAGTTCGACTTTTATTTAATGTTATTTTCTGTTATGGGCGATTTCTGATCTGTGTTCATTTTATGGCGGTTTTTACCTCCCAGTTTGGTTATTTCGATACAAATATGTGCATGCCATGTTTGTTATTATGTAACATTTGTCATTTATGGCATTTAATAAATGCCCTATTTCATTCGACCTAAGTGTTGTGTTTTATCTCATACCAAACAAGTTCGTCTTGCCAGTTATATTTGCTTGACCTGGACAATACATAAAATTCTATATTTTCATTGGTCTGAAATAAATCATAATTATATCTGTTCAAGTTGATGATTTGTCTTACCTTTAGACTGATTGCATAGTATATTTCATTGTTTATTCAGACATCACTTTAGTGTTCATTTGATATATATTATATATGTGTGTGTCTAAGCTCTGATTAAATCTATATTTATTTTATCTGTGTTTTTTCTGTGTTTGAGATAATTTAATTTATTTTATTAATTTTATGATTTTATGAATTTAATGATATTATTATCTGTTAGACCATTATTTTATTTATGTATATTTATGTTCATGTAACTTTATTCTATGATTGATAGATGTTGCAAAAAATAAATAAGATAAAAAATATTCCTTACATATATCCTATAGCGTCGCCTAATCTAAATGGTTAGCAGTTTAGTTCTGCCCAACAACAACAATCGATGGAACCAGTCTAAGTTATACATGTGCAGAAAAAATGGCTCGAAAAGGGCTACAAACATTCAATGTTTTCGTTGGTAATTTGCCAACGGATGCAAATGAGGTAGTTGTCAGGCATTTTATTTTTTGTTCAAATAGACGTTAATGCATGTAATTGATGATATTAAAGCTCTGTTAATGATAGTTCTGCAATACGAAACTAAAGTAGTGAAGGGATTTCGGACTGACGGTCATTCGTCTTTATCTGATTAAAGCTACTCTCCCACACAAAACGGGTCTAAAAATTATCAACATATTTGTCTGGAAAAAAGGGTGAGACATGTTCAATGCAAGATATAAGGAGTAGGCCAACTGCAGGGGGTAGGTGGTTCCAGTAGTATACAGTCCTAGGAGTAGGAGGGAAGGAGAATCGATAATAATTATACTTTATTGACCTTTTCGAAAACCTAGCTAAACTCTGTTTTCCGGTACGTTACCGTTTTAGCTCTGGGGAATTACACCGAATGAAGTACATAACACAGTTACGAGAAATGTCTATTTTTCTATCATTATTTAACCGTTTAAGGTGAAATAAATTAATGTTTTTGAAAATTATCAATATTCGTTTAATATCTATTGCAAATTATTCAAAAAAATAAATTGTTTATAATGAAAATCAATAAAATTCAAACAGACGTAGTCGAATCTTCGATATTAAATAAGGTTATTTTCTGCGTAAACCTGTGTATTTACTTTATTTTTTTATGGAATTATTCATACAATGATATTTAATTATTTTCTTATAAAGAAATAAGTGTTTTAAATCAGTTTAATTTTTAAAAAAAGGCCGAAAACATTGACTTCGCTATTACACTCCATTACGTGAATTCCCCAGAGCTATGTACAGAAAGTACCGGAAAACGGCGTTTAGCTAGGTTTTCGAATTCGTGAATAGTCAGATGTTGCTGTGAATCACCTGTGTCCACAGGAACTTGATTTTTAATCAATAAATCACAAAATATACTTAATGTTAAAGATATAGCCTTCATGTCTTTATATCGAGATAGATAAGAACGATATCTTTTAACATATATATGTACATTTTGTGATTTATTAATTAAATATCAAGTTCCGGTGCTATAAGTATAGCACAGGGGATGACCATGGCATGATGTTCAGGACATAAGAGGGTTTCGACAGACAAATATTTTTGTGTTGCCTCTATAAGGGATCACTTCTCTGTAGTCTGTCTGTCTGTCTGACTGTCATAAAACTTGTCTGGACTACTCAAAAACTACTGGTGCAATTTCATTCAAACTTTACAGGAATGATCAGTACCAAGTCTAGTTGTGCATATCGTTGGCATTTTTCGATTCAATGATTATTGTCGAGAGTTACGTCCCTTTTATAACGTTTATTTTTAAAAGTTGTCCAGACTACTCCTCTTATACCACTAATGCAATTTCAATGAACTTTACAGGATAAATTGATAGTTCAAGTTCTTGTGCATGATACACAAGTTTTCTGCTTGAATGAGTTATGGCCCTTGAGTAAAAATGTTTTGCCAGCTACACAGAAGCATTGTTGCCAGCTTCACAGAAGTTTGTCTTGACTAATCCTCAGAAACTACTGGTGCAATTTTTTTCAAAACTGTACAGGAATGATCAATACCATGTCTAGTTGTGCATCTCGTGGACATTTTTGGTTCATTGATTTTTGTCAGTTATGGCCCTTTAATGATTTTAATTTTTAAAATTTGTCCTCTTATACCACTTATGAAATTTCAATGAAACTTAGCTCAAGTTTTTATGGCTATCATGAGGCAACACTTACAGGGCTCGACAAATTTTTTGGGAGCAACTCGTCCTGCAGGGCTAGTTGCTTAGAATTTTTACTCGTCCTGCTGCAAATTGCAATATGTACAGTCTTCGACTTAACCCACTCGACCGACGACCGAGTCGAGTAAATTTGCGGGTGGTCGAGTGAAAATTCCAAGCTGGTAGCCCGTCTGGTCGAGGGCTTTTTTCATATCCAAATTAAGAAAATGTTGGAAATATGCAGAGCTCCAGATAGCAATGTTTTGGCTTTATGAAAATACAAAATATTTCTGCTTAATTGGATGGAAAACTAAAAGTACTATTGTCAACACTGCTGTAAGTAGAAAACGAAAGTAGCAGGAAGTGACATCGAGTAAAAAGGGAAGGTAACTCTTGGGAGTTTCTGAAATGAAATTATTGATAAAGTTAAATTTGGTGTAATCATCGTAGGACTTAACCTAATATTCAATGGGTTTAGACATATATTATAATGTTTTTGCTACAAAATAAAGAAAAATGTTGTACTTGCCACTTTAGTTATTGGAAAACATATTTCTCCCTTGCCATCTGCAGTTTTGTACTCAATATTTTCGTACCAAGTTTACAGTTACGGACAATTTCCTCAAAGACTAATTCTTTGTGTATACAATGTAAAAGTTTTTATTTTATTATATTTATTTTTCATTAATTCTAATTTCAATTATAAATAATCAAAACCAAAGAACGGCACTAAAATGTAGTCTGTAGAAATAGAGTATGAATAAAGCCTCATGCTGACCATGTACCTGATTGTAAAAGAATGTGACACATTCAAACAACAACATGTCAGCAACAAAAAAATGAGTCTTGTCATTAATTTGCTGTGTAACCTAAACAAACCCTAGTCTAGGGAAGCCTGTCTTAACAGAGCAAGTTTTGTATTATTTAACATTGAATCAATATTTTATTATATAAGTCAGTCTGATTTATGTAAAGAAAGGAACTTTTTAGAAGGCAATGAAATTTGATAACAAAACAATGCAAATTCTTTTTATAAATTTTACCCCAGAATTTTCATTTTACTCTAGATGTTGATGGGTAAACCACCTTGGCCTTAAAAATTATTTGCAGCTTTATTGAACTTAAAACGCTTATGAAATATTATTGATTGTTAGACATTTATTAGGCGTCATCTCATGCTTCACAATATGTCTTTTCTCTTGTATTTTGAAGGCACTAAGCCAAAAAGGAACACACCAAAAAAAATAAAAGTTATACGAAAAGGAATATAAATATGTTGTCAATGCATGCATCAGCCGACATGGTTACAGTAAACGAGGAGAAGAGTATTTTCAGTTTTTAAACAATTTTTTTCAGTGTCTGTGGACAATGCCACAGAAATATTTAAATATATCTTCTTTTCATATGTAGTTTAAACTCTTCTTATTTAAATAATGAAAGGAAGAAAAGTTGATTAGTTGATATTTTAATCATGTTAAATGGTATATAAAACATATAGAAAGTGTTATTTTTGTACAAAATGTATGCAAAAAATACCATTTTGGTTCGGGCTAGTTAAAATGTGTTCGGGCTAGTGAAATTTGTAAGCTGCTAGCCCGACTGGGCTAGTGCTGATAAAAAATTAAGGTGAAGACTGTATGTACTCATCCTATAGTTCACTAAAAGAAAAAAATCGGCGATATCCCTTCCTAGCCCACCCACTCCAAAGACCAAAAGATAAATTGAACAAGACTCTACAGAATGGATAGAAAAGGGAGAAGATCACATTTTGAACTACAAATGAACTTTCCATTCTGGTAAACAGATAGATCATTCAAATGAAAATAACCTACCTTTCAATAATGTCCTTATCAGGGATTGAAAAACAACAACAACATTGCTTAAAAATATAGATTTTTTACATGTTCTGACTCATTTTTCTTTTTTGAAGACACTGTTTAACTTTCTCCTCCCTGGCCAAACATTTGCCGAATATCGCATTGTGACATTTAAAATATTCTGTGAACAAATTTTTGTATTATCTAAAGATCATTGTTTGCGGAACATACCGGAATCGCCACACAAACTTTTAGTATATTTCACAAATTAAGCATTCATGATTGCATTCAACAAATCATCATCAGTTTTGCCCATCAAACACACGGGAATTATTTCGTGCTCTGTTTTACTAGTGAAACTTGAAAAATGGTTTCAAAAGAATTGAATTGAAATTTGAGACAAGCATTTCCAAGAGATTTACTCGTCCCGTGTCAATTTTTACTTGTATTTACGAGCGGACAAGTGAATTGTTGAGCCCTGACTTGTGATCAATGATTACTGATTGCTCTTGTTATAAAAAACATTCATTGTGACTAAACTTTCAGACAATTACAGACAAAATACAGAATCTATATGCTGATAACTTGTTTAATAGTGGGTCAAGTTGACCTGTGCAGAGTTGGTTTAGGGCTAAGCTAACTCTTTGCACATCATGTGATTGTTCAATATTAAGTATTTTATATTAATATTCCTTTAAGAAGTTCCAACTTCAATGCAAGCAAAGTCTATTACAAAAATTCAGTAGGATAAGGAGAAATAGTTGATCACAAGTTTATAAAAATTATTTGTGTATCCAGGCCTATATTCAAAATTATGGGAATGCTTCCAACTGAACAACATTAGAATGGGGGGGGGTTGTAAGAATTAGAGAGCTTTTAACATAAAAGTAATAAAAGAATAGCTTTTTAAAAAATATTTTCTGTTGTAAGTTATTTCATGGGTTTCCCTTAAGTTTTTATACAAAAATACTTTTTTTCAAAGAAAATCAAAAAGAACGTTAATGCAGCATTAAGAATTGGAAATTTAATCTCTTTTGCCATTGTTTACCTGTGTAACCATGTAGGGAAAAATAGGCCTTGTATCACAAAACATGAAGTATTATTGTTTAAATGTGTTTTCTTTGTTTTAGCGCAATGTAGGAAAAATGTTCACACCGTATGGTGAGATTTCTGGAATAATTGTGAAGGAGACGACTAAAGTGCAGCCACCTTACAATAAATATGCGTATGTTCAATTTCTAATGTTCACTGTAAACATGAGATGAATCTCTTAAAGAAGCATATTTCCTTTATTACCTCACTTGAAATAGCATGTTGTCTGTCTTTAAGGTCATTGTTTACCACACATTGTTATCCACAGTGTCTTTAAACGACATTGTCTTTATCACAGATTTTTACCCAACTTTACAGAAATGGATCCTAAGTGGCCATCTACAAAAGTTTTATAAATAGTTTTTTCAGTCTGATGCATAAATTATAAATACATGGAGGTAAACATTTAAGTTTGCCAGAGGTTTTTCTTTCATGCTCTAGAGGGAATCATATAGTAGCCAGAATTATTATCATGCATATATCTGTGAATCTGTTCTAGGATTATTATCCTAGCTGTTTTACAACCTGTATAATGCTCTTTTTTTCAGATTTGTTAAGTTTTTCTGTGAGCCTGATGCAGAGAAAGCTGTGCTAGAATTAGACAAGACAAATGTACAGGGTTCACAGATTGTAGTAAAGAGAGCTGAAGATAGGAAAGACAAGAAAAAGTAATATTTTTGATATTGTGAAAATATCTGACTTCCTAAATCGACTTATCCCACTTTCAGTTTTTGGGGATATCAAGATGAAAATTTTAAGTTGGTCAGGCAATAGTATAAAGTCTGGTCAGACTGCAGTGATTTACACAGGTGGTAAAGGCTAACCATGATTCTAGGAGTGTAATGGTAAAGGTTTAAAGCTTTAAGGTTATTATCAATACCTTGTACCAGATATTTTTTCTGCAAGAAAACTTACTCAAGATGGATTGTGGTCCAGAATTTCACATAATGAAAACACCTGACCAGAAATTGGTAATGCTTTCTTTTAAAATATATCATGCATGAGAAATATTTTGCAATTTTTTGTTTCATTTTGCTAAGTTTGTGATTGAATAAGTTCTATGTCATCCAAATATACATTGACACAAGATCTCACTCAGTTATCGGTAATTATGTTACTGTATTTCAGACCATTTGGTGAAGGAGGTGGAAGGCGGGGTCCTAGAGAAATGGGTATGTATTAAATATTAACTGCGTAATTTAACCTCGGTGGAGCTGTGCTCATGACCCTCATGTTGGCATTGGTCAACCTTTTAATTAAGAACCCTTTCTCAAAAACTATCATTAGTGTTCAATTAAAACTTGGAATACATGATGACTAACAAAATTGGAATGCATTTCCGAGCAAATGAATAATTCATTTTTGCAAAGTTATGACCATTTTTCAAATTTCTTGGTCACACATTGTAATAGCTGTATAAAAAAAATATTTCCATGTACATTTTAACTTGGTTTTTCAAGATATTCTAATTGTTTGGAATTAATTTCTAAACTTACTATTTGGATCTGAATGCAGAATGTGGGGTCAGTCAGACTGATTGGATATGTATTGTACCCGAATGTAGAAACAGCAACTTCGCCTGGCGTTTAACATGTAACAAGTGTAATGCTCCAAAACCAGAAATTCCTACATCCAATGGTATGTGAAAGTTTAATCCTCATCCTTTTGGAACAGGCTTTGATGTCAGTATAAGTCTGGTTAGACTCTGTACTGTTGCTGACTTTCATTAGCTCACCTCTCTCAAAGTGAGATGGTGAGCTTTCGTGATCGCTTTTCGTCCAGCGTCCATCTGGCGTCTGTCCATAAACTTTTTATTTTAAACGACATCTCCTGATAAACCACTTAGTCAAATTCATCCAAACTTCACAGGAATTTTCCTTTGGTAGTCAACTTTAAAAAATGTTCAAAGAATTTAATTCCAAGCAGAACTCATGGCAACAGACTGTTAAAAAACCCAAAAAGCTAGAATTTAGATGTAAAGCACGAATTATCTTCCAGTGTACCAAGTTTGTTCAAATAAAAGTCCTGGGGACAAAATTTGCTCCGCCCAGAGGGGGGATCATTGTTTTTCCCTATATATATTATATGTTTATAAGAATCTTCTTAGAGCTAGAGCATAGATATTTATCATGAAACATCTTCAAATGGGTGTCTACCAAGTTTGTTCAAATAAAAAAACCTGGGTTAAAATAAGCCCCGCCCCGGGGGCCTATATACAGGTGAGCGATTTCAGGGCCATCATGGCCCTCTTGTTGAATTTTGATATTAAAATCCCTTTTATTTCTAATGGACTGTACCAAATTCAAAGTAGGGCAAAGCCATTACACAAATTAAGCAAGTTAGTGTTTAGAACAGATAGAATGGTTCTAAGAACAGTTAGTGTAATTCTTTCTGGCCAATATAGCCCAGAATGTGTAGTGTTTTATTTATGTGTAAATGAGATGTGAAGACTTCAACAAGAAAATAATACTCAAAAGATAAAATTAATTCTCCTTTGGTATATATCTGAAATTATGTTAGTTATAAACATTTTAAAATGGCATTATTCAAGTATAAACTTAAAAGGAATATTCATGTATTTCAGACACAGTAGAGACTGGTAGTAATAGAAGTGGACCAACATTTCCATCAATGGGTGCTGCAGTAGAACAAGACAATCAGGGTGTAAGTTAATTAGACAATCTTCTTTTTTTCAGTTGTTGTGTTATAGAGAAAACAAAAGTGGGGGTGGGGGAGAGCGGCCTTGTAGCTAAATAGATAGGTTGCTGTAGGAATAATTTGCTTTTCACAGCTTTGGATTTGAAATCCTTAATATTGCTAGTGACAAAATTACATAGTTGTTGGATTGTGTTACTCATACCTACCTCAGATCATGCTATAAAGATGCCATGTAATATTAATAGTGTCTAAGAGACAAAACACAATGTTCATAAAAATTTCTTTAAGTGTTTAAATTGTCAGTATAAAGTTACATACATGTAACACTACAGGGTTCGTACAGTTTTAAAAAATGCTTAAATTTGATCTCTTTCTTAAAAAGTGCTTAAAAATGTAAAAAAAAGTGCTTAAAAGTCCTTGAATTTGATTACTCTCTTGAAAAGTGCTTAAAAGGTGCTTAAATTTGCTAAAAATGTGCTTGAAAATGTTTGAATCACAGAATGACATAGTTTTGATAAAAATCAACAGTTAACAAAATATAAAAAAAAAGATCCAATTTAGTATCAAAATCAATGAAATGTTTACTCAAATTGCAGTTGTTTTGAACTAATCTGTACTTGATGCACCCTAAGTTGTTCTTCTATAATGTTAGAAAATGTGTATTTAACAAAAAATGGTGAACAAACTATCCATCATAGGTTGAAGATTGTGTCGGTATATGTGCAACAAATGTGCTTGAAAAATGGGAAAACGTGCTTAAATAGTGCTTAAAAAGTCCTTTAATTTTGGCATTGGATGTCTTTATGAACCCTGCACTATTATATCTATACTGTTATTTCTTAAGTTATTTTGTGTACAGAATCTTATATGTCATGAGTTGTCATTTCAGACAGAAATGTTTTAACAGAGTTTAGGAAATATAAAAATGTAACCGGTGGCCAGCCTTATTTCAGAAATTAGTTAAAGAATGAGTTTAATGTAACTATTTAAAATTGACTTTCAGTTTTATTTGAAGCATTTCTTTACTCGTCTGTATGATATCTATAAAGTAAATTCTGGGAAAGTTTCACTTGTCTGCACAGGCTGTGGGACAACCTACACAATACAGGCAATTGAATTTGCGGCCCCTGATGGTTATGCCTAAGTGGTTTATTAAATCGAGGATTAAAGTATTTTTTGTATATATTACAGCAACGAGAGGCTGTAATGATTACCTTTGTAGAAAACCCTATATCCCTGTGGGTGCAGATCGTTAGTGATGAAAACACACAGAAAATCTTCAGTATAACAGAACAGTTGGCACAGCTATGCCCTATAGCCCAGCATGTCTCAGGTCAGCCTGATCTTGGAAAGGTAAGTTTAGAATTATGTTTCTCTTTCCATAAGACATAGGCAATACTAACAGTGACAGTTTTAAACAGCGAAATTATCAATTTGATAATTTCACTGTTTTGAATTTAAGCCCCTTACATTGTCTCAGTGAATAACCAGAGTGCACAGTACTGGAAGCCAACTTAATGACTTGACCTCATAAATGACTTCACGTTGTATGATTATTTGGCGCGCTTTTCATTTAGTATTAGGTTAAATGTCTTTTTATGCCCCCGCCATGTAATGGCCGGGGCATATAGTGTTACCCTGTTCCGTCATTCTGTCATTCCGTCATCATCAGTTTCCGTTCATTATCTTAGTAACCGTTGCACATATTCAACTCAAACTTGACATATGGATATGTCATGAGAAAATACAGGTCAAGTTCGAATTTGGTCATGGTTCGATGATTTTTGGCAGAGTTATGCCCCTTTTACTTTGAAAATAATATGAAATTTTCAGTTTCCGTTCATTATCTCCCCAACGGTACAACACATTCAACTCAAATTTGACATATGGATATGTCATGAGAAAATACAGGTCAAGTTCCAATTTGGTCATGGTTCGATGATTTTTGGCAGAGTTATGCCCCTTTTACTTTGAAAATAATATGAAATTTTCAGTTTCCGTTCATTATCTCCCCAACGGTACAACACATTCAACTCAAATTTGACATATGGATATGTCATGAGAAAATGCAGGTCAAGTTTGAATTTGGTCATGGTTCAACGATTTTTGGCAGAGTTATGCCCCTTTTACTTTGAAAATTATATGAAATTTTCAGTTTCCGTTCATTATCTCCCCAACCGTACAACACATTCAACTCAAATTTGACATATGGATATGTCATGAGAAAATACAGGTCAAGTTCGAATTTGGTCATGGTTCGATGATTTTTGGCAGAGTTATGCCCCTTTTACTTTGAAAATAATATGAAATTTTCAGTTTCCGTTCATTATCTCCCCAACGGTACAACACATTCAACTCAAATTTGACATATGGATATGTCATGAGAAAATACAGGTCAAGTTTGAATTTGGTCATGGTTCGATGATTTTTGGCAGAGTTATGCTCCTTTTACTTTGAAAATAATATGAAATTTTCAGTTTCTGTTTATTATCTCCCCAACAGTACAACACATTCAACTCAAATTTGACATATGGATATTTTTTTGGAATGCCAAGGTCAAGTTCGAATTTGGTGATGGTTCAATAATTTTTGGCAGAGTAATGCCCTTTTCACTTTGAAAAAAATATGAAATTTACAGTTTCTGTTCATTATCTACCCAACAGTGTTACATATTCAACTCAAATTTGACATATGGATATGTCAAATGAATGGGCAGGTCAAGTTGGAATTTGGTCATGGTTCAATGATTTTTTGGCAGAGTTATGTCCCTTTCACTTTGAAAATAATATAGATACATCTTAGGAATAGGCAGTTTAAGTTTGAATTTTGTCGTGGTTCAATGATTTTGGACAAACTTATCTTTCTTGAATATTGGAAAAAATTTTGAACATTCAGATTCAGCACTCATACTTTTGTGGAAATGTATGTAGCCATTATTTTGGCTACAAATATGAAATATGCTATTTTCAAAAGGTTAAGACTGAATAATTTCAGTGCTTTGAACATTGTATGAAAATGGTTTGTGTTAACATTGAAAAGTTTTAAGGGCTTTGAACTTGAAATGAAAACAATAATTTGTGCAAACAAATTTGGAACTAAATATAATAACATCTGAAATTTTGGCTGCATGCGGGGGCATCCGTGGCATGATGACACATTTCTAGTTAAAACGTTTCTTTGCATAAAATTAAAAGAAAATTTGTTTAGTTTAGTGTAAGATCGAAATATATTTCACCTTGTGTGAACACTAAAAGTTCATATTTCACTCATAGCTGCGCCACTCGTGAAATGTACCTTTTTGGTGCTCAATCGGTGAAATATATTCCGATCTTACACTGAACTAAACAAATATCCTCTATATAATCTGTTTAAAGACTTTAAAACAAATTTATTATACTGAACAATGCTGTAAAGATAATATAAACATCAAATTGTTGGTTGAAAATCAACATTACAAACTTGCAGTATAATGATATGTAATGTGTTTGAAATGCCATTTTAAAGAGCATGAAGCTATATAAGACTTACAGAAATTGACTGACCGATTGATTAAATAGTGATTACAATTATACCTAATAAATATAAAGTATACCTTAATGTCTCAGTGTTTAAAGTCTGAATCATCTTTAAACCCTGTTTACAATAGATATGAAATATTTTATTAGAAGGCATTTAATGCTGTTAACTTAAGTTATCTATTGTATTTATTTAGATAACAAAATAATACAATGTTTCTTTTTAATAATATAAAATGACAATAATGGTATAAAAACAAGATAAGTATTCAGGTTTTTGAATATATGAGCCGTGTCATGTCAAAACCAACATAATGGGTTTGCGACCAGCATGGATCCAGACCAGCCTGCGCATCCGCGCAGTCTGATCAGGATCCATGCTGTTCGCTTATCAACTCTATTACAAGTAGATCAACTGATAGCTAACAGCATGGATCCTGATCAGACTGCGGGGATGCGCAGGCTGGTCTGGATCCATGCTGTTCGCAAACCCAAATTATGTTGGTTTTGTCGTGACACGGCTTATATATGTTTTGACATAGCTGTACACATTGTTATATGTTTCAGATATATGGCTGCTGTTTTGCTGAAGATGGCATGTGGTACAGGTGTCAAGTTAAACAATTTCTAGGCACAGATAAGGTAACACCTATTCATAAATGTACTTCGCTTTAAAAATATAGATGGTTGTATATTTATTAATAGCTAGTTTCATTATTCTATTTAGTTCATACAGATTAGTATCATCAATTATTTTTTGAAGCTTGAAGTTCAAGTAGGAAAAAAATTATATGATAGATCTAACTTTGTCTGGCAGTTGATAGTACTCGTAAATCAGTGGAAGACATTCAATCGTCTTGGACTTAATCAGACATTCAAATAGACATTTTTCACATAAACTATTTCACAAATTGTGTTACTCCTTTAATAATTTTACTATATTTAGAGCATGTTTATATTTTGCCAGCAATTAAGTTAGCTTTTGGAATGTCTGTGGTTCCACTCAGAGGCCCATTTGTACCTTAAATAATATATAAAGAGGGGCATCTGAGGTGTTCCTTCACCAGGAAAGCTGGAAAGTCGCCATATGACCTATACTGTGTGGGTGCAACGTAAAACCTTACCAAAAAAATAATATAAAAAATTCTATTTTAGAAAAATGGCAGTTTAACATAGTACTGGCTCAGATTCCAGAAAACACTAGTTATGAAAGTGCTGCTGGATTATGACTGAACTACTCAATGGTTTGCACTAAACTGATGGTAACATATTTATATATTATATATTGTTTCATTTCAGTACAAGATACAGTATATAGATTATGGTAACACGGAGGAAGTTTCCTCCAGCAGTCTAGTGGAGCTCGCACCCAGTGTTGCCAGCGTGAAGGGTCTGGCATTCAAGGTTCAACTAAATAACACAAGAGCGAAAGATTTGAGTGATAAACTGGTATATCCCCATTTTGTGTTTTTACATCCTTATTTCATGCTTTTATCTCCAAAATTTTCCTTTGCTGAAATAATTATTTACTGACCAGGAAAATTATGATATTTAAAATATCTATAGTCTAACAGAGTTTCTTTTCATAAATTAACAAAAGAGAAATAACACAAGAATAATTATGTTGCATTAATGCAATATGACATGCTAGTAATGAAAGGAAGTGTGTCACAATATGATGTCTTTTGACATTATTAAATAATTTTTTCTCAATTCATGACTGTTCAAAGGATAGTGGGGCTTTCCTACTCACATGTTGTTGGTGTAGTTAAGATTTTGCATTGGACATTAACTTAGACACATAACCTAAAAGTTGTATTTTTATTACTCAATATAATGTTTATTCCCTTTTTACATACTATGTCTTGTATCAAGGGGTCAAAGGTCAAGGTCACATTGATCTTGTAAGTAAAAACGGTTTCTGATCAATAACTAAAGAACGCTTCGGCCTAGGAACTTCAAACTTGGTATGGTGATTGGTCATGACCAGTAGATGACCCCTATTGATTTTGGGGTCAAGGGGTCAAAGGTCAAGGTCACATTGACCTTGTAAGCAAAAACAGTTTCCGATCAATCACTAAAGAACCTTAAGGCCTAGGAACTTCAAACTTGGTATGGTGATTGGTCATGATCAGTAGATGACCCCTATTGATTTTGGGGTCAAGGTCACATTGACCTTGTAGGTAAAAACGGTTTCCGATCAATTAACTAAAAACCCTTAGGCCTAGGAACTTCAAACTTTGTATGATGATTGGTCGTGACCAGCAGATGACCCCTATTGAGTTTTGGGTCAAAGGTCACGGTCACATTGACCTTGTAAGTAAAAACGGTTTCTGATCAATAACTAAGGAACGCTTAGGCCTAGGAACTTCAAACTTGGTATGGTGATTGGTCAAGACCAGCAGATGACCCTATTGATTTTGGGATCAAGGGGTCAAAGGTCAAGGTTACATTGATCTTGTAAGTAAAAACGGTTTCTGATCAATAACTAAAGAACGCTTCGGCCTAGGAACTTCAAACTTGGCATGGTGATTGGTCATGACCAGCAGATGACCCCTATTGATTTTGGGTCAAGGGGTTAATGTCATATTGACCTTGTACTTAATGACGGTTTTTGACCAATAACTCAACAACTCAAGTTGCCTTAGTTGATATGTTTATATTAAACTAAAAATGCTTTTGGTATACACATTTGAAGGTCTTATGTAATATAACAACTTGGCTGTCATTAATAAGGGCTACATGATTCATAAAATTTACGCATATATTATTTGGTAAGATTTGTAATAACTTAAATTGCTGCACACAACCTACGGGGTCACAATAATTATTACCTTGTGACTAGTCATGACCAGTAGATACTAGATAACCCTTATTAATTGTTTGTTCACTGGGTCAGAAGTCATGCATAATAACCTGATCACATGACTAATTGGCTGCCTATAGGGGGCATACATGTTTTACAAACATGTCTTGTTTTAAAAAAGTTGCACCTGCACAACAATTATCAAACATGCATACAAAGATGCTTGTGCATTTGTTGAATAAATTCAATATCTAAAAGTTCAAAAACTTTTAATTACTTCTTGAAACAACCCTTCAAAGAACATGTCAACCATGACTGTCTTTCTCAGTTGGACCCTTACCCATCAATTTGTTAAATCTGATTCACCATGTGATGTCATCAAGATATAGGTGTTCACAACACTAAATGTTAGCTTGGTTATTTTTCGTCTGATCTGATAAATATATGTTTCAAATCTTGAGATAAGAGTAATACTTTTTGCTTGATTGTGTGTTTGTAAAATTTATTATATCAATATTCAATATTTTAAAATAAATGTAATTAGATCATTAAATGGACTGTAGGGTAAGCACATTTACACCTGCTCAATTACGCATTTTGATGGGATAAAACTGTCTATTCGAGTGTCGGCTTGTGTAGTTTTTGGATGACACATATCTTTGCATGAGTGTTTATACCAGACACAAATTGATGTGAAGTGACAAATGTATGAGAATAAGGCATATTTATAAAGTATTCCATTGGTTTGCATAGAAAATAAGGTTATGTTCAAGCCCTCTTTCCTTATCTATTTACAGGGAAAACAGTTTCTGAAAGCATTGACTGATAATCAGATGGGTCAATTAGTGCGAACCCGTGCACTAGCTGATGGAAGTGGTTATTATGGACATTTATATATAGACAATATATCAGTAGGTGACAGTATGATCTCAGCTGGTTACTGTACTACTCGACCAACAATGGGTAAAACCCCTCGACAACAAAATGAGACTGGAATGTTTCCTGAACCCCCCGGACCACAGCTGATGGGGCCACCACCATATGCTGCTGGAATGAAACCTCAGAGGGATCGAAATACTGTATCCCCGTTGGGTCAGCCACCTCCGTTGATGGGACTTCCAATGATGGGAATGCCACCAGTTGGACAGCAACACATGCCAAATATGGGTTACCCTCCCATGCAAATGGCGTAAGTTTTTATCCAATTTCTTGACTGGATTTTAGTAACAAACTTGTCTTTGAATGAAGAATTACTTGTTGTTAGGTAAAGGACCTTTATACAGTTTGCAATGTAATCTTTACTACCAAATTTGAAAATTTGCTTCTTGCTAAAGAAAGTTTTGATACATTATGGCAACTCTGTACATTATTGTTTGATCTGACAATACCAGTGTTTGTTCAAACTTTACGCATCCTGTTGATGTGTTCAGTATTTCTCTCTGTTCACTAAACAATAGCCAGAAGAATAAGAGTTAGGTGAATTTCAACCTTCTGACCTTCATGCAGTGAGTGATACAGTTGCCAAAAATAGCAGTATTGTTTATTTGGGCTTGTAAGATACTGATGGACATTAAATGATTTATCATTATATCTTTTCATGACATAAATAGATGTATATTAATGTTTTTTAACTTTTAACAAAACCACTGTGGGTTGGAGTCCCATTAGGGATTCTTTCATGTGAAGAAGCTATCTAGCTAGCTTACACAACTTTAGAGACAGTGGTTGTCCTTAAGAACTGGCTCATTCCTGAAATCATGTAAGAAGGGTCATGTGAGGTCACTAAAGCTGGAATTTTAACCTTTTGACCTTTACAGTGTTGTCAGTATGAGACCAAAATCATGCATGATTTTTTGCCCCAGGATTATCTTCAAGCATTTTATAACATTTCTTTACAGACAACAAGATCTTGCTAGAGATAAAAAGTTACAAAGTAAGCTGACGAAGAAGAATCAGGAAAACGAGAAGTTGCGTACGGAAAAAGATGCTGCCAATATGCAGGCAGAATATATGCGCTCAAAGGTCAAGGTAAGCTATTATACAAATTGTATGCTATAAGTTTTGAATATACAGTATTGTGCTCTTAGGCAAAAGCAGTCTCTAGGTAAAGGGAAGAACATGACCTTATGGCTCATGTTTTGGCCCACAGCTCAGTCATGTGTAAAAAATGTAAAGAAGGTCAATATTATTCATTTTAGTGTTCAAACTTTATCATTCATGTAGATATTAAAAACATTGGTTTACTTGATTGACTTGCAAAGTATTACTAAAAAAATGGGATTTAACTTTGAAAATTAATTTTTGGCATTGATTTTGTTGTAAAAGGAAGACTCTGAGAAAAAGACATATAATAAATGTAATAATGACCTATATATTGTCACAAAATTACAGACATTACAAGAGGAGTTTGCGGCATCTGCAGCCAAGCTACGGGAAGACACAATATCTAAACGTATAAATACAGTAGTAGCCTTGTCAGCTGTTGTTAGACATCTCAGGTATATAGTACTACAAGATTTAAATAACAAAATTAAACAAATACAATATATTTGTTATGATATGACTTAGTGACTTTTTATGCCCCCTTCGTAGAAGAGGGGGGTATATTGATGTCTGATGTCTGTCTTGCTGATGTCTGTCTGTCGGTAGACCACATGGTTTCTGCTGATTATCTTGAAAACAATTTATCACAAAGTCTTCATATTTCACGTAGTGATTGGTCATAACTAGTAGATAACCCCTATTAATTTTGAGGTCACTAAATCAAAGGTCAAGGTCACAGGGACCTTAAATGTCAGAAAGGTTTCCGCTCATTATCTTGAAAAGTATTTATCACAAAGTCTTGATTATTTTTCTATTTTCTATAATTGAACACTTCCATGTACCCATTTATGGCAAGTTTCTATATAAAAATTGACACTAATGTGAGTCAAGCGCTAGAAAAGGGGGCATATGTGTTGTTCGACATTTCTTGTTCAATTAAATTGTTGTGTTTTAGATTATATGCAGTAGAATACACAAAAGTCAACATTGGCCAATTAGTTTAGCCTTAACCTGCTGAATTTATGTAATGATTTTGCCCTGCCTTTAATTTGGAACAGTCAATTTAAAGTTCAAGGGATTCTAATATGAATCTGTCTCGGGGCTAGTCAAACTGCCAGCTGGCCTGTCTCTATGCTTGTGACAAAAGCTGATCACTTTCAGTTTCAGCATGTTTAAGATTGTTGGTGTGGCAAAAAGGTCAACCAGATATACATAAAAGCAGCAAAGAAGTTAAAGATTTCCTAGTTAATAAATGATAATTTGTGAGATAATGAGAAAAAACAATTGAACAGTTAACAATAAAGATGTATCTTAGTGTATACATCAGTTATGTTGGTAATATAATCATGTGTTATATTTCTCGTGTAGAGAGCAATTTCCCACAAGTAAATCAACATGTTTACTAGAGGAGGCTATGGCGTTATGTACAGAATGCGAGAGAGTAGATAATAGCAAATGTAAGTCATTAGGGGAAGTGTCTACATCATTAGCTCGATACAAGGCTGCCCAAGATGAGATTAAAAAATGCAAAGAGCAGGTACATGTTTCCTCAATTAAGAACATTTTGCTTTATTAAGTTATTTCAGATAATTTGATTTTAAGGCATAAAATTTGAAAAATTGTTAAAGTATCATTAACTTTGGAGCCATCATTTTATTTTAATGGCATTTAACTTGCCATATATTTTAAAGACCATAGAGTTTATGTTCTTTCTCACAAAGGAAATTTTCCAGATTTTATCAAATTATGGATAAAGAAATGGAAGAATTACAGATTCTGTATAGTAATATCATTGCTGAAATATATTTTAACAACCATCTTAAAATGTTGCAATGAATTATTTTTGTTTAATGGTAATTTTCACCCAAACTTTAAAATTGTGAGTTACGTGTAGCAGAAATAATGTTTTTTTTGTCAGAAGAATCTTAAATGACGGAAATGTAAGACGTAAAATGTATAAGAATTGTAACAAATTACAGGGAGAGTTACAGGATTTGATTGGCACAAGAGATGAGTGTCGTAAAGGTTTACACAAGAGTCTTTGTGTATGTCTTGAAGAGATGGAAAATCTACCGTTAGAAACAAGATATAAACAAGTACAGGTCTGTTTATAACTATTAGCTAATTCCAGTGTGAAATAAATGATAAAGACACTGAAAAATAATGTTCTTGATTGGTCAGCTTAACTGTTAAGCCATTATTGAATGGTTCCTTAAAGTAGACGGTTAAAATGGAATCGAAGGCTGAAAAATAGTTAAATAACTTCTGTGTTTTCTGTTCACTAAGGGCTTGCTTGTATGAAAAAGGAAAAAAGACAACTTTGGAATAATTACTAAATGAAGAATTTTATTTGGTAATTTAATAAAACAGTTATTGTATAAAGGTTTCAGGAACGTCAAAGTCAATGGACCTAATGTTATATTCATCTCACATAAGCAAGGTCTATGACTTGCATATTCACCTCATCACCATACAGTGATTGTATAATATATCCTAATTGAAATACATAAAGAGGTATATAGATCTAAGAAGGATGTATTCTCCTGCCAGCCAATGAAAAGACATTTATATGCATAATTATACCAGTAATTATATACATGTAATTATTATATTAAATTTTGATTGTGTTACAATTTGAAATGTGATTATTTCAGGAAACTCAGTTAAGATTAATGAACACCTATAGCGAGTACTTGAAAATACAAGTCCAGGATGTACCCAGTCTAGAAAATGTGGCTCCAGGATTTATTTCCTGGAAGGTGAGACTTCATATTAAGTTTTATAAAAGGGCATGATGTACTAGCCTAACTTTTATGCTGAAACTGTGCATCAATGGAAAATTGTTACTAAGTGATGTTTGCATGATATAAGTTGCGCCGTTTAGTGTGCTTCTGTGTCCAGATCAAAATTTACACATTGAACATAGTTTAACATTTTTTTGTGTTTACACGCTTATTTGACTTTGAATGCAAATTTCTTTTGTGCATGCAGTGCGCAAACAATCATAAGTTTTGTTTGACAAGTTACAATTGTTACTCGTACTATTGTTAATGGGATTTCAGTGTCAAAATACTAGAAATATGCAACAATTAGCTGACTCGGACCAGACTGCATGGAGGTGGATGCTGGCTGGGTTTCTTACTGGTGGTTATGGGAAATTGGGGGTATTTTGTATATTGACAGAAACAAATGGAAATTCATGTTTATCTTTGACTTAAAATGATCCTAGCTTCAGATTGCACCTTGTTAGATTAAAATGATTGACTGTTACTATTGAAATTCTGCTGAACATTAATCACAGTCGGAAAAAAATTTGATGAAATTCAGAAAACTTCAGACAATGCGGTATACAATGATTATAATCATTCAAGAAAATTTTGTTTGTTACAAAATCAGGCATATGCCTTAATACCTTAGTAAAATAAGGAAATTTATGCTTTTATATGAGTAAGTCATGCCAGTAAATGTTGTGGTCTTGTACTTTTTCAGACGAAGAAAGACACTGAGTTTAAAGATGTGCGGACGGCTACAGATTTCTGTGAGGGAGCCTTACAAACTGCTCTTAATCAAGTGAAACAGGTAATGCAGCTTTACTGTAGAAAGAATATTTGGGCCATCCTTACCCTGACATTGTTTAGGGGTTCGTGGTCGAGTGGTTAAGTCGTTAATTCAAACAACTTCACCCCTCACCACTGTGGTTCAAGTTCCGACAGGGATTTTGGATTTCTTCATGTGAGGCAGCTATCCAAGTATCATACGTAAGATCGGTGGTTCTACTTAGGTGCCAGTTTGTGTCTAAAAAATACACGGAGAGGCACCTGAGGTCTTCTTCCGCCAGTAAAGCTGAAAAGTAGCCATTTGGCCTCTACTGTGTTGGTGTGACATAAAATGCAACTAAAAGCAAAAACAAAACAAAAACCCTAACATTGGTGTTGATTTTGAGGTGATGTTTTGTTAAGGTTTTGGGTGTTATTTTATATCATAACCACTAAAGTTTTTTGTTCAATACATTTCTCTTGTTTTTGTAAATATTGTTTACTATCTAAAACCCATAAACTGTTGTTGTATTATACTTCTTTATAGAATTCCATGCATTTGTATTCATGCTCTAACTTTCAAGAACATAGTAGAGTTATTTTAGCCACTTTTCTTACAATTGAACTAGGAGACATTGACATACACATTTAACACAAATTAATTCTGGACTTTACTGATCTATATAAACTTGTTTGTAGCTGATCAGTGTAGAGACTAATCCAGAGATAGAGAAATCTGATGTTGACATTGACGACTTGTTCAAGACATATTCACACGCACTTCAGAGAGAGGTCAACGTAACTGACTTGGTAGGTATTCCATTATCTTGTCAACTTCAGGAATAGGCACTCGATTTGTAAAAACCTAGGTAGAACAGGTAGTTATAGGTAAATCTGTTATGGGCAATGTGTAAATGAAAATAATCTAGGAAACAAAGTGTATGAATTTGTGTTGTGTATTCCTCTTTATCTTTTATCAAAAGCGGCTTCCCTAGCTGAGTGGTTTCAATCGACTTGCCTCATCCCGTTGTGGGGTCAAGACATGTCAGGGGCAATGGAGTATATCATGTGAGTTGCGTATAATGGGTGGTTCTACTCTGGATGCTCACACTCTTACCTGAAATAATTCATAGAGGGGCACGTGAGGCCTTCCTTCAGCAGTAAAGTAGCAAAGTCACCATATGATCTTTACAGTGTTTGTGCGACTTAGAACCAATTTAAAAAAACAAAGAATTGTTATGTGAATTGTATGTCACTGCCCAATATAAATAAAGAGAATGATGTCTTGGTGGTAAAGGTGTAAGCCTCTAAAACCTAGGGATCATATGTTCAAGCCTTACTTGCATGAGGATCATGTTTCCTTGTAACCTCAGTACTGGTCAGTCCCAGGAAGTGGACTCAAGAGTGTAGAAGTTCCATCATAATCAAATTTCAATTAATGTTTAGTAAATCATAATTAGCTTTGACTGTAAGTAATATATTTATACCCTCCTATTATAGGTGCACGGGAAGGATTCCAATCTAATTGCCATAGTAATTGCTTCGGTGAGAAAAGAGCTAAATCAGGAGGCTGCCACCCTTGAGAATATTGCCACACTACATAGAGAATTCAATACTCGTAAACTCTCCATTGAGCCATGGCTAGATAAACCACCAACATTTTCACATGTCCAGGAGAATAGAAAACAAGTGAAAAGTTTAAGATCGAAATTGAGGCATCTACAGGCAGATAAACAGGACCTTGAGGAGGTGCTTATATTGATTTTCACCTATACTTTATACCATTTTAAAGCAAAATTTGCCGGTTGCATTGTTCCTGTGTAGTTTTAAGCTCTCCTGAGCACAAAGTGTACATCTTTTGACTTAATTGGCTACTGAATATTCTTTGTTTACATTGGGCTTTATTATACAAAATATTTTTTTGCTCATATAAGATACAATCTTTTGGCACTAAGCCAATGCTGCGGATTATGAAAGGTTAACAATATGTGTACTATCTAGTGGAACTAGACTTAGAATCTTGACTAGACTAAATCTTGAATTAAAGTATACTGTTATAACATGTTTTATAGAGTGGGGATGAGGAAGAGTTGGCAGGTGTGAAGAAAGAGGAGGATAAGATACGCGCACAGTTACAGGATGCCCTCGTACAGTCAGATTCACTATCAGTACGTACTTAATCTTATTTTGATATTCAGTTTATATTGTCATTGATCTTCACTCTAGACTTGTCCAACTAGCAGAGGGTGATAGGTCAAAAGTTCATAAGTTTATGTGAAGATTAATTTAAAGGCAATATTTCAATAGTTTTGACATGTAATTAAGTAAGTTGATACATGTATTTCCTTACTGAAATTTTTGGTATTTCTGTTGTTACGATGTGAATTAGCTAAGCAATAGATAAGTTTGACATAGCATTTATATTTTACATTTTTTCTTTTAATGGTTTGTTCATTTCGTTGAATGTAAGTTGGTCTTCACTGCCGACATGTATCATTATGTACACTTATTTGAGAATGCTTGTTATTTTACCATTAAGACAAGTTTGTGAGAAATTGTGCCCGTAGTGCAGTATTGGGTTAATTCCTTATATGAGCCGCGTCACGACAAAACCAACGTAATGCGTTTGCAACCAGCATGGATCCAGACCAGCTTTCACATCCGCGCAGTCTGATCAAGATCCATGCTGTTTGCTATCAGTTTCTCTACTTGTAATAGGGTTTGTAAGCGAACAGCATGGATCCTGATCAGACTGCGCATCTGGATCCATGCTGGTTGCAAACGCATTGCGTTTTGGTTTTGCCGTGACGCGGCTCATATGATTTAAAGAGAGTTAGCCCATTACTGCTTTATAATGACAAAATATGGAATTAATGCTGTGAACAGATTTAAGAACATCTTTTAAAGCAAACAGACTATGATGTTATATCAAGAAATTGACTTGCATTGATGATGAGTTACCAAATAGGTATTTCAACATAAATTTTTGTTGAGATATTTTTTATCTGGATGTTTGATTGCTACATGTTCAACTCCCATCTTTGTTACTGTTATACTCTGATTTGAATTTCATGAAAATATCTCAAGCATTTATGGTTTGAATTTTATAAAATATTCTTCTTCCGCCAGTTATAAAACTCAGAAATATACATATTAAGCATAGATATAGAGGATATTGAATGAGTGTATGTTCAATACTGAATTTATTGAACAAGTTGAATAAAAGTGTATTTTGCGAATCTGTGGTGAGCAAAATATTATTTTCTTCCATGAGTTCAATAAATTCAGTAATGAACCTACACGAATATAATATTCTATTTATCACATACCTTAAATAAAGACTGTTTAAAGTGAAAAAGAATCTTTTTCATTGATGTGCCTAAAGTGTAACTGTAATATTTTATGTGTCTATGTTTGTATAACACAAATGGCGTCGCATCAACACATATGCATGGCCGTGCAATACCATATTTATATGAATCGTATGGGTATGTGATAAAAATTATTTATATACTTTCTTTAAAGTTCCAATTAAACTTGTTTTACAGACAGAGGTAGCAACATTGGCTGAATCCAATTTTCCAGAGTTGATTCTACAATATCCCGATCTTGGTATAGATAGTTATTTGGTAAGTTGGTTCTACTAAAACAACTAATATATACAATAGGTAATTCATTTTTAATCTGCTGGAACTCGAGGTGATCAGCCTTTCTAGTTATACTGGTAAATGAAAATCTTGGGTGTCATGTTGTAGATTATTAAGAAGGCTTGTGAGTTCAACAACTAAGCTACAATTAGCTTACAATTACATGAAAGAATAAAAACTCCTGGAACCAACAGTCAGTAGCGGGGAAGTGATTTTACACTGGCAATCTTAATGTCTCAGGCATCGAGTCCCCTTTAATGAATGTAAAAACCTAATAAGCAAAGTGAGTGAGAGATACACACAGACTGTCAGTAGAAATCAAAGATCAAAATCTAGTTTCTATGATATGTTAGTATTTTCAATGCATGAAATGAAGAGAGATATGTTTTGTATTATTTCAGTTGTACAAAGGCCTTGTGAAGGCAAACAGGGACATTGACTATTATAGTCTGAAGCCTGGTTTCCGGCCTGGTATATACACCTCAGTATTCAGTGGGCAGCCGGTCTTACTACAGGTAACCATATTTAATTTATTTGTGTTTAAGTGTAGAAATTTGATGTATTCTACCTTCTTTAGATAGGTGTATTGACTTAGCATCCCAGTTACTAAAACTTCCTATTATTTTCTGAAAAGTTGTTGAAATTGCAAGTTTATTCGTGATGGGTGCAAGCTCTGATACAGTGGTATACATTAAGTGTTTTGAATAATTGTAGCATTGCAAACGCAACCAATACAATATATTTGCATAGAAATATATGTGCCACTTGTTCTACTGACAGGAATTCCATATTGAAGATACAGAACAGTTTATGAAGCAACTAGTCAGTTACAACGGTGATTCAAACCAAATACAAGCAGTTTTCTTCTCCAAGGTATGTAATTCATTCATAACAGCTATACCAGATAAAGATATGATGACTTAATATAGTTTGTAGGACCCATCCGACCCATAAGGTATTGTCTTTGAGTAAATTAAGATGTTATGATCTACTGGGTTTGAATTTGTTTGTATCTTACAATGAACATCAAAATTGTGGCATATATATACTGTTACATGATGCATCATTTATAGAGGATATAATTATTTCTCACATTTCCTGATAATCAACATGATACAGTGACAGAAAATGGTTTATTGATACATAGATGGCGGGTTCAATACCTGGCTAGATTCCTTCAATACACTTATAGTAATTTGGTACTTATATCTTTCTCACTTGACACTTGCAGTTGAAGTGGTAGTTTTTCAAATTGTTCAGTTGGGGCCTCATTACAAAAAGTTCTCAATAAATCAGCCCTTAGATACAAAAGGGTGAAGAAAAACATTGCAATATATGGTATGATCGGGTAGATAGCGATATTTCAGTGAATTAGATTTACACAATAATCTCCCTGTTTTATTACTAAAGTAGAAGACTATTTTACCAATACAGCTGAAAGATTGCTGAAAGTAATGTTTAAGTGGAACATCATCCAGGGCCCTCGATCAACCAAATCTGCGGCCGATATTCGGCCGCAGTCCCCCACCAAAATAGTATGTTTTTTTCCCCCTAACAGAGGTAAAAATTCCCCCTCAAAACATATAAAGTGTTAAAGAGAAAAAATGAAAACTAATGTTGTTTTTGAAAATTAAAATCCATCTATTTGACGTCTATTTGTACATGGAATATCTACAGTACATGTCCTGCACGTTTCCGTTTGTTTTTTTCCCAAAATCTACCGTCAACATATTGGCTTTCATCCTGTAAAAATGCTAAAATTTCAACAAAAATATGCAGAAAAAAATCACAATTCCCATCAACCAATTTGATTTAAAATTGTTTATTCATGAAATCTTTTTTTTTTGTCTTCAAATGTTACATCAACCACGGTAAATTTTGCCGTAAATTACAAACTTGTAAGTTTTGTTTTCATGATACTTTATTAAATAACTGATGAAAAATGATCTTATAATAAACAATCAATTTAATTTTATATAATTTACATCAGAAACAACTAGAAATTGTGGATGTGTAAACAAAAACAAAAACAAATTTTCATTTGTCCACATATTTTCGCGATGCCGATTTTTACGAATGTTTACAAAGTCAAGAAAAGGAAGCTTTGTCTTATAAAAGGGGTGTAAGAACACTAGAAATGTAGTTTATGAATAGAATTTACTTAAGGTCCATGTATTCGTTCATATTTCTGGAAATGGAGACATTTGTCTGAATGTGTTTCTAAATGTTTATTTTTTTTTTTTTTTTTTTTTGGGGGGGGGGGGGGGGGGGGTGAATCATAAAGAAAGCTAAGCAGCATAAAGATCTGATGGTTTAAGGTGTTAAAAACTTTTCTTCAAATCTTATCAATCACTTCTGAACAGTTTAGTGTTACCTATTTGGGATTTTTTTTTTTTAAATAATATGCATGTAAATAAAAAACAGCAGAAGTTTATTTGATATTTGACCATAAAAGAAAAAGAGGAAAATTTCCCCCATACACCAAAATTCCCCCTGCTGAGGGTAGCGACCCGCTTCCCCCAAATTGGATTGAGGGCCCTGTCATCATCTTATTATCTTTAAAAAAGATGCCAAATTATGTTGTTTTCTTTTTTTTCAGTCGGATAGACTTGCGTATGTACAAACAGCCTGGGATGGTGGACATTTGTTGGATAAAGCCATGAAAATGAAGAAACTAAGTGCCGAGGAGGCACATAATGTTTGTGTTAGTTTAGCAGAACAATTAGTGCAGATTCATGCTCGTGATTGTATACATGGAGAGATAACTCCACAAGCTGTCATCATGAGGGAAGATAACTCTGTCACACTTATGTATCCAGATTTCTCAAAATCACCCGTAAGTTTACAATGTAATTGCCTTTTTTCTTGTACTTGTGATAGTGTTGTTTTTATTACTTTGTACATTTTATTTTCATTGAATGCTTAATTATTCTAAAGTATTAGGAAATAGGAGATAATTGTTTTGCATGTGTCTTGATTGGCCGTTTTGGCCTACTTTTTAAACCAAAAGGCATTTGTCTACAATGGTGGAAGGGGGGGGGGGGGCTAGTCATGACTGGTAGATAACCTCTTTGTGATTTTGAGGTCAAGCAGATTGAAGAAATTTATTTTAGACCCTGCATTGAAATTATAGGCAAATGAATAGCCATTTAGACATGCATGTCAGTGTTTTGAAATAATAACATTAATGTGACTGTTATTCCAAATATTTGCTCTATATTACAGGGTGAGCGTGTCAGTAAACGTTATGCAGCAGAAGGGGGTTTTGTATTTCAGACCCCAGAATTACAGTACACCTCTCCGGAAGTTCTGGGTAATGCAGCAGACGTCTATAACTTAGTTCTTCTCATTTTCTGGGTGAGTGTTTTAAGTTTGACTCCTGATGTGAACGGTTTGATGTTACTCTTCTGCTTTATTAACCAGGTTTTCCGAAGGAAAAAACTGGTTATTAGATTGAGGTATGTCGGCGGGCGGGCGGGCGAAAACAATTTCTTCTGTGCGCAACTCCTCCTACATTTCTCAACGGATTTTGACCAAACTTTCACAGAAGCTTTGTCATCAAGTGCCCTGGCGCATATTGTCGGGGTTTTGCGATTAGATAATATTTGACATAATTGTGGCCCTTTGTTTTTTTTCCTTATATAAAATATATAGTGAACAATTTTTCTGTGCGCAACTCCTCCTACATTTCTCAACGGATTTTGACCAAACTTTCTCAGAAGCTTTGTCATTCAAAAGTGCCCTGACACATATATTGCCAGGGTTTTGCAATTGGTATATATATTTGACCTAATTATGGCCCTTTGTTTTTTTCTTATATAGAATATATAGTGAACAATTTCTTTCTGTGCGCAACTCCTCCTACAATTTCTCAACGGATTTTGACCAAGCTTTCTTAGAAGCTTTGTTATCAAGTGCCTGGCACATATTGTTGGGTTTTGTGGATTGGATAATATATTGACCGAATTATGGCCCTTTGTATATTTTTTCCTTATACAGAATATTATAGAAGACCAATTTTCTTCTGTGCTCTCAACTCCTCCTACATCTTCAACGGATTTTGACCAAGCTTTCTTTCTTAGAAGCTTTGTTTTCAAGTGCCTGGCACATATTGTCGGGGTTTTGTGATTGGATAATATTTGACCGAATTATGGCCCTTTGTATATTTTTTCCTTTATACAAGAATATATAGTGAACAATTTCTAACAGTGCGCAACTTCTCCTACATTTTCTCAATGGATTTTGACCAAAATACTTTCACAGAAGCTTTGTCATCAAGTGCCCTGGGCGCTCACTAAATTCCCATGTTTTCTTTCCAAGACATCATTCAAGTATTTTTATACAATTGTGAACATACTTTTCTTATATCGCACAAAAACCCACAACGCCAATATTTGTTGACAAAAAGAAAATGACAAGAGACGCAAAAAATGCAAAAAATTAAGCAAAAATAAAGTACTGTTTACCTTTCTAAAACATTTGGGGAAAAAAGGCGAATAGACAACATAAAATTTCTCAATCATTTTTGTTTGAGGAATATTAAAAAAGCCATAATTCCTCCTAAAAGTTCAATTAAAAACAAATGCCCCTTCATGACAAAGCTTCTGTGAAATATTTTGCTGAAAACCTGGTTGCATCGCATTGCGATGTTCCTTGTTACAAGTTGTAATGGTTCAAAGATTAATATCTCATTTTTTTATTTATTTTTTTTTAAATAGAATAGAAATCTATTTGATGTATACATTTATTGTTTAGTGCAATCTAAGAAGAGCGGCCCATTTAAAAGAGAGATCACAATATATTTTATCTGTTGAGAAAAAACAGCTCTCAGCAAGAACCGAAATCTTTACCTCCCAATGGTTGGTGCTGTGACATCAATTTGGCTCAAATCTTTGATCCTTCAGTCAAAGACAGACACCTTAACATCTATACTACCTCACCAAGCAATTTTACACTTCTTTTGCTTTGTTTATAAGTTAGAAAATATTTTGTTGATATTTTACATGTACAAGCACTTGGGATAGTTGTACATATAATGGATTGTTTAGGTAAATATTTTATATTTGTTTTGTTTTTTCCATTGCAGTTAATATGTCCAAACCATGAAGCCCCATCTTTATCAAATGGCAGCCTTGATACCAAGCAGTTTGTAAGTATTTCTGTTTATTTTTGTCATGAAAATTTTCAAGATTTTACCTATAAATAAGTATATTGTATATTATACAGTGCTAAATTTTGTTTTGTCAAAAAGCTTTCCTAGTTTAAGTTGAACCGGTTGATTGTTTGTTGTAGGGGTTATTTCATGTGTAGACTGAATTGATAAAAAAACTAATTTGTAGATGGCATTTTGCTTTGTATGATTTTTTTATTGATTTTTTTTGACAGTGTTCATTTTGTATTATAGAGTCCAACCATGCAGCAACTGTTTGATGGGGTGTTAAGTGGGAAAGCAGCTAAAAGGGTTCACGCTAAACAAGTCTTTCAAATGTTACAAGAAGCCAAGCCCACAGAGGTGTGCCAACAGGAGCCAGTGCCAGTATCTAAGCCCGCCCAAACAGCACCAGCACCAGTCATGTCCACCCCTGTCATCAAGAGCACAAATGAACCGATGGAGATAGGAGTGTTTAGAGCAGAAGATTACATGTAAGATGACAAGTTGTTTAACAATAACTTGTTCACCCTTTTACCTGCTGGAATTGAAAGAAATTAGACTTTACCACCAGTATAGAGCCAGGCCAGCATGCCGTACGTGTAGTCTGACCGGGCTATATACTGATGGTAGCTTGATTTTATGTGTTTGATGTTGAAATCCGATGAACTGTGATCAGTGGTCTATCTGAAATTTAAAGTTTGTCAAATTCATAACACAAATTCAGCAGGTTAAGGGTTAAACTGGTTTCTTTGTGCAACCCCATAGACATTGCCCGAGGGATTTCAACCAAATGTTCACAGAAAGATTGTCTGCATCAAGGACTCTGGCACATGTTGTCAGAATTTTATGATCTGATCAATTTTGGAAAAAGTATTGCCCTTGATTTTCGTATAATATGTAACATTGGTTGAAATTTTGGTTTAATGAAAAATTTCTTCAACATCACTTGTTTCAAAAAAGATCTTTAAATTTGATTTGTCACAAGAAGTTTTTTTTGGGTGTTTTTGCTGTATAAATTGAAACTTACTATTTAAGTGACAATATGTTTTAATTGTATGCTCGATTATGATTCTACCAATTTATTGATTCTTTTGACCCACAGTCTTCATATTTGGCATGGAGGTTAGTCATGATTAGTAGATAACCCCTATTGACTTTGAGGTCACCAGGTCAAAGGTCAAGGTAACAGGGGCCTTGACTTTAAAAAGCTTGTCCGCCCAATAACTTAAGATTCCTTTGACCCACAGTCTTTATATTTGGCATGGAGGTTAGTCATGATTAGTAGATGACCCCTATTCACTTTGAGGTCACCAGGTCAAAGGTCAAGGTCGAAGGGGCCTTGACTTCAAAAAGCTTGTCCGCCCTATAACTTAAGATTCCTTTGACCCACAGTCTTCATGTTTGGCATGGAGGTTAGTCATGATTAGTAGATGACCCCTATTGATTTTGAGGTCACCAGGTAAAAGGTCAATGTCACAGGGACTTTGACTTTAAAAAGTTTGCCTGCCCAATAACTTTAGATTCCTTTGACCCACAGTCTTCATATTTGGCATGGAGGTTAGTCATGATTAGTAGATGACCCCTATTGATTTTGAGGTCACCAGGTAAAAGGTCAAGGTCACAGGGACTTTGACTTTAAAAAGTTTGCCTGCCCAATAACTTTAGATTCCTTTGACCCACAGTCTTCATATTTGGCATGGATGTTGATCATGATTAGTAGATGACCCCTTTTGATTTTGAGGTCACTAGATCAAAGGTCAAGGTCATAGGGACTTTGACTTCAAAAAGGTTGTCTGCCCAATAACTTTAGATTCCTTTGACCCACAGTCTTCATATTTAGCATGGATGTTTATCATGACTATAAGGTGACCCCTATTGATTTTAAGGTCACTGGGTCAAAGGTAAAGGTCACAGGGACCTTGACAAAAAAAAAGCTTTTCTTCTCAATTGCTAAAGAATGTCCTGTCCGCAATGTATTGATTTTGACATTTTCACATTTGAAGCATGTAGAATACATAACTTAGCAATGCACTGGCTTAGTAACCTCAGATTTGGCAGGGAGGTTGTCCTTGAGCTCTAAATGGCCACTGTTGATTCTGACAAAGTGGTATGCGGGGGTATTCACGCCATGATAGTGGCAGTTCTAGTATAGTATGAAAAATAATACTGAAAACTGTAAATAATTGTTTTTGTCAAGCATGATTAAATTTTCATGAAATAAGTTTTAAAATTTGAACATAAGTCTTATATTAATTCAGGACTGAGACGAACATACTACCAGTTCAACCAGAGCCTGTGTATAACGCTGGAGCAGACACAGATAATTCATGGACAACGGAAAGCTTGTCAGCAACTAGCAGCAGTCGTGGTGGCTCACCACTTGACAACACTGTGTTAGAGACTGCTAAATCTGATATTCCAGAATCAGTATCTAATCATACCATTGATGGTACAGACTTTCAAGAAGAAATCTCAGGGAACATGGATGATACTGGATCAGAAGGTGTCGCAGAGGTTACAAAGTCAGAAGGAAACACAAAGGTATCAGGATCTGGAGACATTACAGATGTAACTCTATCTGGAGGAGTCACAGAGGTTAAAGAATCTGAGGAGACAACAAATAAAACAGAATCAGAAGAGGTTGTGGAGGTTACACAGTCTGAGGTAACACCTTCTGAAAGGGCCATAGAGGTTACACCATCTGGAGGGACCACAGAGGTAACACCGTCTGGAGGGACCACAGAGGTAACACCGTCTGGAGGGACCACAGAGGTAACACCTACTGAGGGAGTCTCCGATGTTTCAGGATCAGAAGAAATCGCAGAGATTACAGAGAAAGGGGCAGCTTGTGAGAAGACAGTAGCTGATAATTCATGTTAGTGACAGGCTGTTCCTGTTTGTGCAATAATGGTTATCTTATCAGTTCTTTGTTCAGATTTGCATCCCTAAAAACAGTTGCTTGAGTTAATTGTTACTGAATGTTTGGCTTTCAGACAAGCTTGTTCATTGTTACTCCCTCTCTGACTTTCAGGTGGAGGTTTTCATCACAATTAACAAAAGTTTGGCTGCATTGGATGCTTGATCAGTTACTGAAAGCTTTGACTTCCAAGTAGAAGCTTGAACAAAGTTATTGAAAGCTTGGCTTTGAAATGGAGATTTGATCAGTGTTACTGAAAGCTTTGGTCTCAAATGGAAGCTTAGTTTACTCACTGAATGTCCAGATTCGAAAGCCAGGATTTCTAAATGTTAAAGAGTGATGGCAAAATGTAAGTGCTTTTTTTGGCTGGAAAATAATACAGTATACATATTTTCTAAAAAGTATTATTTCATACAAACACAATTTTACATTACTGAATGGTGCTGTTGGTCGACTTTTGACCAAGGAAACTATCTGGCTAACACATGGAAGGTCAATTGTTTGCTCTTGTCTGAAATAATGCATGGAAGGAAGGGCACAGCTTACCATTACAGTATTGGGCTTTCTAGACAAGATTTTCTGTATTTTATAAACTTTATGTCCTGAAATGTCTTTAAATTAAAAGTTTACTGTAATTTTATGTTAGCCAAAATGAGCATTTACATTTTGCCAGCCGGACTGAGGAGAGGTGATACATGTATATATATGTACCAGTTGTGTTCAGCATTTATATTTACACATTTAATTGTTCATTATTTCATGTTGCTGTAATCTGTTATAGCTTTGTTCACTTCTGTTTTATGTTAATAATTTTCAAATCAAGCAAATTTCACATATTTTGTCAAATGTTTAGAAATTAGTTCTTATTTTTTGTTGTTAAGATTTTAACTTTTTTGAAGAAGAAAAAAACGAAATTAGAGAACATTTGTACTTAATATGTGAGATATGACGTGTGTATATTTTTATTACAATATGTAACTTACTTTTATTAGTTTTAATGATTCATTTAGAGGTGTAGAATACAAATAATGATGTGAATTTATTCTCATTTATTGGTTATTTTAAAGTAACTTTCCAGTAGATTGAACAATTTAGAGAAAGATACAGTCTTAGACCCAGCTAACTACATTAAAAATTTATATGATATTAAGAGAAGTCCAAAATATCATGCAAATGATTACTGAATACATTCTGCAGGATTTGAACCCATTACAGCCTACGGCCCAAGATTGATGGCCAGTAGCATAGAACGAGCAACCTGCCCTTCCCTTACTGTCTGGAGCTATAATGCCTCAATAATGGACAGGTCTAGTGTCAAAGATTGACATGTCTTTATTACAGGTTCAAGTGTACTATGACTCAGTCCTGTATGTTATTTATGATTGAACAAATATATTGACTTTCAGAGATAAAGCAGGGACTATAGGTTAAACTGTACTTTTAGTCGGTCCTGTACTTTATATTTGATTGAATAAATTTTAAAAAAGTCATAATTTGGACAGCAATTTGTATGAATAAATTCATGAAGCATTAGTATTTTGCCAGTTACTTGTATGAATAAATTCATGAAGTGTAAGTATTTTGACAGTAACTTGTATGAATAAATTCAGGAAGTGAAAGTATTTTAAGTTACTTGTATGAGTAAATTCAAGAAGCCTTAGTATTTTGACAGTAACTTGTATGAATAAATTTAGGAAGCATAAAAATTTGACAGTAAGTTGTATGAATAAATCCAAAAAGTGTCATTTTGAAAGAAAGTTGTATGAATAAAATTATGAAGCATCAGTATTTCGACAGTAATTTTATTGATTAAATTTAGAAAGTGTAAGTATTTTGACTGTAACTTGTATTGTCATTGCCTTAAAAAAGTTATTGACAATATGTTAATGTAGAAATGGATACATATTTCAGTGAAGATGTTGCTACTAAAGCAGGAAGATATTCCTCATATTAATGGACCATCTCGAAGCCAGTCCCCTCTGTCAAATCTGTTGAATATGATGATCAAGAAAAGTACAAAAAGTGACTAGGACATGTTGATAATGGATACGGAATAAAACACCTTATTTTAGTTGTAATTCAGTTTTATAAACCTTACATCACAATTATTGTTTAAGAGTAGTAAGGAACTCTTTTATTTTTGTATAAATGCTTATATTGACAGTAACATGCACAAATGATTTTTATTTTTTTTTCGTTGATAAAATTTTTATGAAGTTTTCATGACATGCCTACAAGCATAATAGCTTGTGAGAATTGTTAGGTTTCCAGAACCCGCTGAATTTGTGGAATGGATTTGCCCTGCTTTGAATTTGGAACCATCCAGTTGAATTTTTAAGTGATTTCAATAAAAAAAATGAAAATTTTAAGCTACTTACAGTATAGAGCCTGGTCAGATTGCACAGATGTCCAGGCTGGCCGGACTATATATTGTTGGCAAAGGTTAATTATTTCCAGTTTTAGCAGGGTAAGGGTTCTATGTAAGTGACTGTAACATTTGACTGTCATCAGCAAGCTGAATATCTTCATAATGATAAAAAATCAAACCAAATTGAAGAAAACAACAAAACATGTTTTTATTAAATTTTGTACAAGAATATATTAAAGTATTGTTTTATTTTTTTTGTTTAAACAAATTGTATGCTCTTACATTGAAACATAGAATATTTCTTATCTTATGATCAAATTTTGTTCATATAGAATATTGTTTATCTTATGACCAAATTTTGTTCCTAAATCATTTGACCAAGTTTACTTTCATCAACTGAACAAATTGTATTTCTTATCTTGTGAACAGATTTTATGTATTTCTCAATCATTTGAACTGATTATATTTCTTTTTCCCCCCCGAGCATCTGAACAGATTATATTCCTTATAATCAATCTGAACATAGGGTATTTCTTATCATCTGAACATAATTGAATACTTATTACCAAATGAAAAGACAATTTCTAGATTTTTCAATGAATGAAAATTATTGTATAAACATTTTGATTGATGGTCAGCATGATTTTTGCTTATTGTTAATTAATTTGTATGTTTTATATAATAAGATTTTATTACTGAGCATAATTAACAAATTTTCAGATTTTTTTTTATAAAGCTTTGATGTTGTTATGTTCTATTTTATGCCTGTTAAAACATTAAACTGAAGGGGTGAATGTGTTCTGTGGTAATTATGCACAATCCATTTGTTTTCATGGCAGTGTTCTGATATAAACTAGTAATCGTACAAAGGTTTTTACAAGGGCATTATTTTGTAAGCATGAATACATTTCAAAAACAATTAGCTTTATTTGCAGTTTAGTTTGATGTTTATGTATATAACAATTTTTCATAATTTCAAAACTATATAATACTATAATTGTAACCCTTTCCATCTATTTGCAAATGTTATGTGTACCAAACAAGGAACAACATATTGGGCTTTTGGTTTTATATAATTATTTTGTTGGGATTTTGTATTTGCACACATAGTCCAAGAAATGTAGAAATAGTGATCATGGTAAAATGTGATCATACAAATTACACACAAGAAACACATTCTGACAAAAATAGGCATGATCATACAAGATTCATGATCATACAAATTATAACAAGATGCATGATCATACAAATTACACACAAGAAACACAATCAGACAAAAATAGGCATGATCATAACAAATTACACACTAGGCATGATCATACAAAATATACACAAGAGACATGATCATACAAATAACACAAAAGACAATATAATACAAATTACACACAAAAGGCCTGATCATACAAATTGCACACAAGAGGCATGATCATACAAATTACACACAAGAGGCATGATCATACAAATAACACAATGCATTCATACAAATAACACAAGAGGGTGATCATACAAACAACACAAGAGGCCATGATACATACAAATAACACAAGAGGTGTGATCATACAAATAACACAAGAGGCATGATCATACAAATAACACACAAGAGGCATGATCATACAAATTACACACAAGAGGCATGATCATACAAATTATACACAAGACACATGATCAAACAAATTACATACAAGAGGCATGATCATACAATTTTCACACAAGAGGCAAGATTATACAAATTACTCACACAAAAGACATGACCATACAAATTAATACAAGAGGCATGATTATACAAATTACACACAAGAGGCATGATCTTATAAATGACACACAAGAGGCATGATCATACAAATAACACAAGAGGTGTGATCATACAAATAACTCACAAGAGGCATGATCTTACAAATGACACACAAGAGGCATGATCATACAAATAACACAAGAGGCATGATCATACAAATAACACAAGCGGTGTGATCATACAAATAACACACAAGAGTCATGATCTTACAAATTACATACAAGATGCATAATCATACAAATTACACACACAAGAGGCATGATCATACAAATTACACACACAAGAAGCATGATCTTACAAATTACACACAAGATGCATGATCATACAAATTACACAGAAGAGGCATGACCATACAGTACTAATTAAACACAAGATAAGGACTCTTTTGGCTAATAGTATATAAGTGATAATTATTTGTACTTTGCAGCTTTTAACACACTGGTTTTGTCATTTAAAATTTAGGAAATTAGAAATGTTAGCAGAGCTTGTGTGCATTCATTGTCTGTTGTTTTATTTTCTTAGAGGAATATTTGTAGAACATTACAATATTGATGTTTTTATTTAGTGCTGTAGAACTGTTTTTCATTATATTTTGTTATTTCTTAATTCATTTTTTGTATCATTAAATCATTAGTTTCTGTTATTTTCCACAAGATGTGACAACTGTTGCCATGTTATGACATATTAAAATAAAATCAAATAATGTTTTTAGGATTTCTTTGTTTCTAATCAGAAAATAAACACTTTTATCAAATGACGAAAGATAAACACCCTTATCAAATTAAGACAGAGAAACATCCTTATCAAAAGAGGAAAACATTAACAAGTTGTACTGTAAATATTTCCCTATGTTCGAGTTTATTTAATTAATTTTAAAGAAAATGTTTTTCAGAAAGAAAAAAAGGGGTTGTAATGTGAGGGAGTGGCGTCCAGTTTCGTCCAGAGCATATCTTCCACATGCACGGAGGAATTTAAATATTACTTGACATTAATGTTAACTATCATTAAGTGTTGTGTGCATTACCAAAGTCTCTAAGTCAAGATTGCCATAGAAATGATGGGTTTTTATTGGTGCATATCTTCTACATGCATGGATGGATTTTAGTACTACTTGATACAATAGATATTCATCATCATGAGATGATGTGCTTCACAAATAAACAAAGTTTCTAGGTCAAGGTCAGAAGAAAACCCATGTGTAGAACAAAACTTCTAGTCTACATATTTTTAGGGATTTTGATATAACCTGGCAATGAAAGGTAGAGTGTGCACCCAAAATTCAGGTCCCAGTGCCCAAGATAAAGATCACAGAGGTGAACAGAATATATATTGAGGAAAAAATTACAAGTCTTTGATTTAAGGGATTATATCACATAATGTTCACAATTATGAAATAGTCTTTCTTCAGGTCAATATATGCAAGGACACCAGATGATGAAATTCCAGATTTTGTCTATTTTCTACTTGCTCTTGAAGGTCAGAGTGAAATTAGGAATTGTTGTAGAACTTGGCACAAATGTTCAGCATAATGAGGCTTAGTGTTAGAGGCAAAATAAAGGTCCCTTTGGCCATGCTTATATAAAATGAGCTGTTGGTAAGACATCACTTGACTATTCTCAATGCTTGACAACTGTAAAAAGGCAATCATAAGCTCATTATGTTAGATAATCACACAGAACAGTTGTGCGAAGTTTCAACCCTTTCCCTTCAGTATTTTTAGATTTACCAACTTGCACACAAAAACGTAACTAAAGTGTGACACCACTGCTTGGTGATTTTTTTGAATAGTCGAGTTAAAAATGTGATAATTGACAATTTAGTCATCAAAATTGAGGGATTTTTCTGAAAATGTTCCCTTTAATAAGACTATACATACAGGCATATTTTTGTAACATTGGCACCCATGATCCATGCATTGACTAAAGGAGATTGGAATGGAGGTGTAATGTTATCCAATACAAATGATGAATAACTTCGGGAAAGCAAAAGAACAAAAGTGGAATTTACTTTTATTTAATAATCATATACATGTAAATGTATTTCTCATGGCACATAGTTAATCTGCACATAAATATACATAAAAATCTAACAAAATAAATTTTTAGCTCGACTATTCGAAGAATATGAGAGCTATTGTAGTCGCCCCGGCGTCGGCGTCAGCGTCTGCGTTGGTTAAAGTTTTTTGTAAAGTCAAATATCTCAATTATTACTTGAGATATTCAATTGAAACTTACAATACTTATTTATAGTAACAAGGTACATCAGATTGACAAGTTGGATAACTCTGCCTACAATATTAACAGAATTATGCCCCTTTGGAACTTAGAAATTTTGGTTAAAGTTTTTTTGTAAAGTCAAATATCTCAATTATTGCTTGAGATATTCAATTGAAATTTAAAATACTTTTTTATAGTAACAATGTATATCAGTTTGCAAAATTGCATAACTCTGCCTGCAATATTTGCAGAATTATTCGCCCCTTTGAAACTTAGAAATTTTGGTTAAAGATTAAAGGTCTTCAAAGATATTTACTGGAAACTTTACACATGCACTTAGAGTCATAATTTGAGGGTCATAATTATATGTCACTGATCAAGTTCCATAACTCTAGTCTCATTTAGGCTGATTCATATCCCCTTTTCTACTTAGTCTCTTGGTTAATGTTTACATGCAAGTTTTACATATCTCAATAACTATTAAAGATATTTATTAAAAACTTCACATATGCATTTAGGGTCATAATTGTAGGTCACTGACAAAAATCCATAATTCTATCTTGCATTTAGGCTGATTTTTTCTCCCTTTTTCAACTTAGAAATTCATGCTTAAGTTTTTCTTGTAAGTTGTTATCTCAATAACTACTGAAGGGTTTGTGCCTTTTTCGGGACAATTTTTATGCATTCATAATAATAAAGCAGTGATTTACGTGATAAAACATCCTAATAACAAGCCTTTGTACCTTTTCTGTCAAATTTATTTATTCATAGGTAATTAGTATTATTATACTCAATAAAACACCCTTGTGACATTACCTTCCGAATAGTCAAGCCAATACTGTATAATTAGACTCTCTCTTAGGCCTATAACATGAATTTATAAAAAAAAATTAGCCCTTTTGTGAACTTAAAAAATTAAACAATATAAAGGCTCTTTTACTATCAAGCACTTAGAATAGTCGAGCGTGCTGTCCTACAGACAGCTCTTGTTAAATATTGAAAATATATTAAATTTTTCCTTATATTGAAATTATATTAAATATACCTGTTTCAGAAATAATCCATATGGTTATACCATAGTCTGTTATGTGCTAAGAGATCGCTTCATCTTGTCAAAACAAAGTGCTAGTTATGATCAATGATAAAATAATCTCTTAAACTAAATGTGATAACTGGGCTGTTTAAAGGGATAAATTAAGTGATATCTAAAGATTAAATACATAAAATTATAGTAAAAATTTCAAAAGATCTTTATAAAAGAATAAACAACTTAATTTTAATGAAACACAACTTCCCAATATTCTGACCTGAAAATTAACATCCAAATAATTACTGGTAAATATTGATGCTAAGGTTTTTTTAGTCACATGGTTATTTGTACCTTTCTTTTACCAATATATTTCCTTTTTGCAACATTGAGGAGATAACTATAGTGAGTATAGTCACAATTTTTGTCACTTGGGGTTTTGTATTCCTATCACCATATTCCTATAATCTCAAAACATCCGATGCATGTATGGACAATCTTTTTATATTACAACAAAATTGAGTAGGTTTTACTTCTAGAACTCGAGAGTGTTTATTTCTTTCCCTGAGTGATCATTTTAAGCATCTTCAGTGCGATATCGCCATTATCTGACGGCACCTGTAAATAAACATACACACAATATTATATATCATTATTTTAAGTGTTTTTGTTCTTTGTGGTGGAGATTTTAGACCATAAATCTGCTGGGCGCTAAATAATCTGCATGTATGACGAGTGTAGACCAAGATCAGCCAATACATCCATGCTATCTGATAGACATGGTCTGCACTATTTGCTATTAAGTCAGTTATATTTTTCTATATACATGTACAAATTATGAATGGTCATGTTCTGGTTGACAGATGGAAAAGTCCACTCAGATATTTAGCTGTAAAAGGATTAAGTGAGTTAGAATGAAAATAAAAGAAAAAAAATTAAGTTTTTAAAGCACTTCATTTATATTATTAGTTATAAAGATTGTTGACAGGTTATATGGCCCTATATAAACGGCTATTTGTAAATATAACCCTAGCTGCTAGGCGAGGGTTATATTGCAAATAGCCGTTTATATACGGCCATATAACCTTTCAGCAATCTTTATAACTAATTTATAATACAGCAAGCATAATTTTTTAGAGAAAAAAAATAAGATTTATTTATGAATTGACAACAGCCGTGTATATAAAACTATATAAATGTCACGATTATCCAATGAAAAGCGACGATACAAATGTGCAGTATTATAAAATTCACTATATACTCACTTATGACAGTGTTTATGTAACTATTAGGAAAAAAAACATAACAATAATGTTTCAAAAAACATTTATTTAATTTCTTTTTTTTTAATATTTAACTTAGTCTTTGACCTACTTTTCTTTGGCATGCATGATGTTATCCAAAGACAAATTATAGGAACATTTAAATGCAGGGCTAAATAAAAGCTATGAGAAAAAAAAGACAGAAAATAGTCCTCATTAGTCCAAAAGGCAAATATTTATGAAATTGTATTTATCTTAAATATAATAGATAAAACAAGATTGCATGTGAGAAAAATGCTATGCCACCGCATTAATACAACACTAAATAGTAGTGTAGGAACAGATTTTTTTTTTGTTTCTATACAATTTTGAAGATTGTCATAATGCATAGATCCCTGACCTATCTAATTCTTATTATCAGATTAGTGGTTAAATCTGTTGTTAACTCAATAAAAGATCAGAGTAGGAATATATAAATGCACTGGAGTCTAGTGAATTTGGTGGTGAAGGTCATATTTCACACAGCCTAAATTTCATGACTACATCAAAGGACAACACAATAAGACACTTTGTCAAAATCTAAGTCAGCTGATATCAATGTTCACTTTACATCTTAATCTGTACACATGGTTCAAATTTCATAGCTGTACATCAAAGGACAAGAATGTAGGTCACATCATCAAAATCTAGGTCACCTGATATCAAAGTTCAATTTTACAACTTAAACTGTGCACATGGTCAAAATTTCATTGCTGTACATCAAAGGACAAGAAAGTAGGTCACTGTCCCCTTTGGCAAGGCAAAATTTTGGACCCATGGGTTTAATTCAAAACAATCTTTATACAGGTCCACCATACAACATTTCAAGTCAAATATCTAAGCTGTAGCTTTCTCCCATTCAGAAAACATTTGTTTTATTTTGTGTACATAATGAGAATCACTGCCCCCGGGTAGGGCCAATTTTGACACCAGGGTAAAAATTTGAACAACTTTGGTAGAGGACCTATAGATGATATTATATAGCAAACATCAAAGCTCTATGCCGTGTACCTTCAGACAAAAAATATTTTTTATTTTTTTACCAAATGTACAAAATGAAAATCAATGACCCCCGGGGCGGAACCAATTTTAACCCCAGGGCTATAATTTGAACAATCTTGGTAAAGGTTCACTTCGCAAAGTCTCATGCCATATATTTAACCTCTAGCCTTTGTCAATTCAGAGAAGAAGATTTTTCAATTCAGAGAAGAAGATTTTTCAAGTTTTTACTTTATACATATAAGGAAAACTATGGCCTCTGGGGCAGTGCAATTTTAACACTAGGGGCATAAATAAACAACTTTAGTAGAGGACCCATAGATGATATTATATACCAAATATAAAAGCTCTAAGCCTTGTACCTTCAGACAGAACGATTTTTTTAAATTTTTTACTATATGTACATAGTGAAAATCAATGACCCCTGGGGGTGGGGCCAATTTTGACCCCAGGGCTATAATTTGTACAATCTTGCTAGAGGTTCACTACATAATATTTCATGCAAAATATCTAAACTCTAGCCTTTGTAAATTTAGAGAAGATGATTTTTTAAGTTTTTACTATTTACATATAAGGAAAACCTATGACCCCCCGGGGCGGGGCTAATTTTGACACTAGAGGCAAAATTTGAACAACTTTGGTAGAGTACCTATAGATGATATCATTTAACAAATATTAAAGCTCTAAGCCTTGTACCTTCAGACAATAAGATTTTTTGATGTTTTACTATATGTATATATTGAAAATCAATGACCACCGGGGCGGGGGCAATTTTCACCCCAGGGCTATAATTTGAACAATCTTGCTAGAAGTTCACTTCACAATGTTTCATGCAAAATATCTAACCTCTAGCATTTGTCAATTGCTAGAAGAAATTTTTTTTTTAAAGTTTTTACTGTAAGTATATACATATAAGGAAAACCAATGACCCCTGGGGCGGGGCCGATTTTGACCCCAGGGCTATAATTTGAACAATCTGGGTAGAGGTCTACCAGACAATGCCTTGTGCAAAATATCTAAGCTCTAGGCCTTTTGGGTCTTTACAAGAAGGTATTTTAAGTTTTTACTATATGTACATATAAGGAAAACCCATGACCCCCCGGGGCGGGGTCGATTTTGACCCAAGGGCTATAATTTGTTCAATCTTGGTCGAGGTCTACCAGACAATGCCTTATGCAAAATATCTAAGCTCTAGGCCTTTTGGGTCTTTACAAGAAGATTTTTTAAATTTATTCTTATTATTCCTTTTGGTTGCCATGGCAACCAGATTTCTGCATGGAATGAAATTCTTTGAACAACTTTGGAAGCCCTTCACCCAAGGATCAATCCTGCCAAGTTTGGTAGAAATTGGACTAGTGGTTTTTCACAAGAAGATTTTTTAAGTTCACTATATAATCTATATAACACACACACAAACAAACAAACACACAAACAGGTGAATCGCTATATGCCACCGCATTGCAGATGCTGCGGTGGCATAATAAATGAAATATTTACCATATGACCGGCATCAAGAATCCAGTAAAATGAGAAATTCTTCGCTTTTTTAACATAGCCAGATGTTAATCGTGTCAATGGATCTAGTATCGGGGAACGTTTAGCATCTCTGAATTCCTGTGCGATTTCAAGTCTATGAACCCACTCTTCTGTTCCTAAAATAGGTAGTATAAAAAGATTAAAGGTGTATGGTAAGGTAACATATTGCAGATTGAAAATTACAAAATAAAAATTTAGTATACTTTGCATGATCTTAAAATATGATAAATATGACCTTGACTTCAAAATTTCAGGATAATTTTACCCTAACTTAGTTCATCCCTTATTTAGTTACTGAGATCAGAGTCTTACAAATATTTGTTTGTTTGATTGGGTTTTACGTCACACCAACAAAGTATAGGTCATATGGCGACATTCCAGCTTTACTGGTGGAGGAAGACCTCGGATGCCCTTCCATACATTATTTCAGGCACGAACGGGCATCTGAGTAGAACCACCGACGTTCCGTAAGCTAGCTGGATAGCTTCCTCATATGAAAGAATCCAAAGTCAGGATTCGAACCCACAGCGGTGAGGGGCAAGTGGTTTAAGTCAACGACCTTTTCCACTCGGCTACGGGCGCCCCTACAAATATTTGAAAGATCCTGTTGAGACACATACTAATCGATTTTCAAAGGTGATTTTCTATTTGTAGCTTTATAAATGAAAAACAGTAAGTTTTAACAAGTCGTAGTAATATTTAGTGAGTTTTATAATTTACTTAAAGTGTTAAAAGAATTGGCATAAAAAAAAGATAAATCATTGAAGGCTTAACTTACCTATCGTGTCCACAATAAGATCAAGTTGACCACTGTAAACAACCACTTCTAAATCTGTGTTCTGTATTAGGTCATCAACTTGAAACAATATTTCAATTAGTTAATATAACCAGTATTATCAGAGTTTTCAATCAATATATCAGTATTATATTTATTATACATGTATGTTATCAAGGAACACAGTTACATAGGACAGGCCTAGAGGTTTTAAAACTTTTTTTCTGACATCAGTCTAAGATCTCAGGATATTCATTGGTCATCAATGTACATTCTGTGCCAGTTTTTGACCAATCACATACCTGAGATCTAAGTTTGGGCATGGAAAATGTATTTATAACCTCTACCACTCGATAATATTCCACTTTTGTAACATTGCTTGTCACTTGATAATAAAGACATTTATGTATAATCTACACGGCTGCAGACAAGTATTTTATTTATGAAGTATTTTATTTTTTCCTCGAAGTATTGTGCTGCACAATAAAATTATTATAGTGTTGACATACTATATGGCTGTATATCAAAATTTGTTTGCAATATAAACCTTGTCTAGCAGCCTGTGTTTTTATGCAAACATCTGTACATATTTGCCATATAACCCGTTACAAAAATCTTTATAACTAATAATATATATATTTTGTATAGGTTTTAAATTTTAAAGGAACAATGAAATTGTTAAAGTAGTAACTTTATATATATAATAGAATAAATACGTTATTACCAACAGAATAAAGTTATTTACCTATATCTACAACAGGTTTCATGAAGTCACCACTTTGTGTAGCAAATACTTCACTAGACTGACCTGAAAATCAGTAAGTATATGTTGTATCGTATGGTATCATATTATATCAATATCATATTAAAAAAGGTATAGGTCTTGTTTATTTTAGTGTCAACCCTACTGAAAGGGCCAGCCATTTCTGGCTTATGAGACACCTTTTGCTTGCATACCATGTACCTCCCAACTCCTATCACTATGCTAGGCGCTAGGCGGATAGAAATCGGTAACCATTCATTTAAACTACCTCGCGGCACACAAAGCGGCCATTTTGGAACGAGTCCCACGATAAACATTCATCCTTCAATTAACGCTACCCGCATGGCTCGAACCTTTGACCTCCCATTCCGAAGGCCGATGCCTTAACCACTAGGCCAACGGTACTGGTATTATTATATTAAATTACTTCACAGTAATAATTATACATGTTAAGATTTCATAGATGTTTCAGTCACACAGAAAAGTGCACATCTTATCATTTCATTGGGTTTTAAAAAAACAAGAATAAGAATATTGTCACCACAACAAGAATATGTCAAAAGGTTTTTAGTCACAGAAATAGAAATATCAAGTGGCAATAAGAGCAAGTCTATTAATTCCAGTTTACTAAAAATGCTTTTCCTTTCCTTTGATTTCATGCCTTAATAAAGTATTTTAAAAATTTCTTAACATATATATAACTTGGTTTTGTTTGAGACAATTACAAAATATACAGATTTTTTTTTAAAAAAGTATATCTAATTAGATTAAACTGAGCTTACCACCCCATACGACTTTGTCTGGAATGATACCAAGCTTTTGCTTAATCTTGCCATTCATCAACTCAGCCAGGTCATCTTGGTGCAGACGTGACAGCATACGACTTGATAGACTATCCTGACCTAGAAGATAAAATACATGTGTGTCCGTATACATTATCCTGACATAGGACACAAAATACACGTAGGTGTAAAAAAAGATTTTCTTGCATATCAGACTTGTTTTTTTAATTAGTTTTACCTATCTGAAATGGGGGTGACAGAAAAGTTGCGTGCTCCAAAATGGCATCATATTGGCGCATTTTAGAATTACATTTCCTTCTAAATATGACGGCATTTAGCCATGCTGAATGAAGTTGTAAATTCATAGGCTACTGTATGAAAATCATTATGGATGAAATGAACAATAATGTCCATGAAAAATTAATTAATTGTGATTAACCATTAAAAAAAATATCGATAAAATATGCAAGCATTGTTACAGCCTTATGGGCAGGTACCCTCTGGATGGATGATATGATCCAAACCACAACATATGACAGATATTATTAATCCTGAATTGTTTCATTCTTATATTGAAATTAAAGCAATGCATGCTAATTTAATATATTGTTGAGTTTTGTCCCTATGGCATTAACCTATATAATATTTTTATTAGCGTCAGTATTGTTACTGCAAGTTAACGGGATCACCCCTCCTTACTGCAAGTTAACATGATCACCCCATTCATTAAGTTTACTATATTGTTCTTAATGAAAACAATTATTATTAAAGAAATCATCTATAAAAAGAAATAAATAACTTCTTTTAACTAAAGATAATATGTAATAAATACCTTTAAAAAGCCTGCATGTTTCATCCTGACCCCACTTGAGTATGTTGTAAAAATTGACACCATTGGTTGTCAAGGCAACAATAGTTTGTGTGGCTCCCCAGTTACTAGTTGCGTCTTCCCATTTACCGTCATGAATGTTTTGCTCGATTATGATCACTGACTTATTGATTGAGTTTAATCCAGCTCTATCTATCAGTGACTGTAAAATAACATAATCATATCATTTAAAGCCAAATCCACTGTACGACCAATATCACAAACTAAATACAAACAGGACTTGAATATAACTCCTATGAAATACTAGTATAACTAGAACTGTGTCCAAAGGACATGGATGCCCCCACCGACAACATTTATATGGTATATAGTGAAATAATCAACAAAGGGCCATAATTCTGTTAAATTTGGTCGCAGCAAAAATTCCTTCCTTCACTACCATCTACACATTAAGGTTGTTCATCCCTGGAAGTTTAAGCAAAAATCTGCCATCCGGTTTAAGAGGAGTTGCGTTCACAAAATTTCTATATAGTATATAGTGAAAAAATCAACAAAGGGCCATAATTCTGTTAAATTTGGTCGCAGCAAAAATTCCTTCCTTCACTACCATCTACACATTAAGGTTGTTCATCCCTGGAAGTTTAAGCAAAATCTGCCATCCGGTTTAAGAGGAGTTGCGTTCACAAAATTTCTATATGGTACAAAATGTATATAGTGAAAAAATCAACAAAGGGCCATAATTCTGTTAAATTTGGTCACAGCAAAAATTCCTTCCATTACTACCATCTACACATTAAGGTTGTTCATCCCTGAAAGTTTAAGCAAAATCTGCCATCCGGTTTAAGAGGAGTTGCGTTCACAAGATTTCGGGACGTACAGACAGACGGACGGACAGACAGACGTACATGCGGACGGACGGACAAGTGCAACGCTATATGCTCCCACTCTGTGGGGGCATAATAACTATAAAGTTTGTGGTTTTATGATGTAATTATTTCATGAATATTGTAAAGATGTTTCAAAATAATTGAACTTTGAAATTTAATCAGTCATTTGAAGGAAGGTTACTATGTATATATATATATACATTTATATATATATACATTTATATATATATATATATATATATATATATATATATATATATATATATATATATATATATATATATATATATATATATATTTTTTTTTTTTTTTTATGAAAATTAATCAGTATGCTTTGCAAAGGCTTGCTGACAATCAACATGTTTTCGTATAAAATGGACCATTTAAATTGAGTGACTGAATAAACCTATTATCTTGGTTAATGAAATGATTGACAAAGATCAAGCAAAAGTAAAAAGATTAATGAATCATGGATCTCTAAAATGAGACTAATAAAACTAGTATTACTCACATTAGTATAAAGGTAGGGAGCCCAGGTGACTGTGGAATCTATTGGTGAAATCCAGGAATCTCCCATCGCCAGACCTTTAAAGTTACATTTGATATCTCCAGCTTGTATTGCCTATACAATTAAATTATCATGTTTAAAATATAAAATTTGTGACATACCATTGTACATTTGTATATTTATTGTTTTTCTTTGGATAACTCTTATATTTAAAATGATATGATATTTAAATAATATTTTGTATTAGCTTTAAAATTTGTATCACTCGCATGCAGGTGCCCTTGTTAATATTGTGTGATTAAAGTTTTTTAAAGATACTGGTCGGAGAGATAACTCCGATGCATAGATAACCCCGACACTTGATAAACATAATTTTAATAACTTTGTTTTTTTTAACAAAAAAGCATATGGTCACCTAGTAGTATAGGAGCAGGACAGAATGTGATGATTTTTTGTAAGTTGGTAAACTTTTTTAATATTTTTCAAATAACCAAAACTTTTCGTTCAAAACATTCTTCTTACTAAATTACAATGAGGTAGTTAGAAATGTATTGACCAAAGGCCACTGACTTGGGAAAGACTTTTGAAAAAATGTTTTTACATCAACAAACAAGAGGGCCATGATGGCCCTGAAGTCGCTCACCTGTATATAGGCCCCCGGAGCGGGGCCAGTTAAAGTCCAGGGCTTTTATTTGAACAAACTTGGTAGACACCCATTAGAAGATGTTACATGCTAAACATCTAAGGTCTAGCTGGTCAAGTTTTTTCTTTACACATATAGTTAAAAACAATGACACACCTGGGGCAGGGCCAGTTTTGACCCAAGGGCTTTTATTTGAACAATCTCTGTAGACACTTACTAGAAAATGTTTCATGCTTAATATCTAAACTCTAGCTATTCGGGTTTTTTCAAAGAAGATTTTTAAGTTTTTGCTATACACATATAAGGAAAATCAATGTCCCCCGGGGCGGGGCCAATTTTGACCCCAGGGCTTTCATTTGAACAAACTTTGTAGACACTCACTAGAAGATGCTTCATGCTTAATATCTAAACTCTAGCTATTTGAGTTTTTTCAAAGAAGATTTTTTAAGTTTTTGTTATACACATATAAGGAAAATAAATGACCCCCGAGGCAGGGCCAATTTTGACCCCAGGGCTTTTATAAGAACAAACTTGGTAGACACTCACTAGAAGATGTTTCATGCTTAGTATCTAAACTCTAGCTCTTTGGGTTCTTTTTAAGAAGATTTTTTAAGTTTTTACTATATGCATATAGGGAAAATCAATGACCCCCTGGTGCGGGGCCAATTTTGACCCCAGGGCTTTTATTTGAACAAACTTGGTAGACACCCATTAGAGGATGTTTCATGCTAAATATCTTAGCTCTAGCTTTTTGGGTTTTTTCGAAGAAGATATTTAAAGTTTTTTCTTTTGGTTGCCATGGCAACCAGAGTTCTGCATGGAATTAAATTCTTTGAACAATTTTCAAAGGTGACCACCGAAGGAACATTCCTGTAAAGTTTGGATGAAATTGGCTTAGTGGTTTATGAGAAGATGTCATTTAAAGTAAAAGTTTACGGACGACGGACGGACGAAAAGCGATCACAAAAGCTCACCCTGTCACTTTGTGACAGGTGAGCTAAAAATAGTTAAAACATATAAGGTGTAAAAATAAATTAATGATGCTGATTTTCCTGTCATTTTTTACTTAAAAATTTAAGAGTCGACTTTATCTACTGTTGTGGGGTAAAAAAGACCATGTTTTGTATACCTCATTCAGGACCTTAAAGAAGTACCAATTCTCATTTTCATACATAATTTTTGTAGTGTAATGTAAAGTCTTTGAACTGAGCTTTATTTATGTGGTTCAAAATTTAAAATATACAGGAAGATAATGAAGATATTACAAAAAATATGTGATTTAGTGTCGGAGTTATCTCTCCAACCAGTAATAATACTTTGTTCAAATTTGATAGTAGAAAATATTGGTAATTGCTACACAGTCTCTTAGTAAATTAAGAAATAATATATCCCAAACTGTGATTCTATCGCTCAATAAAATCAGTTTGTAGTTCGGATGCGAGGAATTATATCACGAGGGCATAGCTTTTACTTCACACAAAGTAGATCAATGTTTTCTTTAAAACTCTACACACTAAAGGTGGCCACAATATGAATATACAAGTACAGTGTCATTAAAAAAACTGGCCACTATATATACCTGATACAAAGCTTGACTGATAGCTGCTGTCATTTTTCCACCATAAGATTCTGAGAAGATATAAAATGGTACATCCTGAAATAAAAATGTTTTGATTAACATGAACACTCCAACATCTATATCTTATGAATTGAAAAGTTTTGATTTAAAAACAAGAAAAAGAAACAAGAAAATGTTTATATCTGGATATTGTTATATCTGTGAGGCAACCAATCTGAAAACTTAGAGTCGGGACTGGGACAACAGCATCGTTATAAACAGTATATTGCTATAAGCGATGAGGTTATATGTGGAATTTACTATATTATCATATCTTGAAGTTGAATTGTAAAGCAGAACACAGCAGATATTCCTTGTTTGTGTTATGTCTTTAGACTTGTCAGGTCAGCAATTTTTTTGTTAACATTCATGCCCTGTAAGCCTTGTTCTGGTGATAGATTGCATTGTATGCATATCTTTAGAGAAAGGCCTGTATCAGTCATCAATCTTTATTTACAACAACCAAGAATCTAAAATTCATTTTAACAAAATAAACCGTTTTTGTAAATTTTTGATTTAAAACAAAGACTGAATTAACTTAGCATTGAACTACACACACTTAAAGAAAAGAAGAGCTTAACAAGCTATGATTATGTAAAAAAAATTTTCTGAAGTATTAGAGAATACCTGAAACTGAGGAGATTTTGTCATGAAGAATGTTGTCAAGGTAACCATCATATCAGCTGCAATACCGGCTACATCATGAGTGTAAGCGTCCTTGTTATCAACATAACTGTAACCAGTTCCTACTGGGTTATCAACAAACAATAAGCTTGCTACTTGTAACTGAAAACAAAAAATCTTGGTTTTCATTTTAAGTCATATAAACAATGTAAAGATCATTGAATGATTTTCCTTGTGTTGCCTCTTCATGCATCATTCCTAACACCAAATAAGTAAGAGCTGTCAGGACAGCGAGCTTAAAATTTCTCAGTGAGTGATAGAAGAGCAAGAGCCAGGTTTATGTAAAATTTTCTAAGTTTAAAAAGGAACTTAATATCCATATAAGAGTTATGGGCCTTGGAAAATTACCTCCTATTATGCTCTCAAACAACTGTGAAGTTTCAATCTATTCCCTTTAGTAGTTATGTAGATATCAACTTGTACGCAAAAACTTAACCGAAGTGTTATGAAAACAGCAAAGCAGACGCATGAGTAAGTACATTTTAGCTTTATACATTAACAGCTCAGTTTTAGATCATTACATTATTTGGATATTATGTGCACCACTTATCCTCTAAGCTAGCTGGTTAGAACACAGCCAATGGCATTACACAGTTTTGATGATAGAAAGCATACCCATGTTGTATTTCGTGAATTTTGCTGCACATCTAAGGGTCCAATCTCCTCAAAGTTTCCAAATCCTGTACCTGACCCTCCTGGTCCACCCTGTAAACAGTAAAAATTTTATATATAGAATCTTTTTTTTTTAAACTCAATACTGAATAAAGATGATAATGCTTATTCATGAAAATCTATATTTAAGGAGTACTGAATCATCGGCAAAAGCTGAAAGTGTTGACAGGAAACAATTAAAGAGAAATGAAAAAAACAACAACATTGTTTCTCTTCATTGGGTAATCTCTACTGTATAGTATAATAATTACATGTCTGAACTGTTAAGTAGGTATTAGCTGTTAAATGTTTAAAGCTGTTAGGAAATATGTGTACCTGTAACCACATAACAAGTGGAGCTTGTTTAAATCCTTCAGGTGCTGTGGTATAGTACAACCAGTAGAACATGTGTGCCCCTTCATGTACATCAACGTAACTCCATTCCTGTTGTGGTTCAGCATGGTAACGTACATACTTTAATGGTTCTATATAATCCAAATAAAATATATTTATTAATTTCTCCATAAAGCATTATTGCACAAAAATTAAATTTAAACAAAATATTACCAAAATCTGTATCTATAGGGAGCTAATTACACTGTAAACGTGTCACGGTTCAGAACTATTCACTATTTAGAGGAGAAGATGTGAAAGCAGCCGAATAGCTCAGCCCTAGAGCCACGGAACGGTATTCCGAGGGTTTCGTGTTTGAGTCGAAAGTTAGGCTCCCATCCTGTGACATTTGGCTGCCAACATGGAAGCAGATATAGATCAGAGTTTAATTCACATTGCTCTGTAAACTTGAGAATTTGACGACGAATTTCAATACAGCAGAGTACTAAGTCACAGTTCAGAACTGTTGATTATTTAGGGGAGAAGATATTAGCTGCTGTAAAGCTCAGAACTTAGAGCCGCAGAACAGTATTCCAACATCCCAGGTTCGGGTCCCAGTAAGGCTGCACATTTTTCTTACCCTGTGACACATAATATCAAATGTCTTATTATTTCTATCCTATGATATGTACACACAAATGCTATTCTATTTTAGTAAAAATTTAAACAAAATAACTTCTCCTTGAAACTTACTTCATATATTACACTACTATTACAGTTCATGTATAGTAAATGAAAAAATGCACAACAAATAACTTGAGTTTTATAAATGGTTCAATAGTCTCAACTGAATTTTGAAAATTGCTAATTGTATCAATAATCATTGCATTTTTCAGTTTAGTAGATCTACATATCAGTTCAGGCTTCTTTAAAAGTAGATATTTTCAATTCATTAAAAACTAAATAAGTAGGTAAACCACTTACCAGCTGTTATACTGACCAGAGCAACAAATAGTGTTAATAAAATCACTAACTCCTTCATATTCTCTGCCGGTTTCACTGTTTGTGTACTGTTTCAATAGAAGTGTCACATGACTATCATGTGATGTCCTAGATTATAAAGTTTATTAGAAGACAGTGTTTATTAATCTCATGTCCTTTATCTTCCATAAAAATCTTTCTAGTTTTAAAACACACAAGTCACAGGTATTCAAGATAATAGATTTATCACAGTGCTTTTCACAAATAATACAAAATATCTTCTGTAAATTGTTAATTATAAAACACACAAATTACTTATTAATTCTAATTCCCTGTTAATTAAAGGGACTGCACTGATTTTGACATAACACCACTGGAGAGAAACTAATTTTTGTTTCAAAAACATGAGATTACTGAACCATTATCCATAAAAAATGTTTCATTACAACCATGATATTAGGAAAGTTTTGGCTTTTTTGTTGTTGTTCTTGCTGTTTTTTGTGTAATTTTTTTTCTTCTTTTTTGGTGTGTGTGTGTGAAGGGGGGGGGGGGGGGGAGACTTTCCATTGCAATCTTGCAGGAACATCATGTTATATTGATGAATAGCATTTTCAGAATATCAACACACCCAGTTTCATAGTTTGCTTTCTTAAAGTTTTGGCCATAATTATTATTTAACCATTCATTTAATGTTGCATCTATCTGGATGAACGCCTGCCTATGAAAAGTTTTATTTTTTCTTATTAGTATCAAACTACATGTATAACATATCCTTTGGTACTGCATAATGATGTTAAATAGTATATTTATTAAAATCGTAATTTCAGTATGAACACATCTATACAATATGTAATTGGAAGGCAGTAACAAACTAAAGGTCAGGGGCAATTAAGTTGTTATTTCCTTAAGCAAGAAACTCTATATACTCATTGCTCAGTATTGGTAAGTTACACCAGGAATGGTTTATGTGTACATATAAGCTTATAGCTTCCAACACAATCAGACTAAAATAAATTCTGTATCAAAACTTTATTTAACTGTATATCTGCTTTTCTTTTTTTTCCATTTGAAAAATATACTATGGTTTTGAAATACAAAAGATAAGCATGACAAGTTTAAACTTAAGAAACATTATAATTACAAGATTTCACCAGTAATTACCTAAAAACAATGTAATATCATGTATAACAAGAATACAGCTTATGCGTATTATCTAATTAGTTTATCTAAAGTTTATTTTCCCAGCATTTATAACAAAATGTGGTAGCAAGCATGTCATGGGTGATCAAATTAGATTTGTCGTAACCACTGCAGAAAACGAATCAAATTTTATGTAATTTTCTAATTATTAGTCAGAAAATACATTTTTGATTATTTATGTTTTTTGTTTTACTTTAAAAATCTTATTTTCTATACATTTGTTGTATATATATATAATTTCTTTTATAATTTATTACCTTTTTAGTCAGGAGGAACAAATTGTATTTAGCAGTTAATTGCAAGAAAAAATTATCTGAAAATTATCATACAATATTGGTTCATCAATGTCATATGGAAAAAATATAAATAGTGAATTGAAACTATGGGAAAAGTGGAAAATTTGTAATTAGTAATTTCATTTGGAATTAATGATGAAAAGATTAAAAAAAATCTAAATTTGTCAAGACATGTTTCACTTTTATTTAGCTTCTTCAGAAAGGAAATAACATGAACACACTGAAACAGACAGATACATTTTTTTTGGTTGGGTTTCACGTCACACCAACACAATAAATGTCAATTGGAGACTTTCCAGATTTACTGGTGGAAGACCTTAGGCGCCCATCTATGCATTTTTACAGGCACAAACGGAACCGGAGTAGAACCACCGACATTCCGTAAGCTAGCAGGATAGCTTCCTCATGTGAAAGAATTCAAAGTCCCTGATGAGATTCCAACTCACAACAGTTAGAGGCAAGTGGTTTGAAGTCATCAACCTTACTCACTCAGCCACAGATGACCCGTAAATAAACATTATTAAATAAAAGGTTGATTTCAATTATTTATAAATAATTTGCGTATTTTGGAATAAACTAATTTTGGTTCTTTTTAAATAAATGATGATCTGGATCAGGTTGTACAAGAACTTGTTCTATTCTATATGTAACTGTCTCATCCCAGCAACTCTGTTTACATGTATACACCAATACTGTACCAAACTCTATAACGGATTCTGAAATAAACAGTTGTAGGCAAGTGTGAGATTCATGATCCGATATGACATAAATTTACATAGCAGATAAATATATTATTATTCATTATATAAATGTTCATACTAAATCAATTTGCACTTTACCAATATTTTTTTCAAGCAATATTTTATAAGAATATCCAAATGATACATTTCTATTGATTTTATCAATATTTGAAATACAAATGGAAAATTTGCTATTGTACACGTTCATAGACCTACAGCAATACAACACATCATTTCTTTATTTGGTATAAAACAGAACAGAACACATCTTAAATTGGCAAATAAGCAAAATTTAAAAAGTACAGTAAAGAAATCTTAATCATGAATGATAGTTCTACTGTAATTAGTAACATATATCTTCAAGCATCCTAGACCTGTTTGATGTGGGAATTTCAGATGGTTTATTAAAGCTGGAGTTAGCTGTAGCTCAAACACAACTTCTCCTCCACAATGACAACATGCATTTGGTAACTTGCTGGTTGGGGACCTATTAAACAATGCTGAACCATTCCACTGGTACCTACAACAATAATGATTTCCATTGTATTTTGTTTCTTTTTAAAGTTAGTTATAATATCCATCATACATTTTTTAGAGTCACCAACAGAAACTCATACCTGCAACACACTCCACAAGACCGTTCGGTTTTTTCTTCTATTAATTTATTTTTGAGCGTGCTGAAACTCCATTGCAAGTGAAACTACTTGTTCTTTAATGTGCAGTCTGGTTTGGTTTAATTGGTTGGCTTTAAATTCATTGGGGGAACAGTGTTACCTATGGGCCACTTAGCGTGCTTTTTATTCACAAGCCACTTGATAAACAGTTTGTTATTGTAAATGCTTAATCATGGAAGCATTTAGCACAGATATGTTTGATATTTCAACATTATTGATATGTCAAAAATTAAATTATCATATAATCAAGCAAGCCATGAACATTAAGTGATTATTAAATGTGTCAATTTTTTATTATATCTAAAATTATCATAATAATGAAAGTTTCAAAGTCTATTAAGGTTCAGCACGTACCAAGTTACAGAATTAAAATTACCTCCCTTTTTCTATTTGGACAGGGAAAACATGACAAACTTCTAAAAGAATGATTTTATTCTTAATCAAAATGTAAAAAATTACATACACAATCAGTGTCACGAAGTTATAAAACAATATTTAAAATCATAGAAATTCCATATACATCTTCAAAACCTATGCAATATTATACCATACCTGATACATTGTTCAGGACAAAGTGACAGCCTCTTCATGAACTTATGGAACATGAAATCTCTGTGAAGTAAGCTTGTTTTCTCGTACTGTTCAGATTTACCACCCCCTTCACTGCTGCAATGATGAAAAAAATAACCTCTTTCTATCATCTAACATTTGTATTCTTTAGTTAAGAAAAAAACTGATACAGTATTAAGGAATCAAGCATATTTTGATTGAAACCAAAGTTAAGTCAGGTGACATGGCCAAGTGGTTAACATGTCAGATTATTAATCTAAGGATGTGGATTCAAACCACATCAGGGGCAAGTTGCTGTTTTCTTGAGCAAGGAACTTTACACTTATTGCTCAGTACTGGTTGGTTCCAAGAATGGATTATAGACTTTGTTGATGTTAAGCTTATTTTGGGAATTTTAACATATTTACACTAAGCTTATTACCTTACACCCTCCATCATATCTTTCACATTACAACCTTCTCTTTTCTGGTAGTCTTTTAATAACTTTGCCACATGGTAATTATCATCTGCCTGACTAGACGGCTCTTCAAACACATTTATAAAATATGATTCTAACACTTTGTCATCAACATTTACACATGAACTAGATGCCTGACATGTGTTTAGAAAGTTAGATTTTTCCTGCTCAGACAACGATGGCATATCTTCGGAAAGAACATGATAAGCACTATCTGGTTTCTCTCCACCATTGCCACATGTCACATCATCTTGATGTCATCTATGACATCATCAACCTGGGTTGATAAATCTCATCTGTGACATTAAATCAATACATAAATTTTGCTTCATGCCTAATACAGCCTCCATCCCAGCTACACTGCTGTAAACCAAAAAGAAAATGGTTTGAATAATTTTCATGCCTAAAATCATGAAAATATCCTCCATCTCATTCATTCTAAAATTTTCATCAAATTATTTGAACAACACTAATAATTGGAAGCTTTAGAAATAATCAATTTCAAGACAATCACAGACAAGTTTTTATGAACTTATATATATTTATTAATCAATTTCATGACAATCATGAACTTAATAGTTTTCTTCTAATTAACTGAAACCATATTCTATAAAATGACATTTGTTATTACTGCTTCTTAGAATTTTAAAGCAGACAAGTAAAAGATTTTAATAAAAAATATACATGCATGAAGAGAAAAATTAGGAATATTGCTTGTCCTTTGCTTTTTTAAAAATTTAGGGAAACAAGAATCTGTGTTTGATAAACACAAATGCCCCCCGCGCTCACTGTTGTCAATAATTTAACTTTAGAGAGTGAAGTAGCTAATTTGTATGGAAGAAAACCAATCATGTGTAGAAATCTGTAATTGGCACCCTTGACCTTGACCAACTGACCCCTACCTCTATCAAAAGGAAGAATATCATGCAAGTTATTTTCCTACCAATTATGAAATAAATCTGTCAATAAATAAAGGCTGTATGGGCAAAAGTGTAAAAAATCTATTTTTAGCACTGTAGACCTTGACCCAACTGACCCCTAACTCCCTCCAAAGGAAGAATATCATGCAACTTATTTTCCTACCAAATATGAAATAAATCTGTCGATATATAAAGGCTGTATGAGCAAAAGTGTAAAAATCTATTTTTAGCACTGTTGACCTTGACCTAACTGACCCCTAACACCATCCAAAGGAAGAATACCATGTAAGTTATCTTCCTACCAATTATAATACAAATCTGCAAATAAATAAAGGCTGTATGAGCAAAAGTATAAAAATCTATTTTTAGCACTGGTGACCTTGACCCAACTGACCCCTAACTCCATCCAAATGAGAATACCTCAATTTTATGTTCCTACAAAATATACAAGACATCTGTCGTTAGAACTAGACCTAGCACTGAAGGTGATTAATACCCCCACCAGCAACTTTGACTTTTGAAAAAAAAGTTGTCTGAAGAAAAAATTGAACTCAACCTACAGTAAATAAAGTATCATCAGCACTGTGTACAAAGAATTATTTCAACTTATCGCAATCCCAACCAGGATATTAATATAAGCTTGCTATATACCAAGTTTGATTACAATATCACATTCCTAACCCTAGTAATTGTCCGGAAACCATTTTTCTTTTTTTAGTAACCGTGACCTTGAACCTAGGGGGGTCCAAATGCAATACCAAGCGCTGTCTTCATGTAAGCTTGCTATATACGAAGTTTGATTACAATATCTCATTCCTAACCCTAGTAATTGTCCGGAAACCATTTTTCTTTTTTTAGTAACCGTGACCTTGAACCTAGGGAGGTCCAAATGCAATACCAAGCGCTGTCTTCATGTAAGCTTGCTAAACACCAAGTTTGATTACAATATCTCATTCCTAACTCTGTTAATTGTCCAGAAATCATTTTTCTATTTTTAGTAACGGTGACCTTGACCTATACCCCAGGGGATCAAGATGCAATACCATGCAGGAAATTGATATAAGCTTCCTATATACCAAGTTTGATTACAATATCTCATTCCTAACTTAGTTATTGTTCCGGAAACCATTTTTCTATTTTTAGTAACGGTGACCTTGACCCTGGCCCCTGGGGGTCCAAATGCAATACCAACCGGGGTTTCCACACAAAGCTTGCTACATACCAAGTTTGATTACAATATCTCATTCCTAACTTTAGTAATTGTCCGGAAACCATTTTTCTATTTTTAGTAACGGTGACCTTGACCTTGGCCCCAGGGGGTCCAAATGCAATACCAACTAGGGTATCCACATAAGGTTGCTATATACCAAGTTTGATTACAATACCTCACTCCAAACTCTAGTTATCGTCCGGAAACCATTTTTCTTTTTTTTAGTAACGGTGACCTTGACCTTGGCCCAAGGGGGTCCAAATGCAATACCAACCAGGGTTTCCACATAAGGTTGCTATATACCAAGTTTGATTATAATACCTCACTCCAAACTCTAGTTATCGTCCAGAAACCATGATGTGGACCGACCGACAAGCTGACTCCTATATACCCCCCTAAACTTCGTTTGTGGGGGTATAATAAGGTTAATACACCTGTAAAAGTGTAAAAAATCTATTTTTGACATTGGTGACCTTAATAATTTCTGATCTGCTGTCTGAGACACTCCACATCAACTTTAGGATGGAGGACAGAGCCAAAATTCTTAAATTTTTGTTTTTGGTATGAGAAATTCTATAACAATTCATGACACAGGAGTATTAACATTCCCATTTCCAAAATTTATTACAAGGCATGTTTAGACAAAGCAAAATTAAAGATTTCGCTTTTGAGAGAAACTGATTTGATTGTATGTAAATCAAAGTTTACCACTTCATTATTGTTTACCTTAAAGTCGCCATTATCCTGCGTAGACCTTTCTTTGTTACCAGCAGCAAAATCTGAACTATTTGCTAGATTACTAGTTACATTAGCACTTGTGCTTATGTCACTTGCACCATTTCCCCAATCATCACCTCCATCACCCCAATCATCAGCATCATTGCCCCAATCATTAGCTCCTACTCCCCAATCATCAGCAACTTTGCCCGAGTCAGCAGCAATATTATCAATATGATTATGTTTTGAACTAGAGTTTACAGTATTCTGTGTATTACTATCCAAACTTTGACATCTGTATACTGTCCAGCTAGAACCAAAAATAGAACTCATTTTAAAATGATTTTACTGAATTGTAACAACACAAGTATAATTACATTAGTGGCCATGATGAATAAGATAGCTATCATATTTTTAACTACCGTACCTTGATTATGCATGTATAGCTGAGCTAAAAGTAAACAAATAAAAAACTAATAAAGGCTCTTTGTTGACAAGGCAAATGCAAACAAATAATGATAATGTGTACTTATATTGACAACTTATATCGATGACTTGCGGATCTGCGGATGTTTCAAAATTCAAAATTTTACCAGTTAAATGTTGAATTCTGCTTAGGCTGGTGCTAGGGGGCATGGACGATTGTTTGCACTTGACAGTACCATCCATGAACAGGCTCAATCAAACCGAGCTTGCAACATTTTCAATTTTGCTGTGTTGGGCTTTCTTTAGGGATTCTTATTTTCTTTATTTTTTAGCGTAATCTCACACTCTGAATTTGTTTAATCAATTTGCCTTGTTTTGAAATAGAAACAATAAAGACAATCCATATAAAATTTAAGCAATTTCAATATGGAAAGACAAAAATCTAACTACCAACAGTACAGAGCCTGATCTGACAGATTGCATGGATATGCAGGCTGGCCTAAAGCTATACATGTACATTGTATACTGGCGGAAAAAGGCCAATCATTGTGGGTTTCAGCAGGTTAATAGTTAATGTTTATACCTTTGTTGATGATTCCAGCATGTGGGGTTACTACAAGCAAATACATATAAAGTTCTGTGGTATGCAGATTTTTCTAAACAACAGTACAGCTGGACAACAAGAATCTGAAGCTCTCCACATACTTGACAACTTGGTGTTGACACTTTAACATTAACTGGCCAGTTCTGAAAATATAAATGTAAACTTGAACTCACTTGCATCAAGAAATAATTCAATAACTTACAGAATCAATTGCAAACTGAAGCAGAACATTCTCACTGATCAATTATTAAGTTATTTTTTTATTTATCTAACACATGTATGAATATTTAAATGAACTAATGTCAAAGGCAAAACACCTCAGTTATATTCAGGATTCTACTCTCTTTATGAATATTAACTAACATCAGAATATTAACATCTTTCACATTAAAACACAAAACAGGACAGGGTTTTCATTTGCTACATGTAAATCCTCTGTTTTGTTCTATTGTAAAAGATTTTAATATAAATAAAATGTACACTTTTAAATGTAAATGTTAAAAGTAGCCTATATGTAACTTGTTGAACACCATGTGCTATCTATTACTATCAAAAGGTATCTTAATTTTTATAGGTTTACCGGTATAAGATACTTTTAATATTTCATTTGTAGTGATGAATCAGATTGGTGGAATTTTACTCAGGTTCTCTAAGAGATAAAGATGTTGCAAACAACAGATATAGTCACAAAGTAGCTTGAATTTCTCCTAGTTTCCTAGTCCAAGTTAAATTGTATTATGCATTGATATATTGTGCTATTTCGTGTATAGCAATATGTACCCTAGCTAAAGAGACTTCAGCGAACAGGTTTTATAGTACTGCTAGATCTGTAATGTCAAAATAAAAGCGACATATAAAGTTATAGAAGCCAGAACTATATGTTCCCCCCCCCCCCCCCCCCCCCCCAAATTCTTACCCTGAACAAAAATATCTCAGAATCTAGCTTTGGCATATTTCGACTACAAGCATCCCTATATTTATTTAAATAAAAGCTCATTCCATATACACTGTAAACAGATTAGATTTGTAGGCTGGTAGGTAATTAGTGGTGTTCAACCGTCACTTTTATCCGAAATAAAATTTATCCGGATGCTGTGACACACTTACATACTTAGAATTTCAACAAAATATACCACGAAATAAATTGACAATACCGGTATTCCTCCGATTTTGTTGGTATATGGAGACTGTGTGTAGTTTGGAGATACTTTAGAATCACAAATTCCCAACAAACATGACATGATGTCAATTTAATTATTTTATTGCGCAACCGGCACACTCGTAATAATGACTGCATCGTGAGAACTAAAATACAATGAGTACCCGTGCAAATGTATCACGTGATAAACTGTTTCACATCTGTATGACTGTTTAAATGACAATTAACTTTAATTTTTTATGCAATGCTGCATATGCACAAGAATGAAGTACATCTAATTTCAGAATGAACTTCATTACTAAGTATTTTGTTCAAAAAGTGAAAGTCGCATTCATATGTTAATATTAAAATAATAAAGTCACAGCAATAACACGTATAATAACATTTTTTATTTTTCCAACGTTTCGGCAAATGTATGCCTTTTTCAAGGTAAATAAATAATTTTTTTTTTTTTTATTCATATGTTAAGTTATTTCCACTAGTTATGCAAAGCGTTATTTTTTGTCAAGGAATAACGCAGATAAAAAGGGGGTTGGGTTATTAACCTTTATGCTGCTAGATTTCTTGAAGTGCGTGGGTTATTTTCTTTTTTTTGAAACTTTCCATTATTATCTTTAAAATTACACAAAAAGAGCCTGGTTATACCAGATACCACGGATTTATATTAATATAAATCCGTGCAGAGACATAGATAGCGCGGATGGTTCTATACTGGTCGTATATATGAATACTCAAATATAAACCATACCTGGTTTTTTATCAGATTATTAGCCTGCATGTAAGACGTGATTAAAATTCGGCATAAATCTTGTTTAAATACCCGCACTTCAAATGTTATTATAATTGCATAGAAATTTACCATGAATGATTAACACAAGCTGTGCATGGATTCGTTTGGAAAGAGAAATACTTGATTACATCTGAATGCATAGATTGCACATCTCTTTTATCGTTTTTAACAACTGCGTAGTGTCATCGAATACCGTTTTGCTTATTTAAAACTAAGTGATGCTTAAACGGTATTACATGAAGGTTTTTTTTCTCTTTCTCTTCCTCTCATATAATTGAAAGACCCTGTTTTGTAGGTTATGGTGTTATCTTACATTGGTTTACAAACTTTTATAACAAACTATTCAAATATAGCTCTGTCATTGGTTTTTGAAAGTTAGACGATATGCTATAAAAAATTTCTAACTGATAATACGTGACGTACAATTTTACCATTGGAATTACTCATTTTTTGTCAGAAAATAATGATTTAAGATGCTCGCGAACTCAACAACTAAAATTTACCGAACTCGTGCGGAAAAGGAGAAGCCTTTGTGAAAGGCACAGACGGTGTACATTGTTCAAAGACGACGAATGTAGTGTCCAGAAAATAAAACTCTTAAAAATTTGAAAGAATTTTGTGGCCATTTTAATATTGATCGTCAAAAAATAAATATTTCATCAGTCAAGGTCGCAAGATAATATTTATCATGTTATATAATTGAATATAACTGTAATTAATATATATAATAACAAAATGTGAAATTCTACTGCAATACTAAATATCAACATAATTATGTATTATTTTGATACATATCAGCAATTAAGTACCGTAAACCGGACAGCAGACGCTATCAGGTATTCGGTCCCTATGCTCGTACGTGTACAGCGCACGAGATTTGAGACATAGATATCGAAATGAATCCTATGCCGGTGTGTATTGGAAAACGTTTTTTCTCTAAGATTTGTCGATAATCTTTTTTACCCCAGCCCCCTATATGAAAGAGTATTGGGGAAAGCGGGGAAATTCCAGTTTTTCCCGTGGAAAATTTACTTTCCCGTTTTTCAGGAAAAAAACTCTTTCAACTTGGTTTTGTCCCTATGGATTTTGTGAACCCAGTTAACGAAATTTTTTGGGTTAAAAAGAGCAGTGTTTCGGGGTGCAAATGGTACACCGGTTATAGATTTCTCGTATGGTTAACATTATATTTAGTGTTATAATTATGATAAGTAAGAGAAAATAGTTAACTGTGTGGATATAGAGAGAAAGGAATTATATAACGATGTCGGCTGCTAACTCGACGGTAGAGACATGCGAAGCCGGGAAATGGTACTATTTTCTCTCTTCCAGTTTGATAACATTTGGAGGTGGACTGGTTGTCATTATAGTGTACAGACTGGTACTGTATCTGTGCTGTCAGACGAAAACTGGCCAGAGGAAAAGTTCCATAATAACACCAAATACAGCAATACACGTTGAACCTACAAAGGATTCAAAAGAGAAAAGTCAGGGGTTGTTTAATATAAAGGGTCATGACCCAGAGGTGGGTTGGCTCACAGAAGCCAAGGATTGGGCTGGGGAGTTGATATCTGGACAGACTACCACTGGTAGAATCTTGGTAGGTATCAAAATAAATTAAGACTTACTTAAAGGCACATTATGCTTGAGAAACAAAGATATTTTTTTACTTTTTAAGAAAGGGCAAACATAAATCTTATAATGTTTAAATAAAGGTTTTATAGAATGTTAGAACTGCTCTTTAGAAAGGAGCGATAAATGTAATATAATCTGTCAGAAAAGTAGCAAAATGTAAACAAAGTAGTATTTTTACTACCAAATAAAATACTTATTTACTATAAACTGTATGAATTGCCAAAGAGCAACAGATAAAAAAGATTGTTCAGGTAATTGGCCAATGAGTATCTCTTTGGATACTATAAAAGTACAACAAAATTAAAAAGCCTTCGAGAAATAAAAATAAAAGCATTTCCGAGGCACAATGGGCCTTTAATTGCACTATTTACATCACAATATATACCGCATTACAATATAAAAAAAAGTTTTTGGTACTCCCAACGATTGATTTCGTAAAAACTGTACTTTTATAATATAGCAAAACTTATGTTAAATTGTAGACACAATTATATTCTTCACAATAGATAAAATTTCTTAAAATATTGAATTACTTAAAATCTTTTAAAAACTATTGATTTTTTACGCTCAGTGTATTATTACAATACATGTATATCAAACTAAATTATTATAGAAGTTTACTTTTACTTGATAGTTTACTATATTAAATATATTTTAATCTTGAGGATAAGAATAAATCAGATGAATGTCACTGACCTTTGATTTACTTTTAATAATAGTGATTAAAAGTTTAGTGAATTGTAAGGTATTTAACATTATAAAATACAATAAACACAAAGAAACATTTACCTGACTTTAAAACCATAGGATTGTAAGTCTTTAGCCATGTAGTTTTAGCCATGAGACTACATCATTCCAGTTAAAGTTTATTTTAAGCCCATGAAAAAATCAAATATGATAAAGTTCACAATCATTTAGTATCATTCAAATTAACTGAACATTAACATAATGCAGTTATCCGAAGTTATAAGTTTCTTAGTTGGTATTGACAAAATTAAATTGGTCAGGCGCTGCAAATTAAAAGTTAAAAAACAAATTACAAATTAAAACAGAAATTAAGAAAAAACACAACAAAAACAACAGCAGCAAAACAAGCAACAAAAAACAACTAAAGACTATGTATGTACAGCTATTAGTGCAAAAGGTATAATAAATGACATATGCATACAATGGTTTAGTAGAACTGTGAGAAAGTATGTCAGTTATTTTCTTGTATCAGTTACTTTCTTGTATCTACATATACCTATGCATTACTATTCTGTATTGTTCTTTGCTTAAACTAGTAGTCACACCAAAAACACAAGTTCAGTTACAATCCTAAATACTATAATTAGAAATCATTATTTTTTAATTATGCTATCAATTTTTTAATTATGTTCTCTATAATTATCATAAATATTACATCATCAAAATTGTATGTCCTTAATTAAAAAATGACAATTGCGTTCCAGTGACTGAAGCTTGCATAAGATTCAAGTTTGAATATTGCAAAAATGATCTGACTACTGCATAAAATATACATATTTGTTAATATATTTTCACTGAAAAACCATAGGCGAGAATTGTTTGCAGAAAATACTTTCAAGTAGAATTTAAGTCCTGTCTTTCAGGTATTTCTGAAAAAAATTAAACAACTCAGAATTTTAGACATGGATTACTTAGCATTTAAATTTTTAATGCTTTCCCAGTAAACTGTTTATCCTTATGAAATATAAATGCTATCTCTTGTGTCTTCTTTGTGAGAGATTTCATGGTAACAGGTTGTAATCATATACTTTCATTATAATCTTAAAACAATTGTGAGAGATTGATTCCAACAGATTACGAACTGTTTGAAATCCCTATAGAAATCTGATTAAATCTAACTCTTTTATTACTTTCTGTATATTGTCTGACCTTTGTGGTAATAAGTTGTAAGATTGGGATAAAAGCAGCTTTTTTTAGCTGTTACATGCCTGGCTACAAGGTTATATACATGTACAGTATACAAAGTAGCAGCTGTTTATCTTTCATGCTATCTACATCATCAATTTACCTATATTATTGTTACTTCACAACAATTATCCACATTGTTACTGAACTCTATTGATCCCCTGTATAGAATCTGTGGAATTAATCACCATTTATTAATTGTCTTTAATTGAATTTTATCATAAGGAATTTATTAGGGCTGTAACTTAAGCTTGATTTTCCTTAGATCTATAGATCTATATATAATAATTTCACTAATGTAAATACAAATCTTGTTCAAGTATCAAATTTTCTGATCACTTGATCAGAGTATTAAAGTGTTAGTATTAAATATTTAAATTGTACAAGTATTCATTAATATGAATTCATTTTCTGTCCAATTTTAAATTTTACTTCATATACAAAGAAAAATCAAACATAAAGCAGCATGCCTCCAATTCATGCTAAATTTCATGAAAGTTTAAACAAATTTATTAAAACATATATTAATAAAATGTAAATGTAAAATATTGTGAAGTGAACAAAGAAAGTAATTTGCACATTGCATTTTCTAAAGTGCTCTTTTATTTTGTTCAGACATAGTCATGCAGAATGATGATGATGATGATAATCACTATCATCATCATAACCACCATCATCATCTTCATCATCATCATAACTACTATTACCTATCCGCTATACGCCAAATACTAATTTACATGCACTATATAATATTATGATAATCAGCAACTTTTTAGGAAGGAAAACATTAAATAAATTAATCAAATTAAATTTGGAGAGTCAAATCATCTAATTTTCCCTGGTTGAAAACAGGAATTATTCCTTACAAAGTTATCATTAAATTTTCTTCAATGATTCAATAAAAATTGCACTGGAACATTGACTTAGCCATGAATGAAAACAGTAACTATGTCTTACGAAATAATCTCTTCAGATGATTTAAATGATTTAAACTTTAAAGATTAAACAAAGGATACACTTGGTAATTGTCTTAATAATAATGGTTGCTATTAAATTGCCTACATTCAAATTAAAATATTATTCTTGGCAAACTAAATATTGAGAAACTCTCAGGCTGAATTACAGATTTTGTTAAGTATTTTATTTACAATTTGATTAAAAGTTAATTTTGCCTTTTCCCTTATATATTATAAATAACTATGGTAAACTTTTTTTTTACATACACTGTATTATAACTCAAATTTTGATATTGGAATCCCTTATACTTCGAATGGACTGTTCCAAATTCAAATCTGGGCAAGTCCATTATACAAATTAGGCAGGTAATTTGGGTTATTTTGTCAGCCTCAGAATACAATATACCTTGACATATGCTATATTGGAGAGAACCTTCCCTGTTGTAAAAAGTAAGACCAAACATTGATTTTTACCCAGGCAGATGTAGATCTATATATGAGTGACATAAATATTTTGTAGAATAATTCATAGCATACAAAATGGCTGTGTTAATGTCTACAGGGATATATAAAACTCTAGTTGAATAATTATTCACAAAGCTCTTTTTAAACTTTAATTATTCAATATTCATGGGTGATGGGATTCACAATGTAATATTTCTCTGGCTGAATCTACATTTGGAGGCAATATATGGCTCAGCATCAAAGTAATTATTAGAGCAGGTCTCGACACTAACTTTTTCAGCAGGTGGTATGCCGGACCACTGGATCCAAAATTCAGGTGGTCCTTTCTGAACACAGGTGGTCCATCTTTTTTTTACTCATTTGTTTTAAGGAAACTCCAGATTTAGAACATATTTATTATTAGATTTATAACAACTGAAGAAAACATGTATATTTTAATCTCAATTTTAGATCAGATAGTAAGTCATTGTAATCCTATTAAGTATTTATTATCTCATTGAAAAATACATCACAGTACTCATACTTCGGTTAAGTGATTTCTTCCGCAACTCAAGTTAATGAGAATAGTGAAACCATTTGTGTATGACTTATTTCCTTACTGTTATTCAAATACTCATTGCTGTTCCCTGGTACATCTGATAAAAATAATAATTGCTTTTTATAGATTAACATTTTTAGCTCGACTATACGAAGTATATGGAGAGCTGTCCTACTCGCCCCGGCGTCGGCGTCGGCGTCCGCGTCCGCGTCCAGATTTTAGATTAAAGTTTTGGTGCAGTAAAATATTTTTTACTATAACTTTGTCATTTCTTAAGGTATCAACTTCAAACTTCAAATATATGTTCCTTATCATCAACCACATCTTATGTGACAAGGTTCATAACTCTAGCACCAATATTTTCAGATTTATCTCCCCTTGAACTTAGAATTTTCCTTAAAAAATACTATTTTTATACTGATATTTCTTTATTTCTTAAGGGATCAACCTCATACTTCAAATATATGTACCTTATCATCATCCCCATCTTATGTGACAAGGTTCATAACTCTAGCACCAATATTTTCAGATTTATCTCCCCTTGAACTTAGAATTTTCCTCAAAAAATACTATTTCTTACTGTTTCTTCTTTGTTTCCTAAGGGATCAACCTCATACTTCAAATATATGTACCTTATCATCATCTCCATCTTATGTGACAAGGTTCATAACTCTAGCACCAATATTTTCAGATTTATCTCCCCTTGAACTTAGAATTTTCCTCAAAAAATACTATTTCTTACTGTTTCTTCTTTGTTTCTTAAGGGATCGACCTCATACTTCAAATATATTTACGTTATCATCATCCCCATCTTATGTGACAAGGTTCATAACTCTAGCACCAATATTTTCAGATTTATCTCCCTTTGAACTTAGAATTTTCCATAAAAAATATTATTTTTTACTGTAACTTATTTATTTCTAAAGGGATCAACTTCATACTTCAAATATATTTACGTAATCATCATCCACATCTTATGTGACAAGGTTCATAACTCTAGCACCAATATTGCAAGAATTATCTCCCCATAAACTTAGATTTATTTACTAGAAAAATGTTATTTTTTATTTTAACTTTTTTATTTTTAAAGGTATCTACCTCAAACTTCAAATACTTATACCTTATCATTAATTACATTTTATGTGACAATGTTCATTACTCTTGAAGCAATATTTACAGATTTATCTCTCTTTGAACTTAGGATTTTCTTTAAGAAATATAATTACTTCTTTACTTTTTAAGGTATCTATAGCTAAAATACTTCAAACTTCAAATATATATTTCTTATCATTACACAAATGTTGTGTGGCAAGATCCATAACTCTAGCATGACTATTTCTATAATTATTCCCCTTGATCTTGGAATTTATGTTAACAAATGTTATTTTTTTACTATAACTTAAGACGTAATTATACATAATTGATTTTTCTTTCATAGTTTTGTCCTCCTTACTGCGTCCAGTATTTTATTAGTCGAGCTTCGCTGTCTCCTGTGACAGCTCTTGTTAATTAAACTATTAATTAAGTTATTATTTTCTTGTCTTTGAAACAATGAAATATTATTGATAAACAGAAAAATTCCAACATTATAATTGTCTTTTAATTATCTTCCTCACAGATTTATTATACATGCTTGTTTGTTAGAATTTATTTATTTTTGACAAAGTATTTATAACCTTTTAAAGTACTTTAAATAAGAAAAAATGGATCTCTGATCGTGTAAAAAAGTAGCCAAAGATTACTAGATATTTAATTTTTCCTTTGCCTTTGTTTGCACCATTATTCATGTGGTTATCCGATATCCCATAGTGATACAATGTTATAAATTCAATGCAGTACAAGAGACATTTGAATGAATTTTATACTTTAATTATTAAAATAATTTTCTACTTTTTTAACTACACTTTTAGCGAGTTAACAAAAGGTTATGGATGTCTTAAGATCTTTTTGAACTTATGAGATGAATGAACATATACCTGTACATCGGAGAAATGGTTTAAAACGACAATTATAGAACACGTTTTTCAACCAAATAACCATTCTCCTAGATAAGCCCTGCACCCTTTGGAAAATTCAAGTGGTCTAACGGACCAGTTGCCTGTAAAATTAGGTGGTCCTTGAAAAAATCAGGTGGTCTCGGACCAATGGACCACCGCTAATGTCGAGGCCTGTTAGAGGGAACAAATTTCTGGGTGATCTATATGTTATTAAGGGACAATTTGCAGATATTTTCCTCCCCAAAAAAATTTTTCAGCCTTTTTTCCCGAAAATGTCAACCCAAAAAATATTATTTTTCCTTTTTGATGGGAAATTTTTCAATATGCTATTTCAAGGGTTTAATGAACTAATTTTCATGTCTTTGCTATTGCCTGCTACAAAGGGAAGGGAACACATTAAACGGGAAAAAAAAGAATTTTTGTTTAAATTTGGGTTTTTAAAACTATCTTCCCAAAAAGTCTTAAATTTTTCTTATTTAAAAAGAAAAAAACCCGAAATGGGTGCATTTTCAGAAAATAGGGAAAACCCGTTCTTTTTTCAAAAAACTGTGCATTTATTTACATTTTTTAAGACCCGTACCCTTTCCCCAATGAAAAAACTTAGGCCCAAAATGTTCCCAACTTTTTTCCGGCCCCTTTTTATTATGCAATTTCAAGGGGACCACTTGTGATTTTATTTGATGCCTTTAAACCGAAAAATTATAAGCCCTTGCCATTATACATATGTAAAGGACTATTAGTTAGTCTGCCATTCCATTCAGTTGTTTGACAAACTTTAAATTTTAATATTGAATTGTGCCATATAAATATCAGACAGTTCCTAAAATGGATGCTGGAATAAAAACGATTTTTAGAAATTCAGAAGTTTATGCCTATTGGATAACAAACTGATAAATAGCATGTTACTCTATTTATTTTCAGGTATGTCTGGTGTTTGTCCTCAGTATTGCATCATTAATAATCTACTTCATTGACGCCTCAACGTAAGTATTCAATGTTTCTTTTCTTCTCTTTCTTATTGTCTGTCTGACTGTCTGTCTGTCCCAATGACCAAATAAGGATAGGGGGCATTTCGACTGTAAACAGAACAAAAGAGAACAATAGCGTGCATTCCTTTAAGGGGGCAATGACCCTTTTAATTTTTAAATCAAAAGAAAAGAACAAGAAATGGCTACATATATTATTTCCGCCAGATTACCATCCCTCATACTGTCTGTGCCCTTCTCAATTTGATCAAATCATGTCTTTTATATAAATTGTTTTCTCTAAATCCTCCTACATTTTGTAGCATTTAATTTGATTCAATGTGGTTTCACAACCAAATAAATTGCTTTAATTTGAAAAAAAAAAAAAAAAAAAAAATGTCGCTGTTATAATGAGACGTTGAATTAACTAATTTAAAAAAAACAATGTACAATGTAGTTTGTTCTTAATAACTTGGTATTCAGTCACTCATCATTGCATGTATGTGAATGGTTTTACAACGCGTTCAATCCACAAAGACAGGCAAAATCTTTTGAAATAGTCATTGTATCTGAGATTTTTGCATCATATCAGCCTCTGTCATACTAAGCTTTGCCCATTTCATTAGTCAAGTAATGTTATAAACCAGGCAAATTATATACATGTATTAGTATTAACCGGAAATGTAATAATCAAGAAAAGCTTTATCATTCACAATTGCTCATTCCCTGGATAGTTAAATTTTAATATAATTATAAATATAAAATAATTTGTTATCAGCATCAAATTACTTATCTTTTCCCATTTACAATTGATTGAATTACTGTTTATCTCCCTTTGTTATGGAAAAGCCAACAAAAACCCATGAAACCTGCGGGGAAATTTATTTATATATACATGTACAGAGAAAAACAAAGTACTGAATAAAAGAGAATCTATTTCAGTGCTTTAATTTTTCATCTGTCTTAACATTTGAAATTATATGCCAGCTCTGTAATTAACTGCCACTTATACTTATCTCTCTTCCTGCATCTCTCCAAAATGGATGTATCATCCAAATTTACTCACCAAATTTACCTTGTATTTTGGCAATATTTTAAATAAATGTCATGAATCATTTACCTATAGAAAGGATATTGCAGGTCAAATCAGCATAATAAAGTGCATATCTGATTAGCTTAGTAACCTATTTATCTGTGACTTCCGTGAAGTTTTGAGTTTTGGATAGTCTTTACATAGCTTGTGATATTGCGATTACCAGTTAATATTGCTTGTCCAAATAGTCCAATAAGAAGCTTGTAATGTATATCTCTAGAATATGTGAGTTTCGAGCACTTAGAAGGGCAAAGGGTTTTTTTGGTGACCATTTTGGTGGTGACAATGCATGAAAAATGTGTCATTGAAGTGACGGCATGGCCGAGTGGTTAACGCGTTTGACTATAGTAATTTAATTATTGCTAGTTGCATGGGATCAAACCCTGTTAGGGGCAAGTTGTTTCCTTGAGCAAGAAATATTGCACTTATTGCTCGGTTCTGGTTGATTCCTGAGGAACAGATTCGAAAGTGTGTCTATAAGCTTACATGTATAGATTCCTTCACAATCAAACTTAAAACAATTCTGTATAAACCAAAAATGTGTCAATTAAATGTTTGTTGACAACTACAGCAGTGTTTCAAATAACTTTTGTGAAGAAGTTGCAATAACTTGTGGAGAAACTGATTAGTACAGTTTTACAGACTATATGAACACTTGGTATAGATATATGCACACCTGTATATAACTTAAAAGGACTGATAAACTGGTGCAAAGTTCAGCAATCAATCACGAACAAAAAGCAATATACATGTAGGTAAATTCAAACAGAATAAATGATTTTATTGAGAATATTCAACCAATGAACAAACATAGTTAAAAGTACATGGCTGAATATAGAACTCCAATGATCTATTGGAATAAATATGTTTTAAGTATTTATAGAAATATTGTCCTTTCGTATGCATTTTCTAGCAATTAAAATGTTAATTGTGTGCATTTTACCAGTCCAAACATTAATCTCATGCAGTTGATGTGTATTTTATGTATCATCAAATTGTTCAACAAATTCTCTATTTGTCGCATTGTATAAAACAGTATTTAACTGGTGTTGTCATTTTTTGCATTGGAGACAGCTGTTATTTACATGAAATGTTGATTTTACAAAATGAAATAAATAATAACAACAAAAATGCTTGTGGATGATGGTATTAGCTCTATAGTTACAAATATTATTTATTATTGTATTATTTAGAATTTCAAAAAGAAAAACTGATGATGACTCTTTTTATATATGGCTTGTTTTTCCCTTCCTTCCTTCCTTCCTTCCTTCCTTCCTTCCTTCCTTCCTTCCTTCCTTCCTTCCTTCCTTCCCTCCCCTCCCTCCCTCCTCCCTCCCTCCCTCCCCTCCCTCCTCCCTTCCTTCCTTCCTTCCTTCCTTCCTTCCTTCCTTCCTTCCTTCCTTCCTTCCTTCCTTCCTTCCTTCCTTCCTTCCTTCCTTCCTTCCTTCCTTTCCTTTCCTTCCTTCTTCCTTCCTTCCTTCCTTCCTTCCTTCCTTCCTTCCTTTCCTTCCTTCCTTCCTTCCTTCCTTCCTTCCTTCCTTCCTTCCTTCCTTCCCTTCCTTCCTTCCTTCCTTCCTTCCTTCCTTCCTTCCTTCCTTCCTTCCTTCCTTCCTTCCTTCCTTCCTTCCTTCCTTCCTTCCTTCCTTCCTTCCTTCCTTTCCTTCCTTCCTTCCTTCCTTCCTTCTTCCTTCCTTCCTTCCTTCCTTCCTTCCTTCCTTCCTTCCTTCCTTCCTTCCTTCCTTCCTTCCTTCCTTCCTTCCTTCCTTCGTCTTCCTTCCTTCCTTCCTTCCTTCCTTCCTTCCTTCCTTCCTTCCTCCTTCCTTCCTTCCTCCTTCCTTCCTTCCTTCCTTCCTTCCTTCCTTCCTTCCTTCCTTCCTTCCTTCCTTCCTTCCTTTCCTTCCTTCCTTCCTTCCTTCCTTCCTTCCTTTCCTTCCTTCCTTCCTTCCTTCCTTCCTTCCTTCCTTCCTTCTCCCTTTCTCCCTCCGCTATGTTCCACCAGTTTGTGTCCTGTGTGACAGAATGTTGATCTTTAGTCTCCTTTGCTTAAGTTGGAGGCAAAAAGCCTCTGTCAAGCAATAAAATGTTTACTGAGCCAAATTTAGACAGTCACATTGGTTTGTGTATTTTACTGGCTAATGATTTTTGTGAAATGCATTTTCAGTTATGCAATCAATAGCATGAATGAATCCAGAATTAATTTATTTCTGTTTTTAACATGCATAGTTGTCAATTTATTTTACATGCATGTTGAAATAAACTTAATAAATGCAAACTGTATGTAAATTTAAGATTTAGTATGGTTGTATAAATTCCATATTGATTTCTGGTACGTGCAATAACCATCCATGAGGGAATCTTGTTTCTACTTCAATTTCTGCACTTACCTTGCATTTTAATCTTTTATGAAAGTAGTTTATGAATCCAAAAAGAACAACCACACGCGTACATTCAGTTATTTTTTTAAATATTCAAATCGATTTCGAACAAATATGTTCTTCGTCAGTGAATAAACAGGAAGTGAATAAACAGGAAGAGACGTCACATGACGTCAACGTCCGAGATGGCGGGAAACATACATTGTTACGTTACGTTATATTAAATTTCATTTAAAAATTAATAAAGTTAATAAAGATTTCGATATATATATATATATATATATAAAAACATTCACGGATTATTAAATACAAGTATTTCCTATATAAAATATATAAAAAACAATAATAGGAAACAACGTGAATGTTACGTAACGTGTATACATGCATAAAACAGATGAAATATTATATTGGAAAAAGTATATAACCATTTATAATGGAATGTCTACGCAAAAGAACTTACGGAAATAATTAAATGTCGTATATAATTTTTGCATTTAATCCAGCTGGTGAAAACGTCTTGAGCTTATGAATCCAGTAGGTTTCTCTACATAGACGCTCCATTGTGTCGCTTACAATTCTTCAAACGGTAAAAATGAAAAGTCATTAAATGAATGATCAATTGAATTAAAATGCGTTGCAACAAGAGTTGAAAATGCTGGATCTTTGAAAATTTGTAATATCAAATTTATGACTATTCATTCTACGTGAAAACCGGTTGAGATGTCTGGCCAACATATTGCATATTGCATTTTTGACAGGAGATTAAATAAATAACATTATTTGTAGAACAGTTTGTAGGGTTTCTCAGTGTATATTTTTCGCCTGTGACCACTGCTTGCAAAAGATACATCCGAAGTAATTCGATTACAATGAGAACATCTACTTCTGCTACAAGGAGAAGATGAATGAATTGACATTTGCTTTGAAAAGCTAGAATGCACAATATGATCACGGATATTTTTGGGTCTCTTAAACGCAACAATAGGTTTGTAAGTCTCATAAACATATTTTACAGTTTCACTTTTTGCCAACTTTAGTAAGTCCCAATATTTGTTTAAAACGTGACCAATGTTAGGAAGATGAGGATTATAAGTAACAACAAATGGTATGACAAAATTAGATTGGCTACTTTCTGTGAGTCGCAGTGCCTCATTTTGACTCATAGAATTAATTTTCTCAAATGCATTGTCAATTTTTTTTTTTTTTTTTTTTTTTATGAAAGTAGTTTGAAATTTTTACTTGTCTGTTTCGTGACCATTGCTTAACTCAGAAACAAATAAATTTTTTTCTTCTTTAGAAAGGACACATATTAGTTTTCTTACATTTGAATACTGGTAATGGTTTTAGCAAATGTTAGATACTTACCACCTGAAGAAAGTAGAACTAGATCATAAAAGTAGGAAAATGTAAACAAAATAGTATTTTGACTTCCATGAATAAAAAATAAATTGGTATATCTGCACTAATTGGCAAAAAGCAACAAAAGCAAAAGATGGCCAATGAGTAACATTTTGGAAAATATAACACAGCACCAAAAATAAAAACTTTTGAGAATTGAAAATAAAGCATTCTTTGGACATAATGGGCCTTTAATTTTAGATAACTGTAATGAGTCTGTATTACTATATGTGAAAATTGAACACTTCCTTTCCCTTGTGTTTAATTTTGTCACTTTGTCTTAATTTGTTCTCTTTCAAATTTATCTCAAGATTGCAATAACATGTTTTGAAATGAGCCAAAAGTTAAATAAATAAGTCAATAAATAACAACAATACAAAATGACTTTTCTGTACTTATTGATCACCTTTTTTAATGTCTTGAGTGGTTTGGAAAAGCTTCAGAAACCTAAACTAGGTAGCGCTGGGAGCTTGCTTGTATCAGGTGTATTTTTTTAATAACAAGAATTGAACTTTCTGCCAAGATTATTGATCTTAAACGGTATTAAACTGGAAGATAACAAACACTGGAGAATTGTTCAATTAAATTATATAGGTTACAATGTTTTGCCAATAACGAGTGCGAATATTTATCCAGGAATTCTCACAGAAAGCACATTTTTCTGATGTGTGATACTGGTTGCAATTTCATGGTAATTCCAGGGAATATTAAATGGCAATAAAATTTCATTGATGAAGTTTGGAATAGAGTCATAATAATGTAATATTTAAAACTGCACATTCAAACACCATACAAAATGAATGGTGTAGTGGTTACACATAACAATTTTATGATTTACTATAGAAACCTGTCATTAAAAAGGCAAAATGTTACAAACTACAATCCATATAAAGTAGACCATATATAATTGTAGTTCATTCTAATTGGAAGCAGAGTTTACCTCTTAATTATGATGCCTCTCCATTATTTCATTGTTAAGTGGCACCAGATGGAATCACCAGCCTTCTCTAAGTTTGCTGGAAGGCGAAACGAAGGGAGTAGTGGTCTAGTGGTCTAGGCATTTTCCTCTCAACTCAGATATTATGGGTTCAATTTTTACTCGGGTCAGGATCATGATTCCCATTCATTTCACACTAGAACTGCTTAGTTCCAGCTGTGAGACTTGAAACTGACAGATATAAGATGCAGGAATTTGTTCCAAAAACAAGCTTAAATAAATGAGCAAGTCTACAAGTTTTCACTGACCATCTGATCACTGAACCACACCATGTCATTTTTTTGATATAGATTTTTTTTTTTAAAAAAGCCTTGTACAAATTGAGATATCCATGCATCAACAGGGTTTTACATATTTGTCTGAGGCAACAGCTTTGCCAACGAAAATAACCAATTTGGTCAAGGGTCAAAGGGGCTATTTTAATCCACAGACTGAAAATACAACCGATTTTAACAGCATGTCAACTGATGATATGAATCGCCAATGCTGTTGATATAATAATGAAAACCCTGCATCAATTTCAAACTTTGCTTTGGCTTTGAATCTCACTATGTCACATGACATGATGACTGACAAAAGGTTGATGGTTGTATTAACTGTGTTGGTGTGACTGAACAAATTGTAACCATATATCATAATTATCAACATTTTCTTTTTCTTTTATTTTTCCATACAGGAGTGCTGTAGAGACATGTGTGCCCTGGGCAGAGAGTACAACACAACAAGTGGACCTGGCTTTCAATGTTTTCTTCATGATATATTTCTTTATAAGGGTAAGAAATAACCTCAGGTGACTATTACATTTTTTGGCTTGACCTGAACTCCGAAACATGAAAATGAAGGATTTAGACTCACACTGGCCATCTATGACAACTTGAATTTACCCTAGAATTAATCGTTCTCATCAGTAAAGTGTCTGCATAATTATGCTATTGCAGTATTGAAACAACATAAAATTTTTGTGATCAGTTAAAATGTAGTTATTGATGCTTTTCAGCAAGCTCAAGATTCTCTACAAATTTCTGTAGAAATTATTCACTTAAAATTTCAAAATGTAAAAATATATATATTTATATTGAAATAAGTACTCTGTTTTTATACTTTGACTTCCATGAACTTATGAATTAAAGTGTCTATATAGCTATAACATTATGCCTTTTGAAAATGTGAAGTTGACGTAGAAGGAGCTAGAATAAAGGAAAGATGTTTTTTGTCTTAGTTTTACATTCTTGCTATGACATAATGCTGCAATAGAGATAATTGGTAAATGACATGCAGCAGATGGTATATACCATCAAAATCTGGCTTTATTCCCATAATACAGTGTGCTTGCCTCAATGTCTTGTCATACAATATACTAGGTGTATTGTGCACTAGGGTAGGAAGCCACTAAATCTTTCATGAGAATTCAATATTATGATAATTCACTATAAAAGTATTGTGAACTCTTTTCTGTTCAAAATAAAGAAACAATTTAAAAAATTCCCACATTAACAGATTGATGGTTGTAATAAACACTGTTGTCTGGTGATCTGATGAGGGTCAGCCCAAACTGGCTTACCAGTAATAAGAAAGTTAACTAATCAATTAACAACTTGGCAATCTTTGTCGGATAATGTGTACTGATATTGTACCTAATTACTCCAAGTGCTTGAAATAATACACTATATTGTTACACAAAAATAACAACAATTTTCCTGTGTTGTTTATTTGTTATGTCTTTGTGACATATGGTAGAAAATTATGTAATAATTTCAAATTGCCATATTTCAGACAGTAAACATGTTGTGTTTTAAAAAAGATAAACAAATATAATTTTGTAATTACCAAAAAAGGTAAAATGTCAGATTTAAAGTACATGTATATGAATGTTGTTCAGCATAATAGTATAATTATATAGGAGTACTTTATCTGGAACTTTTTTGACTTGACTGGAATTTACTAGAATTAAGGATCTGGCAACAGTACTAACTGTTGACTTTGATTATAAATAGTCCCTGAACACCTCCTTATTGAAGAATTCTTAAAACCTCCATTGAAGAGTTACAAACTTCTTTAACGTAAGTGTATGAAAAAAGTTACGAACGTTTTATGAAACGTCAGCCTAAAGTTACGATGATATTTACGAAAAGTTTACAAAATGTTAGTACATGTAATACGGGCCCCTGATACATGTACGGTGGTCAAATTAAACATATGAGTATTATGCTAGCTACATCTTTCACACTCACTGATGATAAGAGATATTATTCTGTTCGTGTTGTATTTGTGCATGTGATCAATGCATAAATATAGTAAAAATATAGTTAGGTATATAATAAGATTTAATATATTTAGATCAAGATGTTTTCCTTTGATTATTCATGCATCGTAAAAGGTCTTGAAGCCTCTCTTGACTCATCATTAACCCTTCCTGCTAAATTTATGTAATGAACTTGACATTCTTTGAATTTGGAACAGTCCATTCTTCATGTGAGGGATTTTCATATCAAATTGTGACAAGTTAGTAGCCCACATTAATGAGTTTGGTAATATTAGTACATTTCATAGTCAAGTGATAAATAAATATAATCTATACAAAAATACATATAACCTATAAAAATATATATAACCTATAAAAATACATGTAACCTATGAAAATACATATACCTTTAAAAATACATATAATCTATAAAAATACATATAACCTATAAAAGTACATATAACCTATATAGATTAGAAGTAGCTTGACCAAGTTATCATCAAGTCATACTAGAAGAAGTTCTTGTAGAGAAAATAAAATATTGAATTTATCAGTATAATATTACTGTTTTATATTTTCAGTTTGTTGCAGCTAATGACAAGCTATGGTTCTGGTTAGACGTATTCTCCATTGTAGACTACTTCACCATTCCGCCATCTTTTGTTGCAATATATCTAGACCACAACTGGTTAGGTATGTCTGTTCTTATTATAGGTATTCAAGGGTCGGAAATTATAAGCGACCTGCCCATTTTGCATACATTATCTGATGGCTGGTTGTGGTATTTTTAGCTAAATCAACAAAGCATGGAAATCGTCTTTACCACCATGGGAATCCATTTCCAATTACATTGTATTGAAAGTATTTAAGTATCTTTTTACCATGGCCAAATAACAAGGCCAAATAGCACAGCCAGGGGCGTAGCTAGGGCAATTTAAAATATACGCACAAATGTACACGCAGGAGGTCAAGGGGGCCTTGCAGGTCCAGGGCAGAGCCCTGGTGGGGGTTCAGGGGGCGAAGCCCCCGAAAGCTCCGCGGATTTAGTCATTTGAGGATGATTCGATTATACAATTTCACGTGCATTTAATGTCACATAAATGTGGTTTAATCCTAAAAAAGGGCAATTTTATTAGACTTAAGATTACGAAAGAGTAGGAATAATACGTACCCAATGACCAAAAAAGCAAATCAAATAATCTAGATTAAAGACACTCTTTTTGAAAAACATTCTACATCTAGTAAACAATTTAAAATTACATTGAAATTTGCTCTTGAAAGTCATCTAATTAGTGATAAAAAGTTTTTAAAAATAGCACACTTTATAGATGTATAGCGACCTAGTACACTACTACTTGGATACTGAAGAAACTATTCATTTGGAAATTATGTTTTAGTATATGCATGACTAATAATCGGCATAATTCCACAATTTCGACACTTATTGAATGGTTCTGTTGGCTCCGTCACATTTGCGAGGGCTCTTTTGCATTGCCTATGACACCCGTACCGTGTCAATTCCTCGCATTTGAATAAATGTTAATACTTTGTTTATTTAATCAATATCTGTGAACAAAATTTTGTATTCAGCCAAAGGGGAGGTTAGGATCATTTTCCATCCACGATAAAATTGGCAGATATTTACGGAAAGAAATCACACAAGTTAATATTTGGTAAACGTACTAGCAACGTAATTTCCATCTTTACTATTTTCGTTGTTTTTTTTTCTTCAAATTGTTAAAAAATGGTATGAGTCATTTCACTTCAATTATGTTTGCAAGAAAAATATAATCCTTCCAAAATTCATTGTGAAACAATTTGCAACAGACTGATTTTCAGACGCCCACTTGATGCGACATATTGAACTTGCACGTCTCGTATCCCTTGCATACATATTTTGTTATATTAATCACATTTAAATTCAGTCAAATCAATTTGTTTTAATATCAAGAACAAGCCATATTCCGCTCAAAATAATACTTAAAAGTCACTTATAAGATATTACATTTTATAATACATAAAATTTAAGAAATTTTGTTTCGACATATTGTCTTACATGTTTTTGTGACATCTATGACATGTGTCGATATTATCAAAATGTGTGCATTATTTTATTTTATTAATAAAATTAAAAAGAATTGAAACTTTTTCAAAAGCTAATGTATTATTTCTTAATATTTTACGGAAAGAGCTCGTATTCAAGCTACATGTGAGACGATTAATTAATCACTTTTAAAAACGAAACGGGGGTACCTATATCTAGGTTTGAATATAAAAATCAAATAATTAATTTTATTTATTACATGCTTTTCGGTGGTTTATAGAAATATATCAGTGATATAAAATTGGTAAATTCACTGTTTGAAACAGTGAAATTACCACTTTGATAATTTCACTGTTTTGAATTTAAGCCCCTGACGTTGTTTCAGTGAAATACCAGCGTGCACAGTACTGGGTACCAACTTAATGACGTGACGTCGTAAATGACGTCACGTTGTATTATTATTTGGCGCGCTTTTCATTCAGTATTAGTTTAACATCTTTTTAAAACGTTTCTTTGCATGTAATAAAAAGAAAATTTGTTTAGGTTAGTGTAAGATCGAAATATATTTCACCTTGTGAACACCAAAAGTTCATATTTCACTCGTGGCTGCGCCACTCGTGAACTATACCTTTTGGTGCTCACTCGGTGAAATATATTCCGATCTTACACTGAACTAAATAAATATCCTCTATATCTTACTTGATCTATGTAAAAAATAAAATCTAGTACATTCTTATTAGGATCTTTCCATTTGAAAGACCATGTTATGATAAAATACAATAAATAAGGTCTTTTTCATACACTGCGTAAGTTGACCGCAGGCCGGATAGCACTAGTTTTTAAGCCATTTTTCGCATTGAATGTTTTTCTAATTTTTCACCTCCCAAAATAAATTGTACGCACGTGCGTATTTGGCGTATAGGCAGCTACGCCACTGACAGCGGTAAAGTCCAGCGTTCACACGCTAAAGGTTATTTAAGTGGTTTACGCCAAACTAGCTTCTAATTTTTGCACCAGTTTCCCCACTTTCAATGACACCGTCATGGCGAGTTAAACCGAATTGCTTTCATGTTTGAAATGGTTTTGTATTTATGAAATATTTCAAAGTAAATAGAAGGACATGAACTCGGCAAATATATTTTTTATTTGGCTATTGTTCATCATTCTTACCAGCTGTATTATAGACACATGTGAAGTAGTATACACTTACAAGACAATGAAAATTAATAGATAAAAAATAGCAGTGATATCCTAGTTCAGCCATCAGAAAATGTATGCAAAGATGACGGTTAGTATTGTCAGACAATATTTAACATGTTTAGATGGCAATAGTTTGGTATTATGTCATGTAACTTACCACAAATCGTTTGAAATGTCTGCTCTATTAATAGGTATATAAACTTTTTTGGGTGTTATGTAACTGACCACAAATGTTAAGCCAAGTTTTTCCCATTCTATACATAGAATATACTTGGTTAAGAATAACTCTATTTAGTCTGCCTATATATGCAATTGAACTCAATTTGTAAGGTTACTGTTTCCATATAAACCTAGGTTTCCATATATATCTAGGCCACAACTTAAATGGCCAAGGTACATTCATTTCCAATATATGAAGGACAGTTCATATGAGGTGTCTGGCTAATTTATATACATAACAAGAGCTGTTGATAGGATAACTTGTTCGACTATTCTCAGTGCTTGATAGTAAAACAAAAGCCTGGATAATGTTTACTTATACCAATATTTTACCAATTGTTTGACTTTTTACCTGCTTTTGACTACTTACCAACATTTGACTACATTATTTGACTTCTTACCTACTATTTGACTACTTACCAATGTTTGACTTATATTATTTGACATCATACTTTCTATTTACTTAACTTACATATTTGACTACAGAGTTTAACTTCTTACCCATTATTTTAATATGGTTATTTTGTGGCCATGAAATTTTGTTGTTTTATCACAAACATTTAATTTGGTTCTAAAATTTGAGGATTGTTAATTTTTTTCCAAAATGTAATGTGCAAATAATGTAAAGCAGATGAAATGATATTTAGCCGGAACTTGACCTATCCACGAGAACCACAAAAAAGTGTCCAAAGAATAAGAATGATTTTGCAGTATGTGATATTTGACTACAAATAAGACTTAACTTTTCTAACATTTGACCAAAGGCGGCTAATACAAATGTGTTTGACTACATACAAAATAGAACTTGTTACCTAACATTTAAAACCTATCAAAGGTCAACAGCATATATCTGTCTATTTTTGTAATTTATTTGACTATATTGCATAATGGTTACATTTTATTTTATCGGAAAGTGTGAATTACCTTGTATGGCATAACAAGAATTTATATTTTTTACAAATACCATGTTTGGCTATAGCTACTATTGATTCATTTATTTTCCCCTCTTTATTTTCTCTTAATAAATACCAATTTCTTCTTTATATCTAGGTCATATGTGCCAGGGATGAGAATAGTTTTCACTGATTACATTAAATCTAGATTTATAGAACTTTCTTTCTGTATCATTAATTATCAATAAAGCAGAGCTTTGGTATATTTATTTGCTATATATTGCTAGAGTGTTGTAGGGGTTATATAAGAATAATGCCTTAGTTGTATTAGAATTAGGCTATGGAAGTAACATATAAGGATGTAGAAGAAGCATTAGAATTAGGATATGGAAGTAGTATTAGAATTAGGATATGGAAGTAGCATTAGCTAGAATTAGGATATGGAAGTAGCATTAGAATTTGGATATGAAAGTACAATTAGAATTACTCTATGGAAGTAGCATTAGAATTTACGGACGTAGCATTAGAATTTATGGAAGTAGCATTAGAATCAGGATAGTTATGGAAGTACATGTAGCATTTGAATCAGAATATGGAAGTAGCATAAGACAAATGATAACGCAGAAAACATCCCTAACCATTTATTATCCTTCTAAACTTGTTATGCTTTGACATTGAAACAGTCCATTTGTAGTTCAAGGGATTCTTTTTATAAAATATAAACATTGAGCTACCAACAGTACAGAAAGGGCATCATGTGCTTAATTACAAATTAAGTCCAGGTTGACCTAGCTCTTTTACCGTGGCATAATTAAGTCAGTGTTTATTGCCATAATATTTAAAAAAAATAATACTTAAGTGTATCAATTGAAATTACACAATTTATTGGTGTTAATTTTGTTCAGGCACAAGAAAAGAAACTTGAACATTCTAATAGCAGGTCTTTTGAATTCATTTACCGTTTTAACTATTCATGAACAGCGCGTTTTGTTTTGCAAAATTTAGTGGCTTGCTGTAAATGATAATCAATTCTGCCTTTGTTTGGTTTTATACAAGAACAATATGTCCCTATGATACCACCAGCCTAACAGTATATCTCTTTAACAACATAAAAACAATGAGATTCCAGGGATAATCAAATAATGTCATAACAAACGAGGCTATTGGTAATGCTGTAAGAATACAAGGGTTATATTACTGTCATGGGCATACTGGGAAATGTTCTCACTTATATGTTTGTATGCATGCCATAGTCCAACAGTCTGAAATAAAAGACAGTTCATAGTAAAAATTAAAGGAGATACAGGTCATCTCATATTTTACCTTAATTCAACTTGTTTTGCAATAGAGAACCATTTTACAGTAAATTAGACCTGGGACAAATAAACAACAAATAAGTTGTTTTCAAATTGTTATCAAATTGGCAGCCAATTTATCTATAAGTCATATAATTAATTATACGAGCTTTTTTATCAAAAATCAAATAGATAAATTTTCGTAAAATATTCTGACCATTACGAGACAAAAGGACTGTTAAAACCTTATGCAAGTTGACTTATATTTCTCTTATTTGCATTATTTATGATGAACGTGACAAAATGACAGTGTTTGCAATTGATTGGACAAAAATATAAAACAGCGCCTATCCCCCATTATTTAGCATGTATATTATGTCCCAGATCAAACTTTACAAGCATTTTCATATTTGTTATTAATACAATTTTATTATAACATACTTTAAGTGAACCCATAATATAATTGCTATACATGTATATTGATTTTTTGTGCGTTATTGCATAATAAATAATTTATAATATATTTCTATATCTGTTTTTCAGGACTGAGGTTTTTAAGAGCACTGAGGTTGATGTCTATCCCGGACATCTTAACATACCTCAATATCCTCAACTCTAATACTGTGATACGTCTTTCCTATCTCGTCTCCTTCGCCCTCAGTTTGTGGCTGTCAGCGGGCGGATTTCTCCATCTTGTAAGTTGTCTTCCGTTACAGCGTACATTTCACGTTGATTGACAGAATCTTTATTAAATATGGATATTGTTTTCTACAATATTATGATAACCTTTTGATCACCTTCGATCACATGGTATAATTGTTGATCAGGCTTGACGTGTCTACTTTATTATGCCAAATGAAGTTAACTGTAACTTCATGAAAATAGAGATTGATGTCAGTGATGTTAATAATGTGTGATAAAGAATTTGCCCTTGTGGAAACTTTTGGTCAGTAACTTGAAATGAGTATAGGAAACCTTTGGTCAGTAACTTCAAATGAGTTCAAGAAGCCTTTGGTCAATAAATTAAAATGAGTGCAGAAAACCTTTGGTCAGTAACTTAAAATGAGTTTGGGAAGCCTTTGGTCAGTTAGTTAAAATTTGTTCAAGAAGCCTTTGGTCAATAACTTAAAATAAGTGCTGGAGGCCTTTTGGTCAATAACTTAAAATAAATGCTGGAAACCTTTGGTCAATATCTTAAAGTAAGTGCTGGAAGCTATTGGTCAATAACTTAAAATAAGTGCAGGAATCTTTTGGTCAATAACTTAAAATGTGTGCTGGAAGCCTTTGGTCAATAACTTAAAATGAGTGCAGGAAGCCTTTAGTCAGTGAATTGAAATGATTGCAGGAAGCCTTTGGTCAGTGAATTAAAATGAGTGCAGGAAGCCTTTGGTCAGTAACTTAAAATGAGTGCAGGAAGCCTTAAGTCAGTTATAAAATGTGAGCGCAGTTTGCCAGCTACAGTGTATGTGGATCATGATCTTGAATTGTTTTTGTAAGATTGCTATCCATTGGAAGTCAAAGTCATAGGGCCTTAAGGATCATAATTATAAGATATAATTGCATACCTTGACTTTAGAGTATTCTTCACTAATGTAGGGGATGATATTGATGTTGTATTTATAATAGTGATATTGCATGACATCATAGCATACAAATAAAGGTGTATAATCATTAATGATTAATCAATATTCATAAGAGCTGTCAATTCTTTTATCAGTCAGGGGTTCATGTAAGAATATTTACCAGGTTTTGTAGAATTATTGTCATCAAGATAAACTTGTCTGACCTACTAACTTATTAATTACTTACTAATTACCATTTAGGTTCCATATACATGTACTCCTATCTAAACATAGAATGTCTTGTAAAGCCAGGAGCAATATTTTAACATGTGTTTTTAAAACCAACAAGTGACACAGTAGCCAGTTACTTAAGGAGAAATTGGTAATTACTAGTTAGGAAATCCAGTTAGGTTGACTGACCACCCTAGATGTGACCAAAAGTGTGTTGAATTTTGTGTAAAAACCAGACAAACAAACAAACGAAGCAACACAAAAGTAATAAAGCCCTTCTGAGTTTAAATTGGTGAAATTTAAGGATTTTCTTATTTCATTGTCATTAGCTATAATTAGGGGGTTAACAGAGTAAAGTCTGTCATGGCCACCAGCACTCACCCACTTATACACTTTCCTGGTACATTTTTAGCATTGACATGAATTTATTGAATACATTGATTTGATGACATAAGAACAATTCAACAAAAGACTGATAATTGCCATGAAGACTCTTGTTTGTTTACTTGAATGTTATTTATATTGGAAATAATCGCAAAACAACAAAGGGTGGCCAAAAACTTCATTTGTTTTACTAGAGAAATTAAAAATATAGCTTTTGTTGTGTATCAAAGAGCATACATTGGCCCATAGAGCACATGGCACTCGATCAACTGTTCAGATGATAATGCTTTGTATCTTGTATATCTATATGTAGGCCAATAAATTAAGGTTATGAACATGTCAAATATATCCCCAAATGCTTCTGTTTGCTTCATAATCCAACACTTGCATGTCCTGAACTATGATAAGTGAAAGATCATTTCTCTCTATGAAGTTTTTATTGTAGGCATTCAGCTTATCTGTGTTGGCGTAATTGCCATCTGTAGCATTTTCTATTCATAACATATGTTATAAAATGTATATTTTATAATAAATAGCATCTTTAATTGATCACATAAACGAGTAAAATGCTTGTTATTCTTGATTATTCTGATCGCGATTTTCATAACTTAGCCCTTGATTTTCAGAGTTTTAAATTAAGAAGTTTGCGTTTAATTTGATTGTACATTTGTATTAATCAAGGCAAATGATAGTAAAAAATAAATTTTAAGAGGTTAACTGCTAAATTTATGTAATTTTTATACTTCTTTTGCAGCAGAAAATAATATTTGGTAATTGTAAATATATAATTTGTAATACTTTTATTAAATGTATTTTCTTATAATTCTTTTGTTTGCAGCTGGAAAATTCTGGAGATTTCTTTTTTGATTTTAACAACAAGCACGATCTTACATACTGGGAATGTTTGTATTTCCTTGTGGTTACCATGTCAACAGTGGGATATGGAGACATAAACGCTGAGACAGTTATGGGCAGAACATTTTTGGCAATCTTCATCATTGCCAGCATTGTGAGTACATTTGTATTAAGATGCTATCGTCTCAACTTCTCTGTATTAACATGCCATTCTCTCGACTTCCTTATATTAATATGCCATCCTGTCAACTTTGTACATGTATTTAAATGCCATCCTCTCAAATTCCTTGTATTTAGGTGCCTTCCTGTCAACTTCCTTGTATTAAAATGCCATCCTCTCAAATTCCTTGTATTTAGATGCCATCCTGTATCCTATCATCTCTCTTGTAGGAAGATACCATCCTCTTAACTTGTAATAACATGCCATTCTCCTTTTTTTTTCATTTCTTGTATTTAGATGCCATCCTTACAGTTACATGTACTTGTTTAAGTATTACAATGCAGCCTTCTCAATTTTCTTGTATTAAGATGCTGTGATCTATATAGCCTCACATTATGATGCCATCCTCTCAACATTCTGCTATCAATAAAGATGTTGTCCTCTCAAATTCCTTGTATTAAGATGACATCCTCTCAAAATCCTGACATTAAGATGATGTCTTTTCAACATGCTGACATTAAGATAAAGCTTTCTCAACATTCTCACATTAAGATTTTTACCTCTTAATGTCCTCATAATAAGATGCCTTCCTCTCAACAATTGGGAGAATAATTGTTTGTCATATCAGTTATAAATTACTGTACATAACAATTATTTAACTTATTTTTCATCAGTATACTGAAAGGCATAATAAATGATTTTGCATGTTTACAATTAAGTGCAGTTAAGTCATGCCAGTTAAGTTCAGATGAGAAGGTCATAAATTGGTAAATCAGGTTTACCAATAATCTGGATTTCTGTTTTTTATACCATGCCATAACATAGTCTTTGTTTAGCATAAAATAGCATTAATATACATATAGCCAATATAATATGATTATATTTTAATATGTTTTGATCCTTGGAGTAGGCATAATTTCTCTGTGACAATTGATCTCCGACATTAAGTCTAATGGTCATTTGTCTCTCGGTACTAATTCAGAAATCATGTTGAATTACTAGCAAGTTACTTGTGGAGAAATTGGTAATAACTGGTTAGGTATCCAGGAAAGTCATTAGTTGGATCGACCACCAAGATATGACCAAAAATGTGTGTTAAAATCATTGTATTAAAACCCAGAAGAAACAAACAAATACACAAACAAACAATCAAAAAAAGTAGGGAGATGTCAAGGTCATTAGAACATGGGATTGTAAACAGAGAAATATTCACATTCCTGTATACATGTGTATATTTTATGTCATAGGTATTAATAACTGGTAAGAATTTATGGACAACAATTCCCATGTGTGATCAAACTAGTTCAATTAATGTTTTTATAATGTTATAATATAATTATTTCTTGGATATTAATCTTGGATTTTTAATAGGAATGACCTGGCATAACTGTCATAAAATTGTATGGGATTGTAAAGCTTTTATTTTAACCTTTAACCAGCTGCAACCGAAAGTGAAAAGCCTTTGATACCAGTATAGAGCCAGGCCAGCCTGTACTTCAATGTAGTCTGATCAGGCTCTATACTGTTTAAATCTCAATGTTTCTATTTTGTTAATGAAATTCCTTAAACTTTGAATGGACTGTTCCAAATTCGAAGCAGGGCAAATACATTACATAAATTCAGCAGATTAAGTTACAACTATGAACTGTTGCATAATTCATCCAGGCTGCCAATTATTTGACATGCCAGGGATGTATGCAAGAGTTATGTTATGAGATAAAGACTAGGGTTTGTTTGTATTGTCTATACCAATCTTCTCTCATCAATCAAAGAAGGTAAATATGTGAGCTGACATATAATTACTGGTGCATGTTTCTAAGAAAACTTATCATGTGCTAATTGCATGGTCTTACAAACTACATGTATCAAGATACGATGATAAGTAAAAAGAAAAGAACACATATGTAAGAAGTACTTTTAAACTGGGTTGTATACCTCAACCAGAAGACAGGGGCATTCCCACATCCTTAAATAATGTTTTTTCCACAATTGGGATGTGAAAGAGTTCCCAATTTAATATCTTTATATCAAAGTTGCTTATTATTTCATTTGACTACAAAATTACAAATATATTAGAAGTAGACAAAATATCTTCAAATATATTTTCATCTGAATACATGTATCTTACAAAACAATAATGTAACATCTTAGAATTTTACTTTCCAAACATGTTAGCCTATCAGATTGTGTCCAATTTCACCATTGTCAGAGGTGTTAAAAAGGCTCTTGTTTAGGTTTTAGTTTAAACATATATATTTTAGTAACATTAGGTTGAAAACTTTAGGCTTATTTGAGTAACTCTTGAATCAGCTGCCTGGAACTTACAAGTTCTGGGTCTGAGGTTAGGAAGAAATTCTCAAAGCTCAAACTCAAATCTCAGTCATTTGATTGGCCATATACTGCCACAGAATGTAAACTGACCAATGAAAATCATAAGATTTGAGATAGAACTTGGAAAATCATTTTATAACCTTCAGAGGCCTCGTGTCACATGACAATCATGGTCATGATCCAAGCAGGTTTCAAACACACAATTCCTGGGTTGAGAATTATAATCACTAGGCCACAGCTGCCCTTTAAATTTTGAACCAGGGCATAGTGAATTTGACTTTGATTACATTTACATTTTTATTAAACAAGCAAGCAAAAAGACTCTTTTCAACCAAAATATCAAAGGTCAAGGTCACAATGACCTCAGAACTTTAAATAACCATTTTTGCAGATGCCATGTTTTGATGTGAAATTTGTTATTAGATATTAAGTTTGAAGAGTTTTTACAGCATCAATATTTTTTGCGCAGATTGTGAAAAGATAAGCAGTTGTTACAGCTTTAAAATTCAGGAGCTTGTTATATAGAAATATTTACATTATTGTAGGGTTTGTTTGCCAGTTGGATTCCTGAAATTGCTGATATTATAGGCAGACAACAAAAATATGGAGGTACTTACAAGAAGGAAAGAGGCAAAAAGTAAGGCTATTGCTCATTGTTTTTATCATTCATACTTCATAAAAAGTAATATGTAGTATCAAATGTACTTTTAACATGACCATTTATATAATTATTCAATTGTTTAAAAAGAATATTCATTAAAAAAAAAGATCCGAAGAAGCCATATAATTATATTAGGAATAAGTTAAGAAAATATATAATCGAGCAGGCTTGCAGAGAGCTTGGCATAGTTGTCACAATGCCGGTTGGGTGTATGTGCATCCATCTGGATTATGCTTGTCGGGGCTTAACTCTGTCATTAGTGGGCATAATTTCAAATAACGTAGCACAAATGTTCACAATAATGAGATGGTGTGTCATGTGCAAGAACCGTGTGGCTAGGTCAAAAGTCAAGGTCATACTTTAAGGTCAAAAGAAAAAAAATGGTTTCAAACAGCTTGTCAGCACCATAACTCTATCACTAGCTGGTGGAATTTCAAATAACCTGGAACAAATGTTCAACATTATAAAACGGCATGTCACAAGCAAGAATTGTTTGACTTTGTCAAAGCTTAAGGTCTGATGTGACAATCGGCTCTAACTGTTGCCATTGGGCATCTTGTTAATTTTTATATGCCTGAAAGAATTTCGGGCATATTATGTTATACCCCCTGGCGTTCGTCTGACTGTCCGTCAGCAATTTGGTTTCCAAAGCATAACTTAAGTTCCATTTGGCCCACAATATTCAAACTTCATAGGATGATTGTCCATATTGGGTAGAAGACCCCTATTGATTTTGGGGTCACAAGGTCAAAGGTCAAGGTTGTTACTACTTTTAAACTGAAAACAGTTTCCGATGCATAACTTAAGTTCCATTTGGCCCACAGTGTTTAAACTTCATTGGATGATTGTCTGTATTAAGTAGAAGACCCCTATTGATTTTGGGGTCACAAGGTCAAAGGTCAAGGTAACTTTTACCTTAAAACTGAAAACAGTTTCAGGAACATAACTTAAGTTCCATTTGTCCCACAGTGTTCAAACTTCATAGGATGATTGTCCATATTAGGTAGAATTAGGTAATTCTTACAGATGCTTCATCCTTACTTAAAAAAAAAAAGCACTTTCAGGCATATAATGCTCCGCCTAGCGGTGCTCTTGTTAGATATATTTTTTTTCTGTTTTACTGTATGAGCAACATTTTAAATGTTTGTTAATTTTAGACATATTGTTGTGTGTGGTCACATCACCTACGATTCAGTGTCAAACTTCCTCAAAGACTTTCTACATAAAGACAGGGAGGATGTTGATGTGGAAATCATTTTCCTTCATAAGTAAGTGGTCGATATTTTTTATAACAGATCTTCATCAAATTTAGAATGCAAGTGGCATTATACCAGGCTTTTACAACAAATATTTGATTTTTTTTTTTCAGCTGAAATCTAAAGTATTATGGCCTTTTCTGAAAAATCTGAAATGGTTACCACTTGTAAAGCTTATTAGGTCCTAAATGGCCTGTGTTTCAATGTTGAAAACAAGAAGAGGTCAACATTTTTTACAAGAACAGTTCAATATTGATTATGAGAAATGTTCAATGTTGATAAAAAAAGAACTTAATGTTGATTGTTGATTACAAGAAAGGCTCATTAATGATTACAAGTCAGGTCAATGTTGATTACAAGAAAGGTTTAATGTTGATTACAAGAAAGATTCAATGTTGATTACAAGAAAGGTTCAATGTTGATTACAAGAAAAGGTTCAATGTTGATTACAAGAAAGGTTCAATGTTGATTACAAGAAAGGTTCAATGTTGATTACAAAAAAAGGTTCAATGTTGATTACAAGAAAAGGTTCAATGTTGATTACAAAAAAAGGTTCAATGTTGATTACAAGAAAGGCTCAATGTTGATTACAAGAAAAGGTTCAATATTAATAACAAGAAAGTCTCATTATTAATGACAAGAAAGCTCAATGTTGATTACAAGAAAGACTCATTTTCATTATCAGAAAGTTCAGTGTCATTTTCAAGAAAGTGTCAATGTTAATAAATTACAAGAAATGTTCAAGGTGAATTACAAGAAAGCTCAATGTGGATTAGATTACAAGAAATGTTAAATGTCAATTACAACAATGGTTCATTGCAAATTTAAAGAAAAGCTAAGATTTGCACAAAAGCACTTCATGAAAATTGTCCCATTGAAATCATGCTGTACAAACTGACACTGAGATCAGTTTCAGTGTAGAAATATGCCATTGATTTTCATTCATTTGATCTTTTAAATCAATATATAAATATTGTAAGCTGGCAACTATCAACAGGTATATAATTTTATTGTTGACTATATTCTAACAACATATTGGCTTTCCTCGTACAGATCAATAAGCATTAAGAATTATGTCAGACAATATGGTTAATTACTGTGTACAATTTATGATGGTTTTTTCCTGTAATATTTATATATATTTAATATATTTATTATTTACCCTTTTCTGTTTTCTGTCTTATTTCTTGGTTGTTTTTTTTTTTTTTGGAGAGGGGGAGGAGAAAAGGGGCAGGGGTCTACATCTATGTTTTATTTTATCTTTTTCTGTCATATTTTTGTGGTGCATTAGGGGGGAGGGGGTTTTTGATGTAGGTAGGGAAAGGGGCAAATTATTTCCTGTATTTCATAATCTTATCCACATTTGATGTTTTGTTGATATGGCAGTTATATTTTTATATCTTTATTTTATGAGTTGAACTTCCAAGAACAGATTCTGTTACGAAAATATGAAATTGATTAAACATTCAGGCATGATGTATACATTTACATTTCGTTGTTATTACAAAATTTAAAAAAAATTATGTGATCTATTGAAGTTTGTGACAGTATTTCAGTGTTATAATATCTGCCAATGTTATTTTAGTTTATGTTTGACATATTTGCCTTGCCTTTCTGCATGTGACTGCAAACTTTAAAATTCTCAAGAATCAATGATAAAGGACTGAGCCTGTTGTGTTATAACCTTAGTAAACATCTGTGAAAGTAACCTGTCCATGCCACCAGATTAGATCCAGGCTAGCCTGAACATCAAGCCAATCGACCAGAATCTATGCTGATAAATGCTCATTTTTTTTGAAGACCCCTTAAACTTAAAATGGATTGTTCCAAATTTATAGCAGGGCAAGTCCATTAAAATCATTCAGTATGATCAGGGTTAAATAGTTGTCACTGAATAATTTATGGGTGTTTCATTCCAGATTCAAACATTGAACATCAAGATCAATAAATTTATAAGCACATTCACACCTGGATTCAAAATAAAAAAGTCATTGATTTGATTAATATCATTCTTAGTCATTTGATGATTTGTTTATTACTTAATTTTATTCAATCAAACGGGATGTGATTTTTTGCTACCATCATAAATTAGACTAACTGCTGTGAGAATTTTTAGCTTAACTATTCCAAGAGAGCTATTGTACTAACCTTGATGTTGTTGTTGTCGGTGTCACTGTCACCCCTAGCTGTCACACTTTGATTCAGTTTTTGCATGCAAGTTGTTTGTTTCTTAAACTACTGAAAGGAATTTTTTCAAATTTCACACACTTATTTGACAGCATAAAAAGAAGGTCACTGTCCAAGACCAATAACTCTTTCTTTGATTTTGACAGAATTATGGCACTTTTTTGAATTTAGAAATTGCACATAATCCAGGCTCTTGTTTTATTATATAGTAAAACAGACTGCCCTACTGATAGCTGTTGTATTGCTAATGTTGAATGTTTTTGCAGAATGTTCTGACAGACTGGTTGCAGATGTGGGGATTTTAACATTGATGCATTCAATATTGTTTGTTTTACATTTGAAATTTTCACATTATAATTGTGTTTTCTTTCAGACAGTTGCCTGACCTTGAACTTGAAGGATTATTCAAAAGGCATTTTACACAAGTAGAATTTTTCCAGGGAACTGTCATGGATGCCAATGACCTAGAAAGGGTTAAGGTAAGTTAAATTATATTGTATGCACTATAGTTAGGGTCAAAGTGTTCTGGTCTTAATAAAAAATTTTAGTTAACAAAATTTTTCTTTCATATTTTTATAAATATTTTGAAATCCAACAGTTTTGGGATTTTGAAAGTTTAGATTGTGATGTAAATTAAGTTTTGAGTGTCATAAAAAGTTTGAAATGATAATTTGAAATATAAGTTAAGCACAATATTATACTAATTTGCTGATGTTTCCTACAAGGTATGGAGTTTTTATGCTTCACTCAACCAGGAAGAAGTCTCAAGCGTTTGATAAAAATACAATAATTGACCCGATCATTTTACTTTAATAATTAATTTTTATCAGTTTCTTGTTACAAAGATTTGTCGCACATGAACGAAACAGGACTATTCTCGAGAGATTTTCGTAACAAAATTTAAATTGCATATCAGCCAGCAACACGAGATGGAATCAATAAATGATTAAATAGCATGGTTACAAAGATCAAAGTGGCCTTATAAAGATTGTTTGTATACAAGGGTCTGTATCAGCATTGTGTTCCCCCCCCCCCACCAATTACCTGGTGATGTGAATTAGACTTTATGAACTGTACATTGTAGTAGTTTTGGGAATTTAATATCAAGATATGAAGCGGGTACCAATCAAGGGTTGACCACAAGACTGTTGTAAGTCCTCCTTTATTTCATATAAGTTACTGCAGTTTTGCAGTCAGCCCTAGCATTATGTCCCTATAGGCTACATAAATGAGCCATCTATGGTTGCTCGATATTTAGATTGCTAAAGTCTGATATATTAGTTGCTCAAATTTCTGAGTGACATTAGCTAATGTATCAGAATATTCAGTTTCAAATCACAGAGGGAATACCTGTATTGATTTTTTAATAATATATGTATATAATATACAAGAATTGGAGAGACAGGTAACATATATTCCTGAACAAATTTCTATAACACTCGCTCATTTGAGCATTGAGGAATAATGCCCCGCTGCATAATTGGGAGGGGATCCTAAGAATGAATAGTTTTCATTTATTCATTTGTCTGTCAGTAACATTATCACATATCGTAATGTATTTTATGAAACAGGCTATATTTTCTATTTCAAATAAATAATTTATCTTGATTACAAAGTTTGTACTTTATTGCGCTGTCTGAGATTGCCCATTTAACGAGTCACACCATATTGTGTTTTATTACTTTAACAGCCGAGCATTAAATAATATCTTTATAAATTCTCCCCTGAAATGCTATGAAATATACTATTTCATGAGGGAATAAATCAAGATTACCTGCAGCAATTCATATCCACATGGTTTTTACATAGATTTATTCTTCATATTAAATAAATAACACTTTTTGCTCTTTTGTGAATTGTTTACCGTATTTGGGGATTTGGCAAGGTGGGACAATATTTTCTGAGAGTAAAAGATGATAGAATTATTTTTGGGAATAATTTATGAAAATACCTTATAAAATTATAAATTTTAAAATTGACCGGTGAAAATAAGTTTTAGCTAGTGAAATTTTGTTTTACTATTTAAAGTGTTTCAATGACAGGTAACAAGACTCCTTTGAAATAATTGATTGTGTGGTGGTGTTAACACGTTGGTCAAGTAATCTAACTTAAGGATTCCTGGCTGTGTTACGTCAAACTCCGTCAGGGGCAATCTGTTGTTTCCTTAAGCAAGAAACTTTGCACTCATTGCTTAGAGCTGGTTGGCTCCAGGAACGGACTCAGAGTGTTTCAATAAGCTTATAGCTTCCAACACTAAAATAAAATTAATCAAACTTAAATACATTTGTATAAACTAATAATTGATTGCTAAGGGTTATCACTTTCAGTTCCAGCTGGTTAAAAGTTGAAGCTTGGTCAGACAGTTAGTTTGAGCTTTTGGTACTGAAACCCCTTTTCATTAAAATGAACTGTTCTGAATCCATTTTGCATATTTATCTACTGATCCTAGCTCTACAGATGTATGGTAAAATCTAAATCAGATTAACATCCAGTTTCTGTATCTTTATACATGTATACAGTATACCTATAAAATTATGTGGATCAATATATTCTGATAAAGATAGAAATGACTGCCTTAAATTTCCCTAATGATTTTAATGTCACATTCTCTTCCTATTCTAAAAATAGAAATGACTTTTTCAAATCTCCATAGGAAACATAGGCTGATGAATTACATTTAGATTGTTTTAGCATCTTGTGTTATTAGCTTGTCTGTTTCGAAGAAAAAGTCAAGCTTTTATGATCCATCTAGCTTAACGAATGTCAGTTGTTCTACTCGGGTGTCCGTTCGTGCCTGTATAATGCACTGAAGTGCACCTGAGATCTTCCTCCACCAGTAAAGGTGGAAAGTGGCCATATAACTTATACCATGTTGGTGCCATGTAAAACCCAACAAAAACTGTCAAGCTCTGAGAAGTTTAGAGTACGCTGTCTTATGAACAGCTCTTGTAATTTCAGAAAGAGGAATAAAACTGTTTGTTTAATGTCTGTATTACAGAAGTAACAAAACTCTGCATAATGTTGTTAGGGACCCATATTGTTCATCATGAACTAATCTTACGTAATGTCATTTGTAAATTACTCTGTCAGTACAGATGGGTTCATGTCCTAGGTATTTGAAAGGCTTCAATGCCCTAGGGTTAAGTAAAACATACGTTAGCCATTAAAGCATAAGTTAGTCATGAATAATTTACATCACAGATATGTTTTAAAGCATTTGAAATAATTTGATTTAGACATGGAATAAGCCAGAGTTAATGCAGGCAAAAAATTGTTGAAGCATACTCATTGATTATTCATATAATTGGATAAAAGGCGTCTAGCGGAGGACATGCTGCAACAATGGTAGTCTATGATACGGGATGATAAACAGAAAACATTGCCACGACTGTGTTCTGGTAACAACGGAACCGAAGTAATTCCTAACTGACACCAGTCATTGACAATGATGGCTAAAATAAACAGAATCTTTTACAGTTGGAAAATTCAAAAGAAAAATAAAAAATTTAGTATAGAATTTAAATATTTGAGCTGTCAATGTAAATAGACAGTTCTATAGAACTTACTTTGCTTTGTTTAATGCTATAGATTATAATAAATCAGTTTAGTCAATCGAGATCCTGTTTAGTTAAACAAAAGGAAAATAGGCTTTTTGTCCTCTTTGAAAATGTTTCTTTGTATTAGACTTCTATACAGCAGTAACCTCTGGTTGGATGTTCTGATTTTTACCCAACTTGTGCTTTTAGTACAATATTTTTTTAAGTTAATAAACGTTTTTTTTTTCAAATTGCAAAACAAGATCAAGAGGACAAGAAGTCTTTAAACAGTCAGAGTATAAAATGTTGTTGTGTTTTTTTTTTTTGGGGGGAGGGGGGGGGGCAAAGGCTCCTGCAAGGTTATTTGTTGTATAGAATTAGTTTCATGCACCAATCAATGTGAAATGATTTTCTAAGCCTGTTTTTCAAAAACTTTGTATTCAGACTTTGTTAATGAACGTCTTTTTTTCTAATTGCAAAGGCTGAACAATCTTCTAGATTTTATTCTTTTGTAGTCATATAAATGTAACATTACATTGAGTTCAGATACTTATACTGCATAACAGGTGCTCTCTGCTTTGACGTTTTACAAAAAAGGACTTACAAAAGTAAGCACTAGCATTTTGCCTATTTGCAAGCTGATTTTCATACAATCACAGATGACTTGATCCACTACATAATATATATATAATATATATAATTTATATTATATATTTATAATTTTATACAGAAGAAACTGTATTATCCTGGATGCTGGACGATATTCCAAGTTTGATAATTGTACTTACAATTTATTTGAATAAAGAGACACATTTATACTATCTATAGATTGACTGTATGCAAATATTTAAGCAGCCTTTAGCTTAAGTTCATCAGTATTTGCTTTATGATGGTTTGCATTATATTGTTCTTGACAGTGTTTTGATTTCTAATTCTACAAATGTTTAAACAATTGTATTAATGTCCTTTTGAACAAAGGGAATTTGTTTTATTTGAACTATTGTCCTACTCTTAATGTGCTATTTATTTTGCCTAGTAAGTTGGCACTTATATATTTTGACTACATGTATGTTGACAACATGTGGTTCTTTTCTGCTGGAGTGGCTTCTGAGGTCTTCCTCCTCCTGGATAAAGCTAGAATGTCACCATATGACCTTTATAGTATTGGTGCATGGTAAAACTTCAAACAAAACAACACAACATAATTGCTCAGCTGTCTTCCTCTTTCTCTTTTTGTTTAGAAACATTATAACCCTAAAACTGCTAAAATTCTTAAGATGATTTGTCAAGCTTCTATTTTTGGAAGTGTCCAGTTATTTGTTTTAAGGATATTAAGAGGAAGTCACCCAACACTATATAGAGCCTGATCAGATTGCATGGATAACTTGACTCTGCATGTTACGGTGGTGGTGTTGGTACATGTAGTTTTCACTCCAGATTATGGCTGTAAGCCACATTGAATTTGCCAGAGACCAGTTCAGCCACCTCATCACTCCTGGGCGTACTGTCAAGCAGTGTACCAGCTAGTACCAGTTGCCTTCACTTTTACAGTGAGAATGTCAGTAGAAAGGATCTCATGATCAGTCACAACGAAAGCTGCTCCGTCCAGGAATCGAACCCAGGTCGCACGATTCACAGTCCCCCTGTTGAGCTTACTGGATGGCTTCTTGAGTCCTGTTATTCTTGATAACCAAGTATATAATTATACAGAAAGTGAGGGGGTGGAGTTATGCTTCATTTTCTTTGAGGCTATTTTTGGCATATTGGCCAAGTGCATATAATTATGTCTACTTTAATGATGTTGTGCATGCACTTTTATCTACAAGAAATACCTGTTAAAAATGTTCTCTGGAAAAGAGATCTATGTATAACTTGCTTTCTAACAGATTTTTATCTTCTTTTTTTTCCATCTGATGTAATTACACCTCTGAAAACAAATGCGGAAGAGAGAAATATGTTAGAGCAATTAAATCCTTGCATTATATGTTTCTCTCTATTACAGCCTCTCATCTCATCAATTACAGGGGGAAATGGTTATTTCTGTAGAATTGGAAATTTTATGATAAAAAAATGGTGTTTCCAGATATAATCCAACCATAAATCTTACATAATTGCAAACAAATAAGGATTACCTTGGTGAAGTGAACTTATTTAGAAGGAAAATGCATCAATTGTAAAAAATAAAATGGCTGAAAAAAGTCAATATTTATTATGAATTGAAGGAAAAAAGATAATATTTTAAATGTCAAAAACATTGTTTGATTTTTAGCTCGACTTTTCTATGAAAAGGGGAGCTATCCTACTCGCCCCGGCGTCGGCGTTAGCGTCGGCGTTAGCGTCGGCGTTGGCGTCACACCTTGGTTAAGTTTTTCGTACCACCCCACTTTATTTCAGAAGTATTACAAGTATGGCTTTGAAACTTACCATACTTGTTCACCATCATAACCTCCATCTACAGACAAGAGTACATAACTCTGTCAAGGTTTTTGACAGAATTATGGCCCTTTTTTGACTTAGAAAGTGTATTGAGCTTGGTTAAGTTTTTTGTACCACCTCACTTTATTTCAAAACCATTGGAGATATTGCTTTGAAACTGACCATACTTGTTTACCATCACGACCTTCATCAACAGACAAGAGGACATAACTCTGTCAAGGTTTTTGACAGAATTATGCCCCTTTTTGACTTAGAAAATACATTGAATATGGGTAAAATCCACTTATTGCCTTAACCCTTTGAGATATTGCTTTGAAACTTTTAATGCTATTTCACATCATTACCCCATCTGTACGCAAGAGAAGGTAACTCTGTCAAGGATTTGTTTTAAAAAATTAAGGCCTTTTATCGACTTAGAATCTTGGTTAAGTTTTTTAGTACCAGTCCACTTTTTGACTGAACTGTTTGAGATATTAATTTGAAAGTTGGAATACTTGTTTACCATCATGGTCCCAAAACATGGGCAGGAGAAGGTAATTCTGTTAAGGATTTTATTTGAATTATGGCCCTTTTTGACTTAGAAACTCAGTTAAGATTTTCATTCTTGTCCACTTGTTGACTTAACCATTTGAGATATTACTTTGGAAGTTGGAGTTCTTATGTGCCATCATGAGACCTATCTGTAAGCAAGAGAAGATAACTCTGTGAAAATGTTTCTTGATTTGTACTTAGAAATTCCTAGTTAAAGTCTTGTGTGCCCTTAACTGTCAAAGTTTTGTTTTATAGGCAAGCACTAAAAAAGTCGAGCGCGCTGTCCTTCTGACAGCTCTTGTTGTATTAGCCTTCTTAGTTTACATAAATATCCAGGGAATAAAGTTCATCTTAGTTTACATAAATACCCAAGGGAAAAAAGTCATCAAAAACCAAAAATTAATGTACTGGCAAATTTCTTTTATTTTTGTTTATGTTAAAGCATCTGGAGATTGAGAGAAAATAACCATCTTGTTACAAAAATACGAATATTTATGTATTGTGCAATTGAAAGGAAATTAAAAAATTCAAATACATGTATTTCTAAAATATTCTAATATTCTACACAATTGACTTTATACATTGTTGCCTCACAAGGTAATCCACCTGGATATTCTGTATATAATATATAGGTACCTTTCCTGATAAATTGTTTATAAGGATGTCTCACCTTTGATTTTGTATATAAGTTTCACCTTCTCCCCCCCCCCCCCCAACTCCCTCTGATATTTTTTGTAAGGTTACCTCCCCTTATTTAATTTATGTAAGATTACTTCCCCAGACTATCCTTATACAAGATTACCATATCTGCGCTTTTTGAGGCTTTTTCAAAACTTGTTATCCTTTAACTATCCAACTGTTTTAATACTAAGTAAGATCATTAGTTGTAGTCACAGTTATAAATTACCCTTTTATGCCAGAAATAATGCAGAGATTGACACTTAAATTAATAGTTTTGTGCCATTATGGAGCATCAACTTCATTTACACTGTCATCATAAATAACTCATCCAAAAAATATATTCAATATGTTCTCTTCAAATATTTTGAAAAAGTTCTTAAGAATAAAAAAATTGCTGATGTATAAGGCAAAATGGGAATACATGATGTACTTATGCAAGAACTATGCAAATTGAAAATAGTAAGTAAGTAAGTAAGTAAGTAACGACTTTATTTCACGAGACTCACACATTCAGTTTCCCGATCATTATAGAAGTCAGTTGGGTCCAATTTGTAAAGTGTCAAAGATTAAATACTTCCCAAATTGGTACTTTTTAGGGAACATGAGACATGTTGAAATTTTAATTATCTCACATGAACTCACAATCAAACTTACAATTTTCATACAAAATTTTTGTTGTTTTCATTGCTTATTTGGGCTCTTGTGTTCAGAACATTTTTTGGGGGTTGAGTTTTACATTGCACTAACACAGTGTAGGTCATATGGATTTACTGGTGGGGAGACCTCAGGTGCTCCTCTGTACAGTAGAACCACCAATGTTCCATAAGCTAGCTAGATAGTTTTCTCACTTATAGTATCCGATGATGTTTATTCGGCTCGAACCTACTGTGGTGAGAGACAAGTGGTTTGAAGTGAAAGATTTTAACCACTCTGCCATGTCACGATTATTATAATGAGTTTGTTTTGTTTCAGATCAAAGACGCTCATGCATGTCTTGTGTTAGCAAACAAATATTGTGATGACCCTGACCAAGAGGATGCATCTAACATCATGCGTGTAATATCCATCAAGAACTATCATGCTGATATTAAAGTTATCGTTCAGCTTCTGCAATACCATAATAAGGTAAATATACTTCAATAAAGAAAAGAAAATGAATGAGGTAGATATTTAACCCAGGTAAGAGTAGAAAAAAGAAATGGAATAAGATAAATGTAGACCAGCTAGGATTAGAGAAAAGAAAAGGAATAAGATAATGTAGGCCAGCTAAGAGAAGAGAAAAGAAAAGGAAGAAGATAAATTTAGGCCAGCTAAAAGTTGAGAAAAGAAATGGAATAAGATAAATGTAAGCCAGCTAGGATTAGAGAAAAGAAAAGGAATAAGATATATTTAGGCCAGCTAAGAGTACATGTAATATTTAGGCCAGCTAAGAGTAAAGAAGAGAAATAGAATAAGATAGATATAGGCCAGCTAAGAGTAAAGAAGAGAAAAGAATTAAGATAAATATAGGTCAGCTAAGAGTAAAGAAAAGAATAGGAATAAGATAAATGTAGGCCAGCTAATGGTAAAGAAAAGAAAAGAAATAAGATAAATATAGATCTGCTTAGAGTAAAGTAAAGAATATAGGTCATGATAGACCAAAGATAAGGTATTAACAATTTAACTTTCTAGACTTGTGATCTTGAAGTGATATTGACCTTGTCACTACATTTACTTTCACAATATCAATAACATAAAAGTGAAGTAGATCAATTGATTAAGGTTAATGTTAGTGCATGCATTGCTGATATATTTTCTGTCAGGCAATCTTGTGGTGTGCTTAACATAAGTCATTGCCCTTTCAATACCACAATATGATTTCATTAATACCATGATATGATTTTGTTTAATTTGATACAATGTTATAAAGTTCATGTTGGCACACTTTAATGTCATAAAGCAATGATTTTTTAATTCAAGATATTATTTCTATCTAATATGATGCTATCTAGTCTATGTTAATACATTTTGTCATGCAAACTTTCAGGTAACCTAGATTTGTAACCATTCATAGCATTGAAGCAAATGTTACAGTATGTGCATACATCCATATGTATTGTTAAATTTTTGGTACTCTTAAAATAGTAAACATTCGAAATAATTGTTTGCACAAATTAAGTAGTATCAGAATGTGTTGTGACATATGCAAAAAATGTGAAAATCTTGAAATAACTATGATAATTGGCATTATATATCTGTAACATTAAAATTGATATAAAAATCATTTGATTTGAATCCAAACTCGATCACATATTTTATAATGTGCCAATTTCCATTTACGGAATAATGATAACATTTTATGTATTTTCTGCATTTTTGGACAATAAAAACCATTTTTGTACAAGATTGAAATGAAAATTTTCTGGTAATCAAACTTTTGGCAGCACATGAATATAAAAACCCTTACAGCCTGGAAATTGATTGAAAAAAGAAAAAAGTGAAACATATTCATGATTATTTTTAGTTGTGCAAATGTCATATAGACTCTTATTTCAGCTGTCTACAATTTGTTCTAGAAATACGAGCTGTATAGAGAAATATTTGTATATAAGAGAGATATAAAATATTATGTGTGATATTACAGGCTTATTTATTGAACATTCCAAGCTGGGATTGGAAACGAGGAGATGACGCTGTATGTATAGCTGAACTCAAGCTGGGTTTTATAGCTCAAAGTTGTCTGGCACCCGGCTTCTCTACGCTGATGGCTAACCTGTTTACCATGAGGTCATACAAACCAGTAAGACATACATTTATAATATTGTCCTCTTTTTATATTGTAACTGTGTGATATTTAAGTGTTATACACCACATGGTAAATCCCTTAAATCCGGTAATATTGTACCAGTATTCTGGGTTTTTTTTAAGAAAAAAATAAAGACAACATTCTCTAAGATAAGTCATGCAAACTTTTAGTTAACTAAGAAAAACATGTGCATTATGTTGTTAAAAACATGTTATTCCACAGAGTCAATACTTTTGACAGAATCTGATACTTTGATCAACAACTATTGTAAGAGCAAACGAAAACCTTTTTAATTAGCAAGTGTGTTTTTCTAATGTGAATTTTTACAGCAGACAGCATTCACTTTACAGACTCTGCTCTTTGACTTGTAAGAGAAATGTCCGCTTAAAAAGGAAATAAAAACTGTCTATCAGATTGATTACATGTTACGCTAAATAAAGATCGAGATTTTCCAAATGTGAACTATGCAATGAAGATTAGCTTAATGAATATTTATGACTGAATATTTTGTTCTTACCTTTTATGAGCATTATATCTGCATTTATTGTAGTAACAAGGAAATTTGACATTTTCTGTTTTTCTAAAACTTTTCCTATATTGACCATAATCTGCCAGGAATACTGTCCTCTCTTTCAAAATGTTTAAAATGTTTTCCCATAAAAGTAAAGTCCTTTTGCACTTATCTATTATGCCTTTATAAAAACCAAGCATAGCAGGTAGTGACGACTGTAATGTACATGTAAATAAATTCTATTTTTACACATTTTCGTTTTGTCCAGACTATTTTTAGAAATACAAGTATATATATGCACTGAAAGGGTTCAAGACAGAACAATAGTCAGTAAGAAAAAAATGATATGTACCACAGTAGGAAATGTTGTTTCTTCCTTTAGGTTTTACAATTTTCCTTTTGTCTTGTTTGACCATATTATCAATTTCCTATGTAATAGTGAAAGCTGCAGGGGCTTTGTCTGACACTCAGACAGTTTGTTCTCTAGTTACAAATACAGATTTCTTGTATACAAGATGACCTTGGACACAGAAGAGCAATTTTCGTTCAAATTAGTTTTCTCAGAATGCAATTTTGGCAATGCCAGACTAGCTGTTATTTGATTATATATCAAATAACCAATGATCCCCGACTGATTTCAAATCTTCAAACTACAGTGGATTTATTTTAATCAAATATCAACATTGCAGAGCCTGGTTGCCCAGTTAGATTACTTTGGTAAACATATTGTCTGGTTATACATAGGCCTGCAAAATTTTAATATGTAATGATCTTAGCTTGACAATGGACTCATATAAGTTTAGTTCATGTCTAATGTAAAATGTCTTAAATTATGATTAAGATATTAACTGTCTGAAAAGAAAGGAAAGTTAAGGCTGTGATAAGGCGTTAACAGTTTTTTCGAGACACAACTCCTACATTTATCAAGGGATTTCAACCAAAATTTTCACAGAATGATTGCTATCAAGGGCCCTTGTGAATAATATTGTGTAATAATTTTGATTTGATTATTTTTGATATCGTTGGGTTTTTTTTCTCACATAATGTGATATGTTGGTAGAAAACCTGGTTTTGTGGTAATTTCTTGTCACTTGTTTTCTTGTGTAATGCTAAGGTCACAAATTTAAATAGTATATTATGCTGTGAAGAATAATCTATTAGCCATACTAATGTATCTGACACTATGTTTGTGTTAAAACCACAGGTGGCAGTATCAGTGTTTGGACACCCCTGCCCCTGGACCCCTACTACAACCCTGAAAAAAAATTCAACACTCTAAAGCTTACTATAAGGTACCAAATACAAAACCACCGATGAAATTATATAAAAAAAAATTTTTTCCACTATCAAACTTATAGTTATAGAAAGGTGAAAAGCCTACTATATGTTCATTTGCCAAACAATGTGGAACACGGGAAATCGTCGTTTCGGCTACTGAGACGCATTCCGGCGGGATTTCGCTGCATCATTCATTAACATCAATAAAAAGAACTAGAATTCCACAGCTTATCTAATTCAAGTCCAACGAATATCACTATCATTCCGATTTTTTCTGTTTCACGGTATTTTTTGAATTGTCGTAGCCATTTTGCAGTCTGATACCTGGGTTGAAATACGCGATCTGATTGGACGAGCCACATTGGACGTCCAATCAGATCGCGTATAACACACAGGTATCAGAATCCAAAATGGCAACGACAAGTAAAAAAAATACCGTGAAATAGAAAAAATCGATAGAATATTGATATTCGTTGGACTTGAATTAGATAAGCTGTGGAATTCAAGTTCTTTTTATTGATGTTAATGAATGATGCAACGAAATCCCGCCGGAATGCGTCTCAGTAGCCGAAACGACGATTTCCCGTGTTCCACATTGTTTGGCAAATGAACATATATTAGGCTTTTCACCTTTCTATAACTATAATTTTGATAGTGGAAATTTGTTTTTTTTATATAATTTCATCGGTGGTTTTGTATTTGGTACCATATAGTAAGCCTTAGAGTGTTGAATTATTTTTTTTTCAGGGTTGTAGTAGGGGTCCAGGGGCAGATAGGGGTGGGGTGTCCAAACACTGATACTGCCACCTGTGGTTAAAACCACAGATGTTTGTGTTGTACATGAAGCTAATTGTTCAATGCATTTCTGAGCAAGTGTTTTTTCCACTTAATTAGGAAGAGGCCTAAGCTTCTTGATTTTGAGAAAAATAATCTGCTATAAATTGCAAATTTGGAAATTAAAAAAGCTGGTGTAAGTTAAGATTTTGGGAAAGCTGCACGATTTAAAGAAAAATTTGTTTGGGAAGAGGTCTTTTATATGCCTCTACTATATAAGATGAAAAAAATCACTGAGTATAATTACTCTTTTGGAGCAATTAAAAGATTAATTCTTGAACTTAAATGTTTCACAATAAACATAATGTAAACAATGCAACAATTTAATGATAATACAGTATTGTTTCTGGGGGGGGGGGGGAAAGAAGCTAGAAAGGCTAACTGTACACTGATTATATTTCTGTTACAGTCAGTGGAAATGCCACAGTGGCAGAATGATTACATGAGGGGAACAGCAATGGAGATGTATACAGAATTTTTATCCAGCTCATTTAATGGCCTTACATTTCCAGAAGCAGCAGAGTGAGTTGTTTTTGTTTGTTTGTTTGTTTTTTGTGTGCGTTTTTTTTTTTTAATTTTTAATAATTTTGAACTATAATTGCCTTATGATAATTGGAAGATCTATGGCAATACATGTATCTTGCCAGTTGGAAAAAATTTGGCTTGATGTCTGAGAACTTTAAAAGAAAATCATGAAATACATATTTAACACTGTTGGAAGTAAGACTTGCTGTTATTGGCTGTTATTTAAGAGTTAGAATTGCTGTTATTGTCTGTTATTTTAGAGTAATAATTGCTGTTTCTGTCTGTTATTTCAGTTATTATTGCTGTTACTGTCTGTTATTTAAGAGTTATTATTGCTGTTACTGGCTGTTATTTAAAACTTATTATTGCTGTTACTGGCTGTTATTTAAGAGTTATTATTGCTGTTACTGGCTGTTTTTAGCTCACCTGTCACAAAGTGACAGGGTGAGCTTTTGTGATCGCTTTTCGTCCGGCTTCCGTCCATCGTCCGTCCGTCCGTCCGTAAACTTTTACTTTAAATGACATCTCCTCATAAACCACCAAGCCAATTTCATCCAAACTTCACAGGAATGTTCCTTTGGTGGTCACCTTTAAAAATTGTTTTAAGAATTTAATTCCATGCAGAACTCTGGTTGCCATGGCAACCGAAAGAAAAAACTTTAAATATCTTCTTTTAAAAAAAACCAAAGAGCTAGAGCTTAGATATTTGGCATAAAACATCTTCTAGTGAGTGTCTACCAAGTTTGTTCAAATAAATGCCCTGGGGTCAAAATTGGCCCCGCCCCAGGGGGTCATTTATTTTCCCTATATGCATATAGTAAAAACTTAAAATATCTTCTTTTAAAGAACCCAAAGAGCTAGAGCTAAGATATTTAGCATGAAACATCTTCTCATGAGTGTCTACCAAGTTTGTTCAAATAAAAGCCCTGGGATTAAAATTGGCCCCGCCCCAGGGGGTCATTGATATTCCCTATATGCATATAGTAAAAACTTAAAAAATCTTCTTTTAAAGAACTCAAAGAGCTAGAGCTAAGATATTTAGCATGAAACATCTTCTCATGAGTGTCTACCAAGTTTGTTCAAATAAAAGCCCTGGGGTCAAAATTGGCCCCGCCCCAGGGGGTCATTTATTTTCCCTATATGCATATAGTAAAAACTTTAAAAAATCTTCTTTTAAAGAACTCAAAGAGCTAGAGCTAAGATATTTAGCATGAAACATGTTCTAATGGGTGTCTACCAAGTTTGTTCAAATAAAAGCCCTGGGGTCAATATTGGCCCCGCCCCGGGGGTCATTGATTTTCCTTATATGTGTATAGCAAAAACTTAAAAAATCTTCTTTAAAAAAACAAAAATAGCTACAGTTTAGATATTAAGCATGAAACATCTTCTAGTGAGTGTCTACAAAGTTTGTTCAAATAAAAGCCCTAGGGTCAAAATTGGCCCCGCCCCGGGGGTCATTGATATTCCTTATATGTGTGTAGCAAAAACTTTAAAAATCTTCTTTGAAAAAACCCAAATAGCTACTGTTTAGATTATTAAGCATGAAACATCTTCTACTAAGTGTCTACAAAGTTTGTTCAAATAAAAGCCCTGGGGTCAAAACTGGCCCCGCCCCAGGGGTGTTATTGTTTTTAACTATATGTGTATAGTAAAACATTAAAAAATCTTCTTTTAAAAAACCCAATGAGCTAGAGCTTAGATGTTAAGCATGAAACATCTTCTTAAAGGTGTCTACCAAGTTTGTTCAAATAAAAGCCCTTGGGTTAAAATTAGCCCTGCCAGGGGGGGGGGTCATTGTTTTTCATTATATATGTATAGTAAAAACTTAACATCATGAAACATCTTCTAATGGGTGTCTTCCAAGTTTGTTCAAATAAAAGCCCTTGGGTTTAAACTGGCCTCGCTCCGGGGGCCTATATACAGGTGAGCGACCTCAGGGCCATCATGGCCCTCTTGTTTAAGAGTTATTATTGCTGTTACTGACTGTTATTTAAGAGTTAAAATTGCTGAAACTGGCTGTTATTTAAGACTTATAATTGTTGTTACTGGCTGTTATTTTAGAGTAATAATTGCTGTTTCTGTCACTCTGTTATTTCAGTTATTATTGCTGTTACTGTCTGTTATTTAAGAGTTATTATTGCTGCTACTGGCTGTTATTTAAAACTTATTATTGCTGTTACTGGCTGTTATTTAAGACTTATAATTGCTGTTACTGGCTGTTATTTAAGAGTTAAAATTGCTGAAACTGGCTGTTATTTAAGACTTATAATTGTTGTTACTGGCTGTTATTTAAGAGTTATAATTGCTGTAACTGGCTGTTATTTAAGAGTTATAAATGCTGTTTTTGGCTGTTATATAAGAGTAATAATTGTTGTTATTGGCTGTTATTTAAGAGTTAGAATTGCTGTTAATGGCTCTTATTTAAGAGTAATTGCTGTTATTGGCTGTTATTTAAGAGTTATTATTGCTGTTATTGGGTGTTATTTTAGAGTAATAATTGCTGTTATTGGCTGTTATTTAAGAGTTAGAATTGCTGTTAATGGCTCTTATTTAAGAGTAATAATTGCTGTTATTGGCTGTTATTTAAGAGTTAGAATTGCTGTTTATGGCTGTTATTTAAGAGTAATAATTGCTGTTATTGGCTGTTATTTAAGAGTTAGAATTACTGTTAATGGCTGTTATTTAAGAGTACAAATTGCTCTTATTGGCTGTTATTTAAGAGCTATAATTGCAGAAACCAGCCGTTATTTAAGAGTTATAATTGCTGTTTTTGGTTGTTATTTAGGAGTAATAATTGCTGTTATTGGCTGTTATTTAAGAGTTAGAATTGCTGTTATTGGCTGTTATTTAAGAGTTAGAATTGCTGTTATTGGTTGTTATTTAGGAGTAATAATTGCTGTTATTGGCTGTTATTTAAGAGTTAGAATTGCTGTTATTGGTTGTTATTTAGGAGTAATAATTGCTGTTATTGGCTGTTATTTAAGAGTAATAATTGCTGTTATTGACTGATATTTAAGAGTTAGAATTGCTGTTATTGACTGTTACATTAGACTTTGATTTTGCCAGTTAGAATTTCTTCTATTTGGCTTTTGTTAAAGAATGTATTTTGTCAAGCACTTGTAAGCTGCTATGTTTTAAATACAAATGTTACAATTTATATTTTGCCAACTTACAGTTACTATCTTGTGTTTTGCCAAGTTTAAATGCTGTTACTGGTCATTATTTCAGACTGTGTTTTGCAAAGTTAAAGCTTCTGTTACTGGCAATAGAAGTTCGGTCAGAAGAAGGCAAGGAGAGCACACTAGCAATCAACCCAGGACCAAAAGTGAAACTAGAGACGGCAACGCAAGGATTCTTCATAGCAGAGTCGGCAGAGGAAGTTAAAAGGTAAACACGGTCTTTTTGTTTCTTATTTATAGGCTTTGGTCCATTAAATATTTGCAAGCTGACTGATCAGTTTTGATAATGCTAGGAGGCTCTCAGTGTTGGATAATATTTCTGTTTTACTATGAAAATTTATAACAGTTATTTTTGGCCGGGATGCACAGGTTCGAACCCGGGTTGTAAAATGATGAATGTTGGGTGGCGGGCGGGTATATTGGCGAGCGGGCGGGGAAAATATATTCGTAACAGTTTCTCAGCAACTACTTATCACAGTCTCTTGATATTTGGCATACAGCATCAACACGTGGTCCCATACTGTTGGATTCGATTTCAGGTCTGTCGCTCATCCACTTCAGTAAACTGACTTAGTTAAATTTTTGACATTATTGGTCAATGGTAGGAAATTTTCGTAACAGTTTTTTCAACAACTACTTGCCACAGTCTCTTGATATTTGGCATACAGCATTAACATGTGGTCCTTTACTGTGGGATTTTATTTCAGGTCTTTCTCTCATCCACTTCCTGTTTACCAAGTTAAATTATGGCCATAATTTGTCAATGATAGGAAATTTTAGTAACAGTTTTCTCAGCAACTACTTATCACAGCCTCTTGATATTTGACATACGTCATTAACTAGTGGTCTAATACTGCAGGATTCAATTTCAGGTCTGTAGCTCATCCACTGCCATTTTACCGACTTAGTTAAATTTTCGACATTTATGGTCAATGGTAAACATTTTTTTGTAACATCACAGCCTTATGATATTTGGTATACAAATGCAACCTGGCCTTTTCTGTCTTTGACCCATTTTAGTATTCTTTAACAATATTTGATGCTTTTACTATCATTTATTTAGATCACCTTTCACAACTGTAAGATTGTATAATTTACTTTCAGGGCCTATTATTACTGTAAGAGTTGCCATAGTGAAATATCTGATATTAGAATGATCAAGAAATGCAGATGTAGACCATGTAAGTATTACAGATATACCAGCAAACTACCTTAGCATCATGTATATATAAATCACTGGTCAGTTATTAAAAAAAACATAGCATGGGATAATATAACAATCCTAGTAACGTAAGATATATTGAAATCAATGCTAGACTCACTTATGTCACATTAAGTTTGTAAGAAAATCACAAAATTTTAGTCTGGAATTGAAACACCAGACTTAAAAATGAGACAATCACGAGATCGATTTTTGCACTTTATTTTTTGTTTACAATTGTAAAGGGATGTGTATTTTTATTTCGATTATAAATGTGAACAGATGTTTTATATACATTAAAGAATGACAGGTTTTATAAAGTTGTAACATCTTGTGAAGTTCATTTAACTAGTACCAAAATAGAAAATTTTATAGTCTTGTACAAACAATATATAAATTTGAAACAGTTGTGACAAATTTAAAAACTGAATACCAACTTATCTTTATTCTGTATAACACTGTAAATGTGAATATTATACATTGAATTGCAGATTCAAACTATATATCTTTTTTTTATGATGCAATATAATAGAATTTGTACTACCTTATCCCTTTATT